AACTACTTTTGAATTTGGGCATTGGGTCTCGTACCTCTATTCATTTCGACCTCGGCCGAGTAATTCTTCGCCATTGCGCCGGCCGTCTCAATTATCAGTCCTGTTAGTGGGCTATGATCGCATCATGTCGTCCTCTGCCCCGCCTATCCTCTAGACAGGCAAGTTACGGCATATCTCAAGCTAGCTTGCCAGTGATCTTGGACTTCTGCCAGAGAGTAGTAAGATGCCACAATGGACACACAAGTTATCGAAGACGCGGATGAAAAGCACTCATGATTTGACGGATGTTAATTCATTTCTCCCTATCACCACCACCTCTCTTAGGCCTTCCCCTCTTCATCTGTGGACATCACTAGACTCATGGCACACGATGATCATGACTTCACTTGACACGCCCTCGACACTATACGACTTCGAGGCCGGCCTTTTCTGTTCTCTGGCATTGGACTTTCTCTTAGCCTCTGTATAGCATCAGCGATACTATCCCAGGTTTTTCTTTTCACGCAACCGTCATGACAAGTTGTGATGAAGTTGGTATTTGTCACATTGCTGACAACACCCCAAATATGATGCTACGATTTGAATGGTCCGCAGAATCGAGCATCACCACACTCTACAGCATTTTCGGGTTATGGGTTTATGGATTTACGCATTGAAGGAAATAGAGATATACCAGGCGTTATTTTTCCTGTTGGTGTTTTATTTTCTTCATCCTGGGCATGACTTTTCGGGAGGTTTGCGCATAGATAGAGTCTCTGGGCTATATTTTCTCTTGTTTCCGCTCAAACACTGTCCTCTTTCATTTTATTTCGACTTTTTCTATTATCACGGCTCACTGCAGGGCAGAGCATTTGTGTAACAACACTACCATGTTGCTCAGGCAGCAACATCATGTACTCTTACCTTCGTCGACCGAGGTAAACATTAGACAGCCCCTGGTGGAAAAGACGCGAGAGTCTTAGGATGGGAAGGGAGAGGGACAGCAGGAACTGGATTTCTCAAGTCAACAGCAAACGGTCGACATTCGATGTTCGCATTGCTGCTTGGTACAGCTAGAGCACCGCTGGAGATGTCGGCCACGATTGCAATTGCCTCCTCACACCTACTATGGCCTCGCTTCGCAAAAAGCTCTTAATAGCGTTCGTCTGGCCACGAAGAAGCTCGTTGCATTCAATATCTAGATAGGTAGTCTCTCAGTGGGACAGATCGACAAGGAAACAGGCCGATTGTGGGGATGATTAGATAGATAGACTAGGCGCTTCCAAGCAGCATATGTATTAATAAATATGTTAGCTTGAGGACAAGGTGGCCACATGAGCCTCACATTCACATTCTCGTCGTAATCGCATTGAGTAACAGATGTTGAACGTAATTGGCGTAGTATTTACCTGTAGACCCAGTGTGACCTTGCGTTGTTATGAAATTTTGTACTCGTCGATGGCTGTCAAGTATCTGCTCTTTAGCGAGCTGATGTATACCGAAGGACATTCCAAAACGGCCTCCAGAAAGCCATGACTCAAGAGCGATCCGCGGAATCGAAGATGCCTGCACTCATCTTCTACGTGCTACTACTACTATTGTTGTGATGCATTGCAATGGAATGGCGGAGGTGGCACAAAGCGTTATGCGAGATAGACACGTGCCAGTTTGACTGAGGTGACAATGGCAGATCCTCACTCAAGATTGACGCTCACCCATGCTAGGCTAGGCAAAGGCAAGGAAAACCCCGGGGCGGGGGCCAAGGATGAAACGAAACATATGATCTAATTAAGAAGATCTATGATATTGTTTCGAAACGAGTTTGGACCTTCTTCTGTTTTTTTTATCCTTTTTTTTAAATTTTTTATATATATCTTACTGCGCATGAACTTGTACGACGCCGGAGGTGGCAAATACGGGATCAGTCGGTAGGGGATTCCTGACCCGATGCCGACATTGCCCCAGTATAGTTACTTAAGTAGTTAGTGAAGGGTTGCTCATTTTGTGCCTTGCAGCTTTTCATTTCGACAGGTCAGCCATGAAGTAGTATACGGGGACTGCCTGCCTGATACAATACGGTCTATGGTAACAATGGCATTTGTATAGGATATACATAATAAGTACCTACCTACCTGTACTATAGGTAGGTATATGTATGCCTACCCAGCCGACCAGCCCAAGCTTCAGCTGGTTCGGAGGCCTGCGATAATGAGCAGGTAAGTAGATTAGGGACTATAGGATGCATATGATTAGCACTCTGTCGACATCTCGAGTTGGGAACTGCATCATGTAGGCCTTCTCACTGTTATGTCAGGTAAACCTGGGACGGAGGCCGCCACCTATCGATCTCGCGGTATCCAATCGACTGCCGGCGACTGGGCTAGCTGCCTTTGGGCCTGTTTGGGCCCTGTCTACAGTGGCTGGCTGGGCTGGGGGGATGGAGGGCAGTCAATTGGTAAACCACCCCTGTCTTGCCTGTCTGTTGCGTTGCTATTTTTCTTTTTCCCTCCCCGTCGTGTGTTGTGTGCGTTATCGCATACATGTACATTCGTGTAAGATGGTTGAGACAAGTACTGTCTGTAGCAAGTGATCTGGTAACCCAAATTGACGGAACTGGGGTGATTCGCTACCGCGGATGAGCAGGGGGGGGGGAGGGCAGGCAGATGATAAAATCATCCATCCAACTGGTGTTCTTCCTTGTAGGTAAAGCTTCATATCATAACCTAGGAAAATACATATTGTGGAAACGGGCCCCTGTTGCTGCCTACTGGTGCCTGGTTGTTACACATACTAAGTCACGCTCACAACCACCGAGAGACCAGGTACGTGGGAATTCCCCAATTACACGTGCTAGCCGTGCGCGTTTTTTTTTTTTTTTTTTTCTCTGCACGCCTTGTAGGGCTGGAGGTTGTGACGTATCGCCTCCAGCTGCCATCTAACAACTTCTGCAAATGCGTCCAACGCCCGCAACATGATAGGTACTGGTAGGTATCGCTCGGTAAAGCAAGGCTGTACGCCATCTGTCTCTTCTGCCTCCAACATAATATAATGCCTCTCCAAATAAGTGTAGTATATAAATAACTAACCCTCTAAGTCGCCATTGCCATACATAATAGAAGAGGGCAATCTAGGTCGTTCAGTCAGGGTAGCCTCAGTCGCGCTTGATTAAGCCTCACCTATTAATAGCATTGGCAAGGGCTAGGTATCTGTTCTCCCGCCCTTTTCATCCGGCATAGCGCATTATGACTTGGTTAGTGCTGCACGGCATTGGAGGGGACTTGCTTGCGCTTCGATCTTTGCGATCTTCGATCGGCGCTACTCTCGTATGTCAGCTTGCGCCGTGCCGTGGAACAATGCGAAAGCCCGGGCGGAGGCGCTGTAACTCCGTTGTTGTTCTCAAGACAGGCGAGACAGGCGAGACAGGCGCCTCGTGTCACCAGGGTCTGTCTGTTGACACTGCGCGAGGATCAGAGTGGCTTGCATAGCCGAGCGCTTAGAGGACCGCCGTCTGACGGGGTCGGCAAGGTAGTTAGTGTACTGTTGTGTATGTATGACGTCGAGGAATAATACGAATGGCATCCCCTTTCGGGGGATTTTCGATAAGTTCTGTCGATCATTTTGTTTCTTGAGTCTAGGCACACCCCAACACGCTCCGGGCCGATGCTGCTGCTTGGCGTATTTCTACCGTGGCTTGGGCAACAACCAGCCTTGAATCCTTTCCAGAGTAGATTCAGGTAGGATGTTGGGTGGGTGGCTTGGATGGGCTCTCCGCTTTATTCCTGACGCTCTGACGACCACAGCACCACAGCAATCCGATTGTCCGTACCTGGGATGACGAAGGTGGGGTTTTCTCGAGCGCTTCTCGACGCGGACGACGTAAGGAGAGCACTGGCCACGATGCCGCAGTAAGTAATACCTACGCAGGGTTATCTTCCATCGAAGTAACCCTATGCTTATACGGATTCTTACTATCACATGCTCGCGGACACGACTGGCGAAAGACGACCTTCCAACCCATTCCTTGTCTATCTAGACTCCCTCGCACAGATTCCATTCAAATTGATAAGGTCATGATTGTTTCATGCATAGTGAACTCCGTGTCGATACAGGGATACCGAATTAATCAACCGGGGGCTGTCAAGAGCGTTCTGAAACATTCCGAGGTTACACTGAGATTCCACTTATAATGGCTGCGACTGTAATTAGATTCACCAGCAAGCAGAGACAATGCAACGCCAACTTCAAAATACCTGCTTGAATGTCATTCTCATGTGACTACGCATAACTCATGAGCTGCTATGGATTGTAGGCGGGTTTGCTATTCTAGTCCCATGGCAGGAGGGGACATCTCTACGCTGGTCGGACACACTCAAGGTGAAGGACCACGAGTACCAACGGTGATGCAATTATCAGCTCTATCACTAGGGTTAAAACGTCAATTGCTAGTCACCCGTATACTGAGACGTAAGTATAGATGAATACTATCTAAATATCCGGGAATTCAATCATAATAGATAAACATCGTAGTACTGGTTAAATTATATTAGATAAAGGCCCCCCATCAGACAAGATGGCCGATGGGTCAATACTAATATATACGAATTCGTCGTCAGACGGGCAACGTATGTATCTCAGAGAGCCGCAGTGGCCCTGTGGGTGAGATGCAACAGCCGGTTGTGCAGTTCACACGGCGGTGTTGCTCAAGCAATGGTCACAGATGCTGGTTGGGCCTTCATCGATTGCCATGAATGTATCGCTCTTTTGCTGCTGGGACAACAGTAAACCATTGGGTTCCGTGCATGAAGCGATGGAGGTTCATTGGAGTAACAAGACGTTGCAGAGAGGGGTAAGACTGGTGTGGTGTCAAGTGATATGGGACAGTGCAATACAGCGAAATGACGTTAAATAAAGGACTAGATCTTCTGAGTGCTAAGTATGCTCTTGTTGGCCGTCTTTCTCACCAATGATTTTTGCTGCTTCATATTACACGCGGACCTTTGTGGTCCGTTGACACGAATAGAATGGAATCACTTCAAGAGCAGACATGGCTGGACAAGCTGGACGAACTGCGTACGTGACTAGTCCTAATGCCAAAGAAGAACGTTTCGGCAGTTAACAGCGATGTACACAGTGAACGTGGACGTTGACTGGATGGATCCTGAATACATCAAGAACATGCCCATCAAACCTCATGACCAGACAAGCAATCAACTCTGGGTAAATATTGAGTTGCACCGCCCCAGTAACGCCCAACTACTGCAAAAAGTTGCTCAGGAACTCAAAGATGAGGGGTGGTTGGCGGTCTATACCCGAATTGTCAGGCTCCCTACTTATGCAATTGTATTCTCTAAGCTGACAGGAAAAGTCGGTTTTGATGTGTAAGAAGAACATTGACAACATCCGAGGCCGTGTACTACTGCAGACAATTCCATCCAAAGCGTATGATACCCAGGCGACGGTTGACCATGCACGGCTATACGATAAAGAGTTTGCACAGGCCGGTATAGGAAGAGATCGGTATTGTATCAAAATCCCAGCAACGGGCCCAGCATTGAATGCAGCCAAGATGCTATCGCAAGAAGGAATTCCGACGCTGGGAACCGCACTGTTTGGTCTTCATCAAGCTATTGCTTGCAGTCAGGCGGGTTGTCTCTACATCAGTCCATATTACAATGGTTTGTGCTAACTCTACCGAGCGGGAGTCCGTAATAAGTCCTTGTTAGTTAACAAAGGCGTATAGAAAACCGCGCCCACCGCGACCTCAGCGTCTGGCCAGACGTCCAAGATCCTGCTACAGAACACCCTAACAGTCCCCGTATTATTCACATTCTCGAGACGTATAAACGCCTTTATAAGGAAACTGGCAAGGAGCAGCCATTCGTGAAACTCGCAAGGTATGTGGAGAGTCATTGGTGCGTGACCCGTTTCACAAGCTAACTTGTTGCAGTTTCCTCAGCGCAAAGGAAGCGATGGCAGCGGCAGAGATGGGCTGTCACTCTGCGACGATCTCTCACACCTTGCTGGACCAGCTCGCCAAGCTGAAGTACAACGTATCCGAACAGCCAGGCGAGGGTACCCCCAAGCTGGAGCATCCTTATAAGAATCCGGGGCCCACGCCCACTCGACTTGCTGAGCTGGTAAAAATTGACCCTTTGATGGCGAAATGGGACGGCAAGCTGGCCAGTACAAGCATCGATTATCTCGTGAACGGAGGCGCCGAGCTTGAGAAAGCAATCCAGAATGACCCCATAGCGACGAACAGGCTCGCGTACGCCCTAAAACTCTTCATCGGCGACGATGAAAACGGCGAGACGAGCAGCAGGAAAAAATGCGAGGAGGCACTGGCCCAGGTCTAAGCTGCAGAACCACCGAGGCACGGCTGGGTATAATATGCTATATTTTTCCCGTAGTCAATGGAAGCTATGAAGTGGCAGAAGTCATCCCTACACCCCGATATACTATTTGTCACTATCCTGCGACTTCACAAGTACATGGCGCGTCTCCAGATGTGCTTGGAGAAGGCGCTCAGTGACTCGCGGTCATTAGCCCATCTCTTGCTTAATGGGCATGTAGTCTTGTAGAGGTACCGCATTGGACATGAAAGTGTCTGTCTGGAATCCCGTAGCGTTGAATGGCTGAGGGGGCTCAAAGGGGAGAAAAACTGCCCCATGCTGCCCCTGGTCGACGTTGAACTGTGGTACGAGAGGCGATTGAGCATTCATTCGATCCGAATCTGATTTTGCCATGCTAACAGAGCCCGTCGCGTTCTGCGTATGGCCTATGAAAGGATGGATTTGTGGCTCGAAGCTTTCCCAGTGCATATTAGCGTTTGGCTCGACTGACACCGAGGGTGACAGGTTAGGATCGTGAATGGGGTTTGGAAACGCCGCGGGTTCACCAATAATATGCATGGGAGAGTCTGTAGACTGCAAGGCTGTAGGCACTGTTCCCATAATCGCATCCGAGGCTGTACTGTTGTCTCCGTGATGCATGGTTGGTTGTGCTATATTATGAACTGGTTGTGGTTCTACCATGACAGCTCTACCCCTCCAGTGGTTAAGCTCTGCCAGCAGTTCGTCGCGCTCCGTCTTCACAGACTCAAGATGCTCGTTGAATGTTCTGATCTGCTCATGTTGCGCTTTGATGAAAGCTATGCTCTCGTCTACGACGACATGTTTCGACAAGCGCTGCGGCTCAGTGTCGGCGAGGGCGGGCAGAAGACTCGCAAGGTTCTTCCGGGATTTATTAGCTGGCAAACAGAAAGCTCGAGTTATGACATTCAGACTCACGGTCAAGGCCTCCTTGAAGGCCTCTCGCCTAGACTTCTCGAAGATGCGATGGGCTGCTCGATCATCCTCGGTGAAATTCCGAACGCGCTTCTTCTTGACACGCTGAGTGCCGGCGACGGCAACGGGGTTCTTGGCTGGCCTCTCCTCCGGGGAAGGCTCGTCATCGTGGCCGCTTGATGACATTGGCGTCGCTGTTCTCGCTCTGAATGGGTGAATGATATGCGTAGCGCATTTCCAAACGACTATCCACGAGGATGTGCAGGCGAAGGCAGTCCAGGGCAAAACTTGGCACCAAAAGGGGGCTGGATTCGGGCAACATGGGAAAGGTTTCAGGTGATAGGGATAGGTAGGGAGCTGAACGAAGGGAGTCCCAACGGCGCTTTGGCTGATGATAGGCTCTGCGGTGCTCTCTCTGTGGTCGGGAATCCTACCTAGCCGACACCAACTCCACTGCCTGCATTCCCTCTCCCGCTCATCAGCTTCAGTCAGCTTGATCCAGAACCTGGGGAAGCCAGCCCAGCCCACCTTTGGGAGCCTTGGGAGTGCGGGGTACCTACCTAGGTAGGTAATCATATCTGATGTACGGATATATACATACATACCTGTTGACTCGGCATGAATGTCTATGTCGTGTGGAATTTGTCCGAATTAGAGATTTGATGACTTTCCTCTCCCCGGCCAAGTTCACATTAGTCGTCTCATTCCGTGGGGTACTTGTTTGCTTGATATCATCACCCACAATAGCTTCCATGATGTAGGTATTCAGTATACCTACTATATCGCACTGCCTGTTTCAACGTAACGTCGAACTACGCGATAAATACTTACGTATGGAAAGAAGATTTCCAAGTCGTGGGGTTAGGCCCCACTAGTGCACACTAACACTAGAGTGTGTAATCAATCTCTGCGACTGCATTAGCCCAGGCTCGCCATCCCATCTATTGTCACAACGGCGAGAACGGTTTTATCCTCCAATCTTCATATGGTGTAGCTTGGCATCACTACTATTACTACAAGTTAGAGGCAGGGATGATCACTGGGGACTTGGCCACGAACCATATCATTCTAGTGATTCTAGTATAGAACTAGGCGACGATCCTAAGTAAGACACGTGCCTACTATGTACTTGGGTATTGTAGCCAAAAGATGGGTAGGTAGCCTGTTTGGTAACCCTCAAATATTGAACAACTTTATTACATAGTACTTCACTTCATCAACATACTACATACTATGTATGGATGGTATGAGACATTATTGAAATGTTGATACAGGGTGTCATTTTTATACATAAGTAGTTGTTCAAAACCAAAACTGCGCTTCCAACGAACATTCTCTCCGAGAACCCATCAAGTTCAGAAATAAAAGTGAGATCAATCCAGTCAATCTGCTAGAACCTGAATGCCCCCATATTGGGCCAATGTGGTATTATGGCTTGATAGGCTGCGTAGTGTGTGGTTTCACATCACCATGCAACTGCCCCAATCAATCCGCCCTCCATCTGTTTGAGCGCTCCAACCCCGTTCGACATTGGTCTTGTCGCCTTTGGTCCTGGGCACTGGCTTCGAATTCATCATGTATATTCTTCGATCTTGCTTTGAGCGTTGTTCTGGTAAATGGGATTGTGATTGGGAAATGTGTATAAGAGGTTGTATGCCGAAATATCTGACCGAATCATGATATCGGGCTTGTGGAGGTGTATAAATACCTGTTTTGACTCAAAGGCCTTTTGTTCGGGCCGGGCAACGGCATCGCTCCAAACATGGTAGAACAAGGCGATGCTTTGTTGCACTGCTTAAGCCATCAACAGTCATTCTGGCTTAAGCCTTAGATGACGAAAGCCACACCCGATCCTGATGTATTCTTTTGTAATATGCACACAAAACATATCCCTCTTTTACGTGCCCTGCTTTCACCGAATCGCCGTCTAGCCCTTAGGACACACGTATCTTTGAAAGGCCACAATCGCTTTCCGGGATTGATAATTTCCACATATCTAGGTGATAAGAGGGTTTCACATAATGAACTTTGGTGAACTAGTTTCAAACAAGGGAATTTTGGCACCGCCCATATTGTTCAGTGGAGCAAATGAAAATATGAGCATCTGGAATCAAGCCACAAACAGTTCATGGTGGATATCTGAATGATCGGAATGGCAAGGTAATAATAACACAAGTTCGAACAAATCATCCCTGTCGTATATCAAGTTGAGAGGCGTAAATCCGGATCGCTCCATGTCACCTGCTTCGGCAACAGGGAGGCCGATGCGAGTCGAAAGAGATGCAGACACGGATAAGCCTCCTCAAAATGCGGGATGGTCAACTGCGGGGGGAAGCGTATCCATTTGCCATACTACCTACCTTCTACCGGCTCCCACAGGTGACCTCCTGCAGGCAGAAAAAAATAAATTCACGAGAGCTGTTTGGCTGAATTTTCTACACCTTCAATAGAATTCTCCTCACCCGGCAGTGTCACCTACTAATGCAAGCACCCTGTTCCTCTCGTCTAACTGTAGGCCAATCCCAGAACACCCGATGATCTATTGCTTCCACGGCATGCTCTAATGCCATTGAACCATGTGCCATAATACGCACACTGACTAGGTACCCATAGTCACTAAGGTCGAAATATCAGCTGAGGTTGCGGTGAGTGGTTGTTGGGGTCTTCCCTGAGGAACGAACTGTGACTGTACTATATAAGAGAGACATGGACACCATTCGAATAAATGCCACCTGAGAAGAGGTAACTATGCTTGTTGAGTCACTTCTCACCGAAGCCATGCTAAAGACATTCCTGAAGCTATTCGTTCTTGCCAGCTTCGGTTTAGCCCAAGCAACATCGGCACCCTTCGTTGATCTGGGTTACGCTAAGTATCAAGGGTACTATGACTCTAACTTTGGCCAGAATATCTTCAAGGGGTAAGTGGTATAGCCTAATCGCCGTACCAGACATATCACGACTAACATTTCTAAAGCATTAGGTATGCGGCTCCACCAGTAGGCAAGCTGAGATGGCAAAGGCCGCAACCTCCCGCCAGGAGTCGAGACGAAGTGCTCCCCGCTGTGGAATACGCTCCAGTGTGTCCCCAATCGCCCAGTTCGCCAAGGTATGTGAATAAGATCATGGTAGTGTATAATTTTAGACGAGTGTCCTGTTAAATGAACCAGTCAACCACCTGTAGCACCATCTGGTAACGAAGACTGCCTATTCCTCAATGTTATTGCACCAGCAAACAAAACCAGACTGCCCGTTTTAGTCTGGATCCGTAAGTTCCAAAAGCTATGGCATCAAACTTATCTTCTTAATTCTCATGATGAGCAGATGGAGGAGGCTACGGCACAGGGAACAATCAGTTCGACTTAAGGCAACAGATACGCACCAATGGAAACTCATACATTGGTGTATCGATTGCTTACCGACTCGGAGCTTTCGGTTTCTTGTCCTCTCTCGAGGTTGAAAGTTTCGGCGTCGTGAACGCCGCCATTTATGATATGCGATTTGCACTCGAATGGGTCAAGAAGAACATACATCACTTTGGAGGCGACCCGAGGCAAGTGACCATTGCAGGAGAATCCGGTACGTATGAAAACCTCGCTTGCACAAGAACTTGGTCATTCTGTGTCTTGTGATCCAGCAAGCTCTATGTATGAGGCTTAGAGATCTCGACTAACGTTTTTACGCACGCAGCCGGAGGAGGTAGTGTCATGCTCTTAGCAATGGCAAATGGCGGGCGTGAAGGGGACGCTCTGTTCCAGGGGCTAATTGCTTCTAGCCCCTATCTACCGACACAATGGTGAGGATGATGAGTTAAATCTAACATAATGAGTTTGTTGCTTATTTCAAGCGATAGGGACTTTGACGACGCGTGGCCAACTCTAAGCTACCAAGCCTTTATCAATGAAGCAGGATGCTCCGATGCGGAGGTGCCATTCGAATGCTTACAATCAGCAGATACTGTCGTGCTTCAAGATGCCAGCGCGAGAGTCAGCACGTCAGCCAATTATGGCCAATGGGGGTTCATCCCGGTCACGGATGGTAAATTGATTCGAAAAAGGCCTACCCAACAGCTTGCCATTGATAGGAATGTCAATGGACTTCGGGTCTTGACGGGTAACAATGAAAATGAGGCCCCAGGGTTTACTCCCCAAAACATTACGACAGAAGAGCAATTCGTCGAGTTTGTCTTGACAAATTATCCACGCCTCAGCGAGCAGAACGTTTCAAGTATTCTAGAGCTGTACGCTGTGCCAGATGATGTGTCTCCAATATATGCAGACTCAGATGGGGTAACTCCACCATTTTCGACGACCAACTCCAACTGGGCTATTGGCTGGCAACAGGCGGCGAACAATCTCTATGCAGAAACCACATTTGTGTGTTCTTCCTATTGGATGGCAGACGCATTCACAGGTGCGCGAAGAAAGAGTTCTTGGAAGTATCAATTCTCCGTACCTCCTAGTAGCCACGGAGCGGATGTCTCGCCGCTAATTGCTGATCCCAAAACCCAGGGGACGGGAATGGATGAGGTCTTCCGCACCGCCTTCCAAGAGACTTGGGGTAATTTCATTGTCAACGGGGACCCAACGCTGAGCACAGCACAGGCTAGTGCCGCGGGACAAGGGAACATAACAGCTGCTACCACTGGGAGTTGGCTGCAATGGGGTGGCCGACCGGACAGAGATTTCATGCTGAATCTCAACATGACAGGCGGAATGCCGGTGACTACTCCCAGACAAGTTGGGGGGAGTATTGTTGACATTACAAGCTATGTGCCGAGTAGTGGTGGTTCATATCCTGAGCTGGAAGCCACGTTCAACTTGGTTCGAGGATGGCAATGGGAGGGGGGAAGGGGGCAAAGATGCCAGCTGTGGGTTGACTTAGGTCAATGGGCGTTTGAATGAAGAGGAGCGGTGATGTTCACGGGACGTTTGGGGTTTAGGACAATTCCAGCTACACAAAGCGGTTTGTAGTGTTGAATCGCCGGTTGTCACTAATTTCAACATCACACATATCATAGTTTACCTTGGGGAGACCTGTGTATTAAAGCAAAGCGAAGGTGACTGACGTCCTGTTCATATGGAAGCCAGTCAATTCTTCATCTAGTTTTCTCGATGTGTTGCTTATGGTCCAGAATCGCCTCTATACCACAGGTCTGTAACACTGATAAAATGCCATCGACTCGTTCAAAGAAGAAAGTCATCGAAATATCCGGCTTGGGGGGCATGGGGTGTAATCAAGCCTACGGAAGCACGAAAATGCCCCCCAGGCAACCTGCGATGCAGCGAGGTGGGTTCCGGTGTCGCTTCATCAAGTTTAAAGGTGATTGATGTGACGTGATTGAACCGTGAGGGGTACTTATATACACGGTGCCGCGCATCTCCATCCCAACAACCGAGGTCATCGATAAAGAGGACTATGTTTCTCGTCCGGGACTGCGGAATCTGGACTCTCAGTTTGTCAGCTAGAGACTAAGTGTGTTTACGCAGCGGGATCCCTGCGAAGAGCTGTCACTTCGAGGGAGATAAACTCTAATTGTTCCAGGTATCCCTTTACCAAGCACAGCACCGTCATACAGTAGTCCTCGCTCGGGTGCCTCGTTCCAACTATATCATACGATGCAAACGGGTGACTCTACAAGTGACTCGGCCAAAGGAGTGGCGATGGCGCCGCTAAGTAGACAGAGTGGTTTTGATCCCGCCAAGAACGAAAATGCCTCTGATTCTTTGCAGGCAACACACGGTGTTGTGGCCAACGTCCTACGAAGAATAAATTGGATTCCGCCGTGGTGTCGTTACGATCCAGACAACCCACCGAAATTTACGCTGTCCATGAATATCCTACTCGCTCTTGTATGAGTCCAGGCCTCTGCTCTTAGCTCTATGAATGTTGTACTCCTTGACGTGCTAACCGTTTTCAAAGAGTACCACATTTACAGTTGCGAACTTGTATTACCCACAGCCTATCCTCAACGTCATTGCCAAAGATTTCCACGTTAGCTATGAGCGTTCATCGAACGTAGCAACGCTGTCACAAGCAGGTTACGCAGCGGGGCTGTTGTTTCTTTGCCCCTTGGGAGATATAGTTCCCCGACGACCTTTCATTCTCTTCTTGATATTGGTCACCGCGACGATGGTAAGTGTCGCGCGCATCACTATGATCACCATGAGCTCATGGGGAGCTAGATGACCTGACAAAATGTAGTGGATCGGTCTATGCCTGACGACTTCATTCGAAGCCTTCGTCAGTCTATCCTTTCTTTGCGGCGTAGGGTATACACCTCCCCGTTTTGGCCAGCCCATCGCCATGCAGTGCTAATCTTTCGGGTAGAACTGTTACACCACAGCTTATGCTCCCCCTCGTGGGGGATCTTGCTCCAACTCATCGCCGTGCTGCTTCTCTCTCTATTGTCGTTTCGGGGCTAGCCTTGGGCTTACTAGTTGCTAGGGTATTGTCTGGTGTCGTGGCGAACTTCACCGCGTGGAGGAATATCTACTGGTTTGCCCTTGGAGCCCAGTACCTTACATTTGTTGTCCGTGAGTATTAAACTAGCTACTGGGGATAACCTACACGTCTGATACTCTGAGGATGTTCTTAGCATCTCTTAGATGGCTGTCCCGAAGCGTATTTGATAACTGATATTAGATGTTACAGTTTTTTTAACCCTTCCAGATTACCCAGCCAAAAATAGGGGTCTGAATTATTTTAAGGCTATACGGAAAATGGCCGTCCTCGTCTTCGAAGAACCTCTACTTGGACAAGCTTGCCTGATGGGATTTTTGCTCAGCGCCGCATTCACCAATTTCTGGACGACACTGACATTTCTGCTCGCATTACCACCATATAACTACTCTTCGTTGGAGATTGGATTATTCGCATTCATTGGAGTTGCTGTGATCTCTCTAGCCCCCATATGGTCACGCCTCATTACTGACAGATTTGTCTTCTTGTTCTCGAGTATCTTGGGCCTTTCTTTTGAACTAATCGGTATTATAATCGGAACGTTCATCGGGGGCTTCACCGTGGCAGGGCCAATAATTCAAGCCATATTTATGGGTATGTCATGTCTAAACGCCCCATTTCCACTTGCGACGTATACGAACATCGATTTCCGACAAGATTTCGTCATGTTTCAGAAGACCTTATCAACAATGAAAAGAAGTCGAGGGCTAACTATTTTGATTCCTTCGGGAAGACACTGGCTCTAATTTCGCGCACACTGCGAACAGAAGCAATATATACAGACTTAACCCCCGAGCGCGGAATCGTGTCAACACAGTATACATGGTGTTTTGCTTTGCCGGGCAATTGACGGGAACAGCAGCGGGCAATCGTTTGTTTGCTCAAGGAGGCTGGCTTTGGAGCAGCAGTATGAATATAGGCTTCATTGGCACAGCAATCCTTATCGGACTGGCAAGGGGTCCCAGGGAGAGAGGATGGGTGGGCTGGAAAGGTGGCTGGAATATCAGAAAAGATTCGGGTACTACAGAAAAAGTAGGACCTGAAGTTGTTGATACTGAGGGGACGCAGACTCCACGCAAGTCGTGAAGAGCGAATTAACGGACTGAATAAAGTCGAAAGCTAGAACAAGCTACTACCAAGCGTGATCTACCAGAACTCGAACTTACCCCAGCTAACCTCAGAGATCTATGTTGTCAAGAGAACACCGTGCACTGCTCTGCATTCAGGTTCCAGGTGTAAGTAACTTTTGTCGACCACGAGCCTCCAGGAGCACCGCAATAAAAAAGTTGCCAGGGGCTATTGTGGCCTCATCGATGCGACCATGTCGGAAGATGTCAGATTCACTACAATTCTTTGCCGTTACTAACAACCAACAGCTCGTAAGGTCGAACAGAATCTTGGCTTCCTGCTCGAACCATGTTGGGAAACAAATTATTTCCCCCACTGATAGTAAATAAGTAGGCAATAGCTGATTTTGAGGATCGTATTGGACATTTTATAAGCCGTCATGGAAACTACAAAGCTGGCCGCGTCAAACTATGCAGACATATATCATTAATTTATAGATTGACAAATTTGTATAGGAATTGGAGTACTTTGACAAGTCGTTTTCCTTCCGAAGAGGTTTATATCAAGGTTTAAGGGAAACAGCGGTACATGACCGTCAAGTACCGGTACTGTTTAGGCAGACATCACTTCCGCGGTATAATGTCAATATCGGTCTACTTGGGACTTGCGGATGTATGACGATGCCGCGGCGATGGTTGGACAAAGAAAGAGCCCTGAATGATGACGCAGAACGTTGCTCTATTGAATACAGGAGAATGAATCACCACCATACATATCCATTCCAATTATTTCGTTTTCATCTTCACCGTGCAACCCGGCTCAACCCCGTTTGGCCCCGATAATATCAATGCGCCCCCATATTTTTTTTATGTTGACAGTGCCCGGTCCGGCCACGTGTGCTTCTCTTGCCGAACCAGCTGACGGGGTCTCCGAATTCTTGGGACTTGATGGTTCTCGACTGCTGAGATAATAATAAACGAATAAAGATAACGACGAAAAAGGTATCAAAGATGGTTCAATATACTGATTAATGGCTCCAGACTCCGTCCTAGTCCCTGATCTTCTCGGGACCACTCCAATCATCTGCAATGAATTCCTCGCCCACGCATGAAAGATGGTGCGGGCCCATCTAATCAGTGTTACTTGTTGGTCTGAAGAGCACGAGCCAGTAGAAATAAGAGTCAGAATTGAGATGGACTTTGGGGCATCTCCAAAAGTCGGAAAAACCGGAACGATGTTAGAGAGAAATCCAAATGTCCGCATAAATGATAATAGGAGGCCACCGTCTAGCAGGAAACAAAAGTTGCCGGGGAAAAAGCTTTTGGGTAATCGTGTGTCGTCTCTGGGTCTGTTAAGTGCGTGATAACCGACAAAAGCATGACCGTATTCCAGATGCGAGAATAATTCAGCCACTTAACGCCATAATATGCCCAGGGGACCGATCCAAAGGAAATAAAATACCAGTTGAAGGTGCACAGAATCTACTCAGCGCCGATCTCCCCAGGCGCTTCCATCCCGAATGTAGCTTGGCCAAAGTCAAAAGCCCCACCGTCAGCATCATTGTCATGTAGAAAAGAGTCAAAATCAAAATCCTGTAGGACATCGGCGGACGAAATTTCGCTGAATTCCGGTATGTTGGTGAACTACTGCCAGTTAGTGGAAATCATTGTGCACAAATCTCGAAGCAACATACTATGGCATTATTGGGTTCCATGCCCGTAAAGTTCATTTGCTCGACTGGAGGAGCTGCCACAGGGGCAGGTGCAGCCTGTGGTGCTGAAGCTGGTACATTCGCAGTTGGCGGTACAGTTCCAGCATTCTGGCCAGACTTGAAGTTTGCTGCAGGATTGCTGGGGGTAATAGGAGTAGCCGGAGTTGGGGGTTCTGGGTCTTGATTGGCTTCAGGAGCAGGTGTGGCACCAGCCGCTGGTGCTTTGTTCTTTTGAGCAGCGCCCTAAGAAGCATGTTAGTATGTTCAGGCAATTGCTATTAGAATATTGTGTTGTACCTTTTTGTTCGCGTTCTTAGGATCCTTTTTCTTGAGTGCCTTGGTACCCTGCTGCGGTGTAGGTGGAGCAGCAGTGCTAACTTGTGGTGATGATGTGTTTGTCCGACCATTTCCATTAGCAGGAGGGGCTGGAGCTGATGGTGGTGGCATCGCTCTCTGTGGCGCTCCTTGGACCTGCGCCTGTGGCCCTTGTGGCCCCTGTGGACCTTGAGGACCCTGAGGCGCCATACCATTGCCATTGGGACCTGGCCACTGCATTTGTTGAGGCCCTCCCTGTTGTCTTGCCATCATCTGAGGATTCATTTGGCCATTGAATGGTTGACCTGGATGTGAGCTGGGGGGGCGCATGCCTCCATTCATCTGCGCTGCTACCATATTGCCATCTATACCATTCATCCCTTTGAAGAAGTTCTGTTGCATATTCGGATCCATGCCATTTGGTATAAAGTTCATGCCATTCGGAGAGCCTCTTGACTGAGCTCCTTCAGGAAGAGGAGAGGGAATACCAGCGGCGTTCATCTGAGGAGTTCCACGCTTCATCTGTTCACTGGGATTAGGGGAAGCACCGGGTCGGACTCCCTGAGGCGAGGTATCTTGGAAGGGTTGCCCATTCGGGCCTGGTGGTCCACCTGGACCATTGGGTCCAGCGCCATCACGAGGCATGCCGCCCATACTGTCTTGTTCTTGCCTAGCCATCATAAGTCTCTTTTTATTCTGTTGCTCAAGTAGCATCAGTTGCATCTGATAGTCCTGCAAGGCATGATTGCTCCCGCCGCCTTGAGTTGCGCCGGGTCCTGGTCGCATACCTCCGGGAGCCATCTCTGGGTAGAACGCACCAAGAGCCGCCGCGTTCTCCGGGCCTTGCGCTATCATAGGTGAACCTTGGTTCTGAGGGCCACCAGGATTGGGAACCTGTTTATTCGGCATCTGTTGGCCGTGGTGTTGCTGAAGATTTTGAGAATATGTCTGAATAGATTTGGCCTGTGTCTGGGCAGTTTGTGCTTGAAAGTCTCGAAACTGTTGAGGAGTAAGATTAGCGCGAGGGATGCCGTTTGATGAGAGCATTTGCTGAGCTATGGCAGCTTTGGTATCGCCTACTTGCTGTCCTGGCATTCCTTGCTGAGGCCGTTGACCATTCATCATGTTCGCGTTATGCGCGTTAAACGGGCTTGATCCCTCTATTCGGGCCCTTTTGCTAGGCGATGGCGCGTTTTCGGCAGAGCCCGGCGAGGCAGGGCGGTTTTGGCTGCCATCCATGTTGGACCCGTCCCGTTGCATCTGGCCCTGCTTAGCAGCGGCTTGAAGCATCATTTGCGGACTATAAAATGGCGATTATCAGTACGGAAGGTTCGGTGGGGGTTTGTTATCAACAACCTACTTATTTTGATTGTTGGCCATTGCGGTCCTGGCCAGGTTGTGCTTATTGGCCATCGGCATCCCATTTGCCATGCGCGGCATCATTGAATTGTACATCTCAGGTCGCATTTGCCGTAACATTTCCTGCTGTTGCGTCTGTCTTAACCGAGACTGCTGCTGAAAGGATATTAGACGCGAGAATAACAACACCAATATGACAGGGCAAATTGTAATGTAATTACCTGTGTGTGAGCGACGTATTGACTCACATGGGGACTAACGCCGCCCTTGTTGCGCTGGGCCGATAACATGTCCCAGAAGAGACAAAACCATTCGTAGAGAAAGCAACTGTCAGACCCATTGGGAACGTTCGGGGCTGGGAGGTCGTTTGGCCGTTTCGAATCCAAATCATCCTTGCTGTCAGTATCCATCGGATCATCTCCAAGGCCGTTTCCAAGAGTATTGTTATTCTCATTGCGAGGGCGGCCTTTGTGAACATTTATTGCCTGTTCGCTCTGAAGCATCGCGCGCGCACATTCATACATGCCTTCTCGAAGGAAATAATCATAGATGTAAGTGTTTAAATTTGCACGGTTGTTCTCTGGAGGGCGTTGAACTTGACCAGCGGCAAGGGCATTGTTTCCCATCATGGCCATAGGCCCGCCAGCCATGGGCATATTGGCCATATTGACGTTGTTCATGATTCAGGGTCGACAGAGCGAATCTGCCAGGATCCGGAAGAATCAATCGAGAGGACGATGTCGAATCAATACTTCGCATCCGGTTTTGTTTCCCAAGTCGCGAAGCGGGTTGGAATCGAGACGGCCTACGTTACGAGGCACGTCCGGGCGAACGCGGCGGCGCAAGACGAGGTAGTTTGGATCGTCTCGTTACCAACAGGGCAAGCAAGCTTAGTCTGCGAGTCGGGATTGTCGGGGGAGTCGGTAGCCAAGGATGTGTACCAAGTAGGATTGGCAGCGCGTTAACGGTCGCGTAGGTGCCGGGTTTCGGCGTTGATTCCTGATATAAGAGTCGTAGAAATGTCGATAATAGGTAAAGCCGTCCGACAACAGATACCAAAAGAGATGGCGGCGAAAACGATCAGGGGAAGTGGCACAGGAACCGGTGTTCCAGGTATCCAGGAACTAGGAAATGCGGTATAAGTAAGATGGGAACACGCAGGGAAGAGAAACGATAAAAAATGCGAGAGATGATAGCAACAGAAGGCTGATCAAAGAATGGGTGAACAGGAGATGGATGAAGGGAAGGTGATAATGGGGATGGGGATGGTGGTGGCGGAGGTGTGCGAGGGAGTGGTGTGTGGTGAGTTGATTGATTTTGCAGCGGCGGCGAAGGCGAGGATGGTTAGATGATCTGGGTTGGATGGGATGGCTTCAAGCAACAGCACCCGTGGCTCGCTGACGCCCCAGTGCTGGACATACGGTGTACCACACAGTGCGAAAGAGGATGCCAGCGGTGACAGTAGCCAGCAGCAGCAGTGGGAGTGGTGTGCTAGGCTGCTAGCGCATTCGGGGGGGTGGGGGGCTGGGCTGTCAATGTCCAGGTGCGAGCGTGTTGCGCGCGATCTGACAGTTGCTAGACAGGTACAGAGACGGCCGCGACTAATATAGAAGCAATGAGAAGGTTTGCGACCACTTGGAAGCCTCTGGCAGCAGCCGCACCAGAGCAAAGACGGAATGGAATGTATGAGCTCCCACCACCGTGAGTCGGGGAGGCAATTTGGCCGACTATCGGACAAAAGGGGACCGCCAGCAGCTGAAGGATAGATGGATAAGTCATGGGAGTTCTCCCCTACCTTTGGATGAGTGGTTGAAGGGTTCAACAACAGCGGCGTGCGCCCAAGCTACAGGTGCTCGACGTGAAGTTGGGGATCCTAACAGGCGCCAAAATGAGTTACAAGTGGGATATTCCTGTTGCCAGGGTACTAATCTAGTACCTATGGGTAGATGTTAGAGGATATGCTCCTTGGAGGAAGGCTGAATGCTGTAACGTGCAGCTCGGGTAGATGGTCATGGAGCAGTTGATGGAGCAGTTGATGGAGTAGATGAGGGTCAGTGACCCTGTTGGTCTCGGTGGTGTTCAGATCAAGCACAGATACAGGGTAGCAGTAGCACTGCCTTAGTATCTTCTAACTCGGATACCGGTAGTCTATCTGGGTCGGCCAAGTAGTTACGCGTACCTACTTTGTTAGGGCCGAGACTGGGAGGAGCAATGTGCCCTCCACAAGGCTGTCAGGGCGCTTTGCGCTTTGCGCCTTCGCTTGTCGCGTACCCCAGTCGGGCAGCCAAAGCAGCCAAAGCAGCCAGAGCAGCCAACACGACGCAGGCGAAGAGGCGATGGCGTCGGAGCGTCGATGAGATCAAATAGCAGATGGATATTCGCCAGGACACCAAGCGGCAGCGGGCGGCATCAACGGTAGGTAATGTGTAGGTAATGTGGAGAGCGAGGCGGACTGGGGGATTACGGTAGTGTGAAGAATAGTGTGAAGAATAGCGTGAAGAGCAAGGCAAGGTGTTAGTAGTGAGGGTAGTAGACCGGAGAGAGGTTGCATTGTGCGGGCGGGACAGAAAGGCGGGAGAGATGTGATGGGCGACCAGGCCGTGCTTTATGAGAGTGGTTGGGTTCCGCTGCAGGTGACATTCCATGCTATGTACCCTACTATACCTATGTATGTCAGTAAGTACTGGCGCCTTCCCTCTTCCCTAAGTAAGTACCACCATAGCGAGCGAGCAGCCTACCTACTATACTATACATACATGTACTTGTAGGACTGTAGGTAAGTACATATGTAGGTAGGTACGCCTTACCTACCAGTACTGTACTTACCTCCAGCTTCTGCCCCAACTACCCTACAGTGGGTACCTACCTAAGGAAGTGAGTAATTTAGGCACAATCTGAGAGATGACCTGCCTTAGGTAGGTACAGGTTACTCACTTATAGGTAGGTAGGTAGCTACACAGGCACCTACCTAGGTATCTACTGTAGCTACCTAGGTAGTTTCTTGTAGCACTGATTACCTACCTTAGGTACCTAGGTGCTTACCAAGATAGTTACTTACCTAACCCTCGGGGCGCCTGTGCACAGTAGGAGAGAACTTGAAGAAGATACCTACGATAAAAACTTACTTGTATGGGTAGGCTGCCTCCATCTTGGAAGGCTGTCCATTACGCTGTAAGTTTCCCATTCGCTTGCTGTATTTCGATCATTATACCGGTACTTCGTGTTTGCTGCATGGCGCATACTCAACTCAGACTTGAACCTTAAGTAAGCACATAGGCAGTCTTCTCATACATCCAGGTCCTACAGTATTTAACTCTGGCTGGTGGTCCTAGTACTACCACATGATTAGATTCTCCTTTGCATAGGTCGGATCGATGCGACAAGTTTACTATCAAATACATATATACAGCGATTTAGGATGCCATAGAAAACCTGCTGATAGCTAGGCATGGCAGTAGGTAAACAGAGACTGCCTATGTAGGTAGGACCTCATTTAGGGTATACTGTATGATACTATGCTTCTTAACAGTGCGAGAGTTACTTTTAATTTCTGTCCAACAAAAAGAGCCCCCAGCTGGGCGAATATCTCAGCACGAGGGAACAGGTACATAGTAGGTATTCCCTTGAGATATCTTAGCTAATCATCTCACACATAGAAACACGTGGTACTACGGACAAGATAAGACAGAAAAGGTTTATATATCTAAAGAATGAAACTTACTTACATAACCTTTATATCAGTCATATCGATGATCTGTATTCCTCTTGCTTTCTTTTCTTTTCTTTTTTTCCCTCTCTCTTCAATTTATTTCTGCAGGTATTTTAAGAGGACGGGAGAGCGCTTGTCTCATTGAGTTACTTGAGCACGTGTAAGTAAGTGGGGTAGGCAGTTAACCGAAGGTGCAGGGGGGGCAAGAGACACCCCCAAGCTAGGTGGGCTAGGGTACTTACATAAGTAGGTACGGTACCTACATTTGGCGTACCTACATATGTACATAGTAGGCAAGAGATATTTCCATAAGCATCAACCTTTCCCTTGATATGCAATCACGCCGCTTAGGATTCAAAGCGTAGCTGCGTTTCCAATTCCCCCACTACCCCGCCACCTACCTACCTACTTTGGCTCCCAACTCGAACTTTCTTTTTTTAAAGTTGAGTCACAAGGAAGTACGTCTCTTGTATTGTTGAAAAAATAAAATAAAAATAAAGATACTGCCGAACAGAGCAACTTGCAGACACGAAACGCATCGCCGTCTTTCTACTACCAAAGAATGGCGCCTGCCCACCAAAATGGCAAGCAAGCTGCGAAGGCCGGCCCGGTAGTTCCTCTCACCAGTGGCATCACTGTCACGAAGGAGGCCAACTTCCCTCAGTGGTATCAAGAAGTTGTCACCAAGTGCGAGTTGGTAGACTACTACACCGAGGTGGGTTAGCGAGCGTGACCTACCGAGCCAACCGATTGCTAAATCCCCGGCGCAGATTTCAGGCTTCTACATTCTTCGACGTGAGCGGCCCCTCTTCTCCCAGTCACAGGCCTTGCTTATACTGACGAATTGCCCCTGAAAAGCATCGGCGATGCATATTTGGAACACAATTCGAACATGGTTCCAAGATAGAATCGAGCGTATGGGTGTAGAGGAGACGAGTTTCCCCATGTTCTTGTCTGCCAAGTCTCTAGAGAAGGAGAAGGAGCACGTAGAAGGATTTGCCCCGGAACTGGCTTGGGTCACAAAGGCCGGTGACAAGGATTTGGAAGTTCCCGTTGCCGTACGGCCGACTTCTGAGGCCGTTATGTATCCATACTACGCGAAATGGATTCGTTCCCACCGCGATCTCCCTTTTCGCTTAAATCAGTGGAACTCTGTGGTAAGTAAAATACAATTGCTGTGTCTCTACTCCATGCATAACCAATGCCTTCCAGGTGCGATGGGAGGCCAAGCAAACGACACCATTCCTGCGCGCGCGCGAATTCATGTGGCAAGAAGGACACACGGCGCATCTCACCGAGGAGCTTGCAGCTAAGGAAGTTCTGGAGATCCTCGAGCTTTACGCAGGTGTTTATGAGCAATTGTTGGCAGTGCCTGTCATTCGCGGCAAGTATGTTGTCGCTAACGATTTCATTGGTATTTCTTCTGCTTATCCATACTTTGCATAGGAAGACAGAAAACGAGAAGTTTGCCGGTGGATATTGGACATCGACTTGTGAAGGATTTATCCCTTCCACTGGCCGTGGCATACAGGGTGCAACATCTCAGTATGTATCTTGAGGCATCTGTTGAAGATGTGCTAACATTGATCCGCTCTCAAGTGCCCTCGGCCAGAACTTCAGTAAGATGTTTGATATTACGGTAGAGGACCCCAACCAGAAGGGTGAGAAAATCTTTGTCTGGCAGAATTCCTGGTATGCTCCTTCCTTCTCCGACTCATATCAAGATGCTCATGAAAACCATAGGGGTCTGTCCACTCGTGTTATTGGCGTAATGGTCATGATACATTCAGATAACAAGGGCCTTGTCCTACCTCCTCGAGTTTCTAAAAATCAAGTTGTCATAATACCTGTGGGCATAACTGCCAAGACCAGTAACGAAGTACGAGAAAGCCTAGCAAAGCAAGTCCAAGACTTGGCGGATAGTCTGAAGAAGGAGAAGGTTCGCACGGAGGTTGACAACAGGGAAGGCTAGTAAGTACATTGACTTTCTGATTGTCACACCACCTTGCAAATACACTCTCGACACCTCCCCACTTTCCATATGGCACATGGACTTCATCGACCTCTAGCCAACTATCTACTAATTTTTACTCGACAGCACTCCTGGCTTCAAGTTCGCTGATTGGGAGATGAAGGGAGTACCCCTCCGACTTGAGTTTGGACCAAAAGATGCAGCGAATGCTGTGGTCACCTATTCTCGTCGTGATACGGGTTTCAAGGGCACTATTCCGCTTGCAGAACTAACAACTCAAGTCCCGGCTCTTCTCGAGAAAATTCAGCAAGACATGTACGACAAGGCAAACGCGGAGTTCACATCCCACCGGCTGATTCTCGACGATTGGACCAAAGTAGTTGCAGCACTTGATGCACGTAACGTGGTGTTGATTCCATTCTGCGGCGAGCCGGCTTGCGAGGAGCTGATCAAGGATCAAACCAAAAGTGACGAGCACCGGGAACTGGGAGCGGATGGTAAACCACAACCGTCCATGGGCATGAAGAGTCTCTGTGTTCCGTTTGACCAGGTATGCTTGTATTTTCTCAATTGCACGATATATACTGACATCGCTTCTCCAGCCTTCTGGCATTGTTGAGGGTGAGACAAAATGTCTAAGACCAGATTGTAAAGCGACCGCAAAGTCATGGGTGATGTTCGGTCGGAGCTATTAGTTACAACTCTTTCAAAGTAGTTTGCTAAGCCCTGCTGTTATTGCATAACAAGCCGGGATATAATCTATAAAGCACCAGGATGGCAGTCAACCATAAGATATCATGTGAGAACATCACATATGCAATGGTACTGAAATAAATGCGATCTATTACACATTGTCACTGCTTATAGGGCAGGTCTCTGTCGTTCGGCAAATGGTCTTACGATGTCACTCCCAAGGCAACGCAACCAAGAGGGTAGTAACCCTTAGATGTACGAATGGCAACTAGCTTAGTTGTTTAAGAACCGAAATATTTCGTGCATACACACACATACCGGGAAACTAGCATATCTATCTACTTGGGATCCCATGTTCTTAAAATGAAACCGGGTTTGATGATTTGTTTCTAGTAACTTGGTAACTTACGTGTCGGCTCATAAAGTAAACGTAGGCTTTGAAGGCGAAAGCTATTAGCTGGTATTGAAGATCTAAATCAACAGGTCACCTAGGTTGACTTCAAAGGACTGGCACAATATATAAATAACCTTTATAAACAATTACGGTACAAGATCTGATTGTACCCTTGAAATACATACCTACCTATGTAGGTAGGGGGTACTGAAGGTACTTACAACATGTTCTTTGGGCGTATATTCTAGTCCGGGCTCCACCTTGTCGACTTGGCGTCCTGGGATCCAAATGCTACGGGACCTATGAATATCTAAGTACATGGGCCGTCGCGTACCTGGGTTAGTGCATGCGCGAGTTGGTGTTTAGTAGATGTAGATATAAGTAGATCTTAGGTGTTGAGAGAGTTGCCAAGTTTGTAGAGAGATTCTAGATAGCTTCTTTATCATGCGCGACAAAGACCCCCTCTCAAGGGCAAAAAGCTCTAGCCAAGGAGATCGTTGATCTTTCAATTGCTAATCTAGGGGTAGTAATCTTCGTGCCTACTGATAGCAAGTTCTATTTGGCGGTAAGACCTTTGGCGAGCACTACGAGCCAAAATCTCCTGACCTAAACCGTGCGCTCGCAGCAAGTGAGTGTCTAGCGATCTTGGCTTTCTGGGCTGGTGAGCTGAACTCAGCGATGAATTGGTGAATGAGCTTGTCTTTGCCACGTCGGAACTTCAGTCGGCTGAGGCTTGGTTGGGGTCATGGTACAGGGCCTCAGGCACTTGAATCATTTGGCAGTCTTTATAGCTAGCATCACGCTCCAATAAAACATCCTCCAAGCTATTATGGATATACCGTAGCTATCTGTTACAAGTCGGTTAAATCTCAGGTACCTAGTTAGGTAGGTGCTTAACATCGTGGGCGATGGGGATGGTTTGCTTCCGGGGCGGACCGACACCGGTGGTACGCTACCTTCTTCCGGCCGGCCCGCATTATAACGGAATAGATCTATTCCTTTTCCGTTATCAATCCACTGCCTCTCGGAAGGGAGCTTAATTGCGTTGCCATACTCCACGGCAAGGTCCCGTACACGTAATCAAGCTAGATGACATCATAAAACGAATCCTAGTGCTTCAAAAGCACCTAGTATCACAGAAAAAGAAAGAAAAAGAGAAATACCTGCCCAAAAAGTGAAATTTCGGTCTTGTCCCTAACCTGCGCTGGGGTGTAATTTACGGTACTATGAACAAAAATCTGTCGAGGTTAACATAGGCTAGGGACACGATCGGTATTGACCTGTACGGCCTAGTAAGGAGCTAGATCTCAACCTAAGCTGGATCATATGTCGCCTTGCGGTAGTTAACGACTTCACGGGTTAGGAATTGAACTTGTTTCATTAAAATAGGGGGGACAGCTCATAGAATCGGCGCACTGCAGAGTATGCCTAGTAGGGTAACCGCAAGTAGTCACCTCCTCCATCACGATCTATGGCCCACTTGTATATTTATTTCATTTCTAATCGTCCTCCGGCGGCAGTTCGTCGTCAATATATCGGATCAGTGACACTCGCATCTCAGTAGTATCATTGCCTCTCAATACGTCGCTGATAAAGTGTGCCTCGACCTGCATTTGTACCATCTCTAACGCGCCCCGAAGGACACCGCAGAATATATTGGAGTACCACAGTTCATCTTGCGCTCGGCCGTCATCTGGCAATTCTACGAAATCTGCCAGGGGATTCTCCTCAAATATGAGCGAGAACTGTTTGTTGTCACTGGTCCAGTTCGTGACCGTTGGCGAGATGTTGAGAAAGATCTTGAACCCGATCTAAAAACGTACGTAATTAGTTATATTTAATCTTATAGGGGATCGTGGGCTCCCCAAAGACACTTCCGTACCTTCGCTAGCGAATCAGCCGTCTCTCGAAAGTTGCTACATCGCCGCATAGTATTGGACTTGGCAAGATAATCTTCTATCAGTCGTAGACCGATATTGTACCCCATCTTATCTAGCTGCTTATTGACCTGAACGTAGTCTCCGTCAAAATCCTTGCATAGTTGAGCGACGATAGTGCCATATGTCAAGACGACAAGCTCAGCGTTCACCTTGTCGACACGGCCCCTTTTGAAACGCGCGTGAGAATCGCACTCAATAACGGTCACGGACCGAGGTAGATGAACTTACTTCCATATCCTGTCATCATTCAGCGGGTCACTCTTGATAAATTGTAAGGAAATGGGTTATCTGAACCTACTCTTCGCCCACACGGGCAGCTTTGCTGGCAGACATGCTCGGCTCGCGAGCTGTAGGTCCAGCCTCACTAAATCATGGACAGCGTTCCAAAGTACAAGGTGGCCTTTTCGGCGCAACATAGAATACAACAACGATGACAGTGTATGAAGTACCTAGAGAGCGCGAGCAAGATGCGGCGGCAGTATCGGGCGGTGAGAGTGTACGAACGCATAAGCAAGTACCTGAATGTACATAGGTACCCACTGAGGTGGTACTACCTAACGCTAGGCTGCCCCTCCATGCAAAGAAATGAAAGGCCCCCGATGCTGCGGAACATCCTTTGCTCCGCTAACTTTTCAATTGATTAGGTGGGTATCTAGGTACTACGTACCTAGGTAGAGTCCGCGATGCGCTTTAGATATTTCCGAGGCCTACCTACGTTGAGCTTCCAACACTTTTAATGTTACTACCTAGTTCAATTGGGGCTTGGATTTTCTTTCTACCCATTCGCCTAGGTACAGTTACTTTATTTATCACGGAGTAGACACGCCTTGCTTTAGAACAAGCTGAAGCCATCATTCTTAAGCTCTTCTCTTTTTTCTTCTTCTCTAAACGGGGTCCCCTTCAACATAGTTTTAATTACGACTAACCTGCCACGTATCGCCCCAAGTCAAACTTGTATACAACAAGCGCCTCTTCTTTCTTAACCTTATTGCAAGCCGATCGGTATACCAAAATTCAGCAAGTGTTCTGAATGAGATGTCGGCCGAAAAGAGGCCCGCCGCCGACGACGCAGGGGCAGGGCAGTTAGTTAAGAGACAGAAGCCGGGTACGAGCACAGCACTTTCGAGACGCGATGACACCGCCAGTAGCAGTGCTTTGATTCAATCGGTACGTTATTCATGCCCCTGGCTATTCTTATCGAGCTTAATATTAACAACCTGCATATTGCAGACAATAAGGACAAGTAATCTTGAGGCGCCGCTCATGGAACTGAGTGGTCACTCCGGGGAGATATTCTCAGCCAAGTTCGACCCAACTGGAAATTTGATCGCGTCTGGGTCTATGGACAGGAGTATATGTAAGCTATGTCCTATCCCCGTCTTACACTGCCTTTTTCATTGGGCATACGTAGCTGATAACCATGGATGAAACGGTAGTGTTATGGAATTCTTCTGGTTCTTGCGAAAATTACGGCGTCCTGAATGGTCACAAAGGCGCAGTTCTCGATTTACAGTGGTCTCGAGATTCCGAAATCCTATATTCTGCTTCGGCCGACATGCATCTCGCCAGTTGGGATTTGACGTCGGGAACTAGGATACGGCGATATGTAGGCCATGAGGAGATTATCAACGCTATGGATATCAGCAAGCGGGGTGAAGAACTTTTAATCAGTGCCAGTGATGACGGCACTATCGGCATCTGGGATCCCCGTACAAAGACCGCTGTGGACCATATTGAGACCGACTTCCCGATTACTGCTATTGCTGTCTCCGAGGCTGGCAATGAAATATACTCCGGTGGGATTGATAATGATATCAAGGTCTGGGATTTGCGGAAAAAGGCTGTTGTTTATTCCATGCTAGGTCACAACGATACTGTCACCAGTTTGCGCGTTTCCCCTGACTCTCAATCACTCCTGTCCTTCTCCCACGACTCAACTGCGAAAACCTGGGATGTTCGACCCTTTGCCCCGACAGAGCGGCATATCCGAACCTTTGACGGAGCACAGATGGGCATAGAGAAAAACTTAATCCGTGCAAGCTGGGACAAGGCTGGCAAAAAGATTGCGGTAGGCGCCGGAGATGGAACTGTTGTCATATGGTCAAATGACAATGGAAAGCTTCTGTACAAGCTTCCTGGCCACAAGGGCACTGTCAACTGCGCAGAGTTCACGCCAAACGAAGAGCCTATCAGTAAGACAACCTAGCTTTGCAACATGTTGAATTATGCCTGACTAATTATATCTCTAGTTCTTTCAGCATCTTCAGATCGTCGTATGCTTCTGGGAGAGCTACGGTGATTCAGCTACGCTCTATGGTCTGAAGGGAAATTCTAAGAGCTGCCGCGAAGCAGGAAGACCTTCCATTTCAATTGTTTAGCTTCCTCTAGGCGCAAGTAGAAGCTGTGTCCATTGTCAAGCCTACTTCCTTAGGAAAATCTGTGAAATGACGAGCCACAAAGTCGTCGTTTCTGCATTCAGACAAGTAACTATAGGTATGACCTAGCGAGTGTAGTATAATTGATGCTCTGGGTTTGGCGAGCTTGATATAGCATTGCCTCGGAGGTAACTACAACGCGAGAGCGTCAATCATTCGGCACCTTTCTAGCATCCGAAACGAGATAACGAAGCAGCCATCTGATAACTATTGTTGCAGGGTTGTTGGGGGATCTCTAGAATAGACAGTTCAACGAACACTTGGAATGAAGGCACCAAGTATTCGATACCCAGTAACATGATAACGAATCGGAGATTTTGTGCTGTTACGAAAACTGTCCAGGAATATGAACAGAATACAACCTGGCTCCTTAGAACCTTGAGCTGGGATATGTGGCGGGTATTATTACATAGTCCTGTGTTTGCCCAGGTTCCCCACCACGGTTCCGAGATGGGTCTGTATCTACGTAGTATAATGATTGGTCATCATAAGATGATAAAGGAACGCGAATCTGTAATACCGCTGCCTCTGGGCTACCTCTGAATCGTTAATCGCCCCTATTAAACAGCATTTGCTACGTCTTTATCAGGCGAAAACCAAACCGCACACATGCCTGTTGCGAACCGAGGACCATTTGCAGACAAGTCAGTTCGTTTGGCTGGTCAGCGCGTTATTTAGCTATGCATGTTTCGAGCGCGACACCACCACCACCACCACCACCACGGCGCTTACTACCATGCACTTGAATACTTACTTACTAGGTATGTAAATAGGTGTCTAGTCATATGCATCCCGAGTCGAGGCTGGCCGAAGAGGAAAGCTGATTCCCCGACCTGACGCTCTCTGAACCCTTAACATGGCTATTGGGTAGCTAGCTACCTACATACATATAGTAGGTAACGTAGTTGTAGTCTCAGCTGTCCAAAGATGGAGTCGGTTGGTTGATTCTGGATTGACTCTGAAACACTCATACACCCCCTGATATACGTTAATGTCTTACCTCAAACGCATCAATGTAACCTCGGCGCTTGTTACGAGATCAATCTCGCCTCGAATACCAATTGCTGCACTTTGTACCTGCATGGCAGCATTACTGAGTAGGGAACCATTGAACCCCCCTGCACCGTGGGTGTTTCGATTTACGAGATATCATCAAATACCTAGTTAGGTACCTAGGTAGGTGTCTACCTATGTATTGCATACTAGAGTATAGATCGTGGTTATGGCTGCACCCTCCCTCAACCACGCTCTTAATGCTGCCTACCGTGACCTGCTGTCTGATGCTAGCGTTACAAGACAGCCCGAAAAGAATGAGCAATAAATAATCACACCCTTCTTCCCCTCACCCTCACCGTGGCTCGCTCTGCATAGCCAACCACGTACGATCCCGCCCGCTAAGGGCCTCGAGGACCATGTCGTCGCCCTGCCTTGTCCCTGCCGTCCCAAACAACAGGGCGTCTATGATCTCCCGCTCCATATTTCTCTTACACGTATACAAACTAGGGTAGTTAATGGCCCCTTGAATTCCAACGAGCCAGCCTCTTGGCGTTTTTCTCTCATTGCTTGCTGCCCTCTCGGGACTTGTAGATTGGTACTTCTGCTTCGAGCGCCGTTTTCTTTTCCCCTTGGTATCGCAAGCATTACGGTCTTATGCCGTTTCGTTTGAACTTCCATTCTTGACTCTCCATTTCTCTTCGTCGTGCTCTGCGAGCATCGTTCACTTTGCTGGGTTCCATCGAATACCTAGGGTATTCGCACTCTTTTACACCTATCCACCGGCACTTTCATTCATTCTGTAAGGCCAGATCGTATTGTAGCAACAACTCGTTCCTATTGCATAGCGCTTCTGCAGGTTCCCCGGCCGCGCCTGGGACCAGAGCTCCATTCATTCGCTGAGAGTCGCTCGACCTCGAAACCGACAATCTGCTAAAAACACGACACGCTCTAATCATTAATGAACCAACAGTGACATTTGTTTACCTGACATAAAGCTGTTCTCTGCTGTGGAGGCTGTTCTTGTTTGTTTACACTCTAGTATTATTGCTTGAGCCGGGTTGCGCCTGTACCCACCTCTACGCCGACCTTTCAGCCCAACAGATAACATAATAATCATAGTTCAAGACACAGATTATAAGCCTATTGTTATCAGCTACGCTACAGATCAACTTCGTAATAATGAGTCTGCTATGGCAGGAACGGGCTCAGGACGGCTCAGATCTCGAACGTCAAGGACCTAGGGTTGTAGAAGGACAAGCGCGAAGTAGCTTGAGGTCATTCACCTTACGCAACTTGCTCCCCGGACGAATGGGTTGGGTTAATCGAGATCGGGCTCCCAGTGAAAATGAATCCGAAAATGATGATGGCCCCAAATCCCCTAACCTTGAAAGAACCGGAGCACAAGAGATACCGAATCAACTGCCACCTGCCGCCAGGACTCAAGAAACTGGAATCCCATCAAGAACCCGAATCCGATTGCAACGTTTTCCGGTTCTAACTCGGCCACAAATAGCACGGGCGGCCAATGGAGAGGAATCCGAGCGTCATGTACGTCGCTCGAGGTTCGGCGGATCAAATCCAGCAGAATTACACTTAGTCGAATTCGCCGAAGATGAGAGAAGGCGGCGACGCGCACAAGAGAGACTTCGTCGCAAAGAGCCACCGAAAAGATTCCTGTTCTGCTTCCCGTGGGTCAGGTCTCGGCAAGCCCGAGCACTCATCCTGCGTTGTTTTGTGTCGGGCGTATTCCTGATATCAATGCTTACGACATGTATGTTGTGGACACGTCCACATTCGAAAGTTGCGTTTACTGATTATCCAGCATAGATCTCGCCCTTGCTATCACGAAGAATATCAACTCCAGCGCCTTCAGCATATTGCTTATTCTTCTCATTATCTTGACGGCCATTATCTTTTGTCACGGGCTCATTCTGTTGTGTTTAACACTCGTAAAACCAAAAAGCCGACCAGGTCCGCCAGGAGTAGATATTGAAAGTAACCGATATGGACAACCAGGATACGCAATTCCTAGACAGCCAATCCGTGTTGTACTTGCACGAGATGAGGAGGCGGCTGGGATTGAGAGTGAGACGGCAAAGTTGAAGCCTCCGGCATACGGATTGTGGCGCGAGAGTGTGGTAAGTTGATTATCAGCCATCTCATCTACTCGAAGGCTATTCTCCCATATAGCTTCTCTTGACTTACGCCGTCGTCATTATAGCGCGTAGATCCTAACCGAATTTATTGGCAACGTGCCAAATCACCACTGCCCAACGGCGATGATGGGGACGAGGGCGGCGGTCGCACGACTCAACGTCGACCACCCTCTTATGCCTCAGATGATGGCATCGACTACGTTGTTGATGCTCGTCCGAGATCTATAGCGCCACCCCCTTCCTCTGTTTATTCTCGAGCCTCTACGATTGATTCCCCCTTCACATCGAATGAGGTGCCGCCACTACCCCGCCCAGCCGCGACGGAGATGTCCGGGCCACGGGTAGTTGGGCGACCAGGAAACTGGTTGATTGTTTAGGTTCATTCTGGGCCTAGGCTGTACGACCTCTAGATAGGGTGTTACGGTTGTGTGGACATTCAGACATTCTCGGAGCTTGTGTTTTCTCAAAAGGTCACGGCGTAGACGCATTATGCATAGGATGCAGGGGAAATCTTTTAATTAAGCACTGGCGTTGGGGCACTTTTACCTACCTAGGTAGGTGTGTATGTATGATTTACGAGCAGGAGCAGTGCTGTTTAAAATTTAAATTTGTTTCTGTGAAACATAATAACCTCTCCCCATCATTAATCCATGTAGCAGATGTTACGCAGCGAGCAATTCTGGTCGCCGTAGGTCGTGCGAGATGCCTACCTGTGCTGTACACTGGGCCATGTGGGGGTCATATCTGGGCGGATGAAAAGAAAGCAGGCTACAGAAATGTTTAATGCAAAACCCGAGGTTATAATCAACTTTGCTTTACTGATCTCTCTATTTATCTTGTCTTTCTATATATCCCCTGTCGACGGAGCCATAGAGAGAGGGGCGAGCAGCACACATATGCCATACCCAATCGTTAGGTACTATGCCTCTTGAGTTTTGTCATAAGAAAGGACCGATTAAAGATACTACCTAGGTACGAAGTAAGTAAGCAGGTTAAAGCGGAAAACATATTGGAACTGGTAATACTCGCTGGTGTGAACCAACTATTCGATGCCTTGGGGCGGGCGGGCAGCACGCTGTGCGGGGTCGGCCGTTGTCGTGTCTTTGCGACGGCCTTGTGATTGGGCGGACGCCGAAATGACAGGATGTCATAACTCCCCTCCTCAGCCAGCGTCAGTGCATGTGCGCAATGCGTACCGCCAGTCTGGTTGGCTGTAATGTATGTAAGGTCAGGGAGCGTTTTACGCTACTTAAGCATATGTAATGTACGTTTTAAGCGACTAGGTAGTCTAGCCTAGATACCTACTTAGATAGGGTACAAGCTTGATTGATTAATGATCACAGAATGATCACAGCCCAGCGTCAAGTGTCCTGTCTTCCTGTCTTCTGGGCTACTGCTGCTGTTATTATTGTGGTTGTTGTTGGATTCTTCATTCAACTAGGTACCTACATACATGTAGGTACCTACTCAGGGACAAGGACGACATTCCGTGTTAGCAGAGAGAAGCACACCAGAGGGTTTGATTCATGTCAATACCTTGACTGACTCACGTAGCTCGCTTATGTTGTAGTGTGGCGTGAGATGAAAAGCAATATGAGAGCTTGATCTATCCTTTAGGTATCGGTGTTATATTGATCTAACCTTCTGTTAGTCCCTCCGCCCTACATACTTATTATATGTCAAGTATACTTACTGGGATAACTTAAGCAGGGATAGGAAAAGCTGACGCCAGGGAGAGAGCTACAGGAGACATCTGAACACCAGCGCTTATGTCCAAGTGCACTTCAAACCATTGTGTAGTACGAGGTAAACAAGTAGATGGTGATGACGGCATAACTTCCTACCTATAATAACTGTGTATATGATATATATATATATATATATATATATATATATATAACGGAATACGCATTGCTCGGTAGTACTTAGTAGGTAAGAAACACGTATATTGGAAACACAACAGTCCGCAGTTGTCAACTATCGTTTCACTCTCTCCGCATCCACACACACACACACACAACTACCTCGCATTCTAATATACCTACCTACCAATATACCTAGGTACCCAAAGGTAGGTAGTAATGCAGGACGTAGGACATAATGTGCAACTTACAAGGTATCTACCAAGTAGGCATGAAGAAGCCACATTCCAATCATGACAAAGTCGACATCTGTGCATGAAGATCTGTTACCATAAACTCGCTCTCGTTATTCTTCTGATTGTCTTACCTTGTCTTATTAGTCTTGTCCAGGCGTGTGCATCCTACCTAGTACACCTTAAGTAGGCACGTTGCTACTGTAAGGTCTAATGAGGCACTGTTGCCGTTGCGGGTCAAAGGTCACATTGCCGTCCTCACCAAATCAAGTCGTAAGAGGCAGAGCTGAAGAGGAAGTCAACCAAGTCCGCCCAGGATGTTCACGGTTAGACTGCTCTGTTAGGTATAAGTGCCTGCTCGCGACTGAGTCAACCTCAGCCAATACGCTCGCTACCTACAGTACGCTACGACGATACTACTACTTAAAAGTAAGTACCATGCGATCTGAAGCGGCACACGCCAAGAAGAGCACCCCCTCTAAATCCTCCTCCACCTCGTGATCCCCCATCCCATCCCATCCCATCCCTCCCTCTCCCTCGTTGCTCTAGTCCTTCCCTCACCCGTTATGGTAGTGCGATGGGCAGACGATGGGTAAGGGCTAGGCGTCTTCTTCCTCCACTATTTCCAGTTTCAACAGCCCAGTCAAGCCCTGTCAAGCACAAGCACAGCGCCAGACGGCAGCAGTTACAATACGGTACTAGGCATGTACAATACCATAAAATACAATCTACCTACTGTAAGTATGTGGGTGGCAGCGCCAGTGACCCTACCGTATGCTAGTCCTGCCTGAAAGTAGCGAACCGCTCGCCGCTCCCTCTCCATTCCTTCTGCCCACCCCCCGCCGAGCCATTTCTATTGACATCCTTTTTGTTCCCTCTTTTCTTTTTTTTCTTCCCTTCCTCCCCACACATTTCGCATCATCATCTACTCGATACATCCGAGGTTGTCGTGTTCGGGAGAAGACGAGAGTCGCTTGGAAGCTGAAGAGAAGGTTGCCGTTGGATCGGACAGAAGAAGCAGCTGACGGGAAATCGTTTAAAGGGCCTTGTTGTCGCATAGTTTGAAGAAGTAAGTCGTCATTTTCCTCTGTTCTGTGTTGCTGCCCATTTCTCGGTTTCCTCCCTCAAATTCTGGTTTTGTTCTTGGACGATCAATTCCCTCGAATGGTCTTGTACTCCTTGCCCCGGGTTGCCTTTTGCGCCCAACCGCGGCAATGGGATGTGGTTCGGCGCAAAATATAGCGCCTTGGGATGGCGATACGGCACATGTCAGCGCGGAAACCGAGTTAATATTGGTTCATGTCGGCCCTTGCTGTGCGACATGACCGAACACCCAACCACCGTTGTCCCCGGGCTCTTTTCGCTTTTATAAGCCGATTCGAATGCGACGATACGTACGTAATAGCGCATATCAAGACTGCTCTTCCAAGCCGCTTCTACTTGCTGCGACATCATCCCATGGCGTCGTCACTCCTACAACGAACGACTCTTTCGCGCCTATATTGGCCACGACACAACATACAAGTTGTCGATTTTTGAGTTATAGAAACTGCGCACTAGCCACTTTCTGTTACGTCCACTTGAAATTATCACTTGACACCAAGCGCATGGTGTGTGCGATCCATGCATCCATCCTATTGGATGGATCAACTATCCAAACATACCAGTTGCCCGGGTTCGAGCAGCCGGGTTTGTGTTGCGTGCATAGGTGGCAGGCAACGCACGGGAATGTTAGGGACAGACACATAGTGCGCACGCAAACAAACACATATACCACTTGACACGCCGTTCTCCAAGAAAGGACGACAATACGACGTTGCCACGCTGCTTGCACACTGTGGAAACTTGGAAGAAAATCGATTCGTCACTACGATAATGACTGGAGTGGAATGGTGCAACTCAATCACGAATTAGAGGGTTGTGTTCCAGTTGACGAAACAGTCACTTGTCGCCCTTATACATGAGCATACGCTCTAGGAAACACCTGCTCCAAGTAATATTTCCTGCACAGTTTCATTAGATATATGCGCCTCGTCTATTTGCCGTCTATCAGTTTGTACGCACTTCTCCAGAAACCCTATCCGCTATTGGCGCATTGCCAGGATGGCAGCAAACGGCGATTGGATTTTCATGCTGTCACATACGATGGCTTCGTTCTGCGCACCTCAACCAGCTGCTCTTTCTCCAGTTGTTCTCTCAGTACCTCATGCCTCATTTGCGCCTATGGCCATAGCACTATCCGGCAGTACAGTCACACAGACTTCTTTGCCGCAAACGCATTGGGCCATATATTGATAAAGACAATGCTGACTTGACATGGTATTCTGGAATTGGAACTGACAGGCTTATAGACGTTTCACCATGTCTTCTCTATCGCGCAGAGCATGCTACAAATGTGGCAATGTTGGCCACTACGCCGAGGTTTGCTCCTCCGCTGAGCGCCTTTGCTACAACTGCAAGCAACCAGGTAAGCCTTGCTTGACCCGATGACTCACGGCGTTTGTAGAACTGACACACCTCGATGAAAAGGCCACGAGTCTAATCAGTGCCCTCTTCCCCGGACGACAGAGGCCAAGCAGTGCTACCACTGCCAAGGACTGGGTCACGTCCAGGCTGACTGCCCTACTCTCCGCTTAAGTGGTACTGCTGGAGGTAATGGGCGCTGTTACAACTGTGGACAGCCTGGTCACCTCGCTCGGGCATGCCCCAATCCTGCCGGCGTTAATATGGGCCGTGGTGCCCCTGTCAGTCGTGGTGGTTTCGGTGGTTACGGACGTGGTGGCTTCGCCGGTGGTCCCCGCCATGCGACTTGCTACAAGTGCGGTGGCCCCAACCACTTTGCTCGTGACTGCCAGGCCCAGGCTATGAAATGCTACGCCTGTGGTAAGCTTGGTCACATTTCGCGCGACTGCACCGCCCCGAACGGTGGCCCTCTGAATACGGCTGGCAAGACTTGCTACCAGTGTGGCGAAGCCGGCCATATCTCTAGAGACTGTCCTCAGAAGGCTACCGTCGCCGCTCCTGCTGGAGGCGAGATTCCTGCCGACACTGAGATCCCGGCTCCTGCCGCTATTCCCCCTGTTGCTTAAGCGTGAAGAATTCAAGGTGGTGTGCGAATTCACTCCGAATACGACCCGTTGATCTGGTCAAAATCCGGTCGCCACATTGGTGTCGGAATACCTCGTGATGATGCTGATTGAAACATGTGACACCTTGGTCATCTCTTTCAAAAATGCACGCTACTCTGGAGGCACATCATAACAATTGCATCTACTGTATGCAATTCTACTATATCGATTTCACCGCTATGAGCATTCTACTCTCTTTGGTTTCATCATTTACATCGTATGACATCAGTATTTTCCATCGTTGAAACACCACACTGGCATTCCGAAGTGAAGGTCCAGAGATGGCAACTATGCTTTTTTTAAGCTTCGTGGACCAACCAGACCGATAACATATGGACATCATGCTTTACCAATTTCCTTATTTTTATTAACTATTATATTCCCTTGTTTCATCATCAGCACGACTCACGGCGCATATGATCAACCACGGCTAGAACTCCTGTTACGCACACCACAATTTTGCTCTCTTTTCTTGCGGATTGGCCGGGTACCCATCGCATTCTTAAGTTGGGAATTTTTGGATCTAATCATCATTTCGGACATGGATTTTTTGTTCCCTCCTTGTATCACTACCAGCGCCGACCAGCGAGGGTGTGTTTGTAGAAAAGGGCGAGAGAGAGACGAAGCCATCGGTGGACGACAGGAAAAAGTGGGCAAGTGGCGAGCTACTCCCTACCTCTATAGAACTTGAAGCGGAAGGGGAGCCGGTTTATGTTTTTTATAATGAAAAACAGATTACGGGAAACTAGGAAAGAGGCACCATGGACAAAACAAAAGCTTCAATGTTACTGGATCATTACGCACACTCTAAAATCATCTTTCACGCTCTTGTTTTGCGGATGTAGAAGCTTGATTGGGCGCGCGCCGCACGTAAAATGGTTGAGAGAGATGTCGAAGGTGGTAAACCTGTAAGCACAAGACATATTGGCTGTCTTTACCTTTGCCTGTGCAAGAAAAGGTTGGGATTTATGCAAAGTTGGAGGCGGACTGTTGGGGAAGCAACGAATCGTGGTATACTAAGTCCTTCGTGACATTATCCGTTGTCGTAGCTACAAGATGTTGAGTTGATCTAGAATTGAAGTACAAAGAAACACATTCGGTGAACTCAACATTGATATGAAATTATGTCATCTATATAAGCTTAAATACATTACTCCTGCAAAGCGAAAGTCAAGGATAGATACACTAGTTGGATCTGAAGTTTGACAAGGAACCTGCTTACGTACGTCTTGGGATCGCAGCTTCACCCTTTATCATTTATTATGTTTGTTATGTTTATTATTAATAAGTAATAATTTGCAGGCCATGCGTAATATTATGCGCCCTTTGTTCAATATAAACAGCCAGTGAATAATTCACTATGGCGTGTGCTCTAGGCTCGAAAATTGTAGGAGAACAACAAACCAGCCAGACAGGTAGCTACTACCAGTCGGTATAGTAGATATACCAATTAATGCTTGAATATAGGGAAATTGTGTCGATTTAGAAGGCATGATGAAAGGAGCCTTGGAGGGGGGCGCTTGCTCGTAGAAAGTGATGTTGACTATAGGCGAACCAAACCAAACCAAAAGTAATTCATGACGATTTACAAACGTCAATTTGCATGTATACATTGTGTGTGAATTTTCACTACTTAGCAACGGCATGTTTCAACCTCTAGTCTACATACGTGCGTTCTGAGGACTTTGAGGAAAGGATCTTCTAGACAGAAATGTATGCTGGGGAATATGCCAAAAGCATAGTGATTTGATGGGGAAGATATGGTAACGTAGCTCGTTGTTTGACATGTACAAGCACTCTTGGTGTGGAATAGAGATAGAGCATTATAGCTGAGTCGTTGGTGGTTAACGTAAGCTGCTAACTGGTGCCTCATACAGTATGCCCATAGAAAGCTTCGCGTAGGTGCTTAATGATGGCCACATAGTTTTCCCGGGGGCGGGGGGGGGGGGGGGGTATGACCCGCGCTCTATACTTAAACCATATATATCTACGGAGTCATACAATCTGGCGTGGGAAAATGTCAGATTGTAAGGAGATCCTCATTCGGGCCATGTTGCCGATGTTATGGGCCGAAACCAGTGATTTGATCAACTTATCCATCTGTTTGAGATTGAGATTCAGCCTCGCTCCTACAGCTATATTCAAAAGTTCATCGGTGATCATCGCAAATAAGAATCTAATGAGAGATGGCGATTTAAGATTAGACAAAAGGCCTGATTTAAGAAAGAGGGGTATTGGTAGTTATGTCCATTATTTCGACGCCCGTGAGCGTCATGGATACTCATCTAGCGTCCTCCAACATGGCTCTACGTCGGTCATGTATCCGTCATATGCAATTCATTTTCATAAAAGCCCTTTTCCCCAGCGGGCTTCGAAATTTGTCTATTGTCCATTGTCCACTGCTCTGCCCGTCCTCTGCCCCTTATAGTACAGGTTTGGTTCGTAGTCATATCGTACAAAGCTGGCGGGTGTGATTCTCATTCTCTACCGTAATCGTGGAATGGTAGTCGTGGTTATAATCCCGATCGCAAAAAGTCTCTTAAACCCTGGGAATATGTGTTAGCGAATAATGGGAAGTGTTGTGGTGGTCTCGGTTATAGTAGTCACTGGGAAAGGTCTTACGGAGGCAGCAGGAATTCGCTCCAAGGGCTGGCGAAGAAGGCGACGGCAGCCTAAGAGGTGGTAAGCACACGAAAGATGAGATTGAAGTGTCTTCACACGGAGCGCGAGGGTATCAAGACATACTCCGAATATGGCTACGCTCTTGACGACGGAAGCATTTTCAGGAGAGGTGAGGGCGCTGTATGTCGAGGCAATGACACCCTTAGGAGCACGGGATCGAGGGTTGGCAGACGGCATTTTATCACCCGTTTTCTCTATTGCGGCTAATAATAGATTCCGGTGCTGGCTTTGCCAATGGATAGAATTCGAGTGAAGGCGCCTCGGGGAACGGACTGGTGGCTGGAAGTCAGATAGGTGGTGCTGGCTGGCAATGATTGCGGAACAAGAATGGCGACAAAAAGAAAGAGTGGGGACAATGGATGATCTCAGCAGATGCCGTAGCTACCCTACCGGCAACGTAGGGCCGCCTGCAGCGATGGATGCGCAATCGATAAGTCTCCGAGGATGGATCGCGCTCGGCACTCACATAGCTACCTCGTCAGACGATTCTGAGCATCTGCGCATTGGTATGAACATCACGCCGTGCCATCTCCGTACCTAAATAATAATTGAAAAAAATAAAAATAAAAAATAATCAAAGACAAGAAACCCCGACAATGACCGAATCGCCTCGAGTCTCTCGTCCTAGTCCTAGTCCTGGTGGCTTCCTCCCTTCGCAGGCCCTGCCATCGCCCACGCCGAGTACAGCTTCAAGCCGTGTCGCAGCTCTGCTGCCGCACCCACGTTCCAAGCCACTAGTTCCCGGGTCGAAAAAGGAAGATTACGCTAGGGACTATGTTGCAAGAAGGCTTTTACACATTTCGCGCCGCTATGTCAAGAAATTCGGTATCCCAGATCCTGCCGACGAGGTCACTGGGTATGAGAATATGGAAGAAGTCTGCCATGATCTAGAAGAGGTAGTAGACGTATTATGGTTTTCGGGAACTCGTATGTCCACGCTCGCCTTATCCCCCTTTCTACTAATGACGTCTCGCTTTTAACACGATGTTTGTCTGTAGCCAGTCTTCAGGTCCCCTACCTACTAAACGTTGCGCTCGCTCTGAATACCTACCTCCCGTCGTTCCCTCCCGCGCCTCGGCCAACATTCACTCTACTGCGAAAAATAGATCACTGCTTTGCAAGTCTACTAGTAGGGTACGATGTGAAGACAAAGGAGCCACTGCCAGGCTTCTCCTCGACCGTGGATAACAGCAATAAGATGCGATTTTCAAAAACTGACATGGTGCGTTGCAAGAGCTTAGCAGATGAGACCCGTATGCTCGTCGCCATGGTCATGAGCGGTGAGGTAGATGTGGTTGATTACACTGAAGATGATGAGGTTGTACAACGGCCTGCGCGTGCACAGACAGAAGCCCGAAATATTTCCGTTAACGTTGAAGATCATGCGTCGCATAGTTTCCATGGTGTTGAGATCGTAAAGGATGAAGAGATGGACGGTGTAGATGACTTCGATTTTAGTTCCGAGGGTGAGGGTGTCGCTGTTCCGACTAAGCGGAAAGCTGGTGAGATATCACAAGATGACGCTATAAATGACCAAGCGGCCAAAATCAAACAAGTCAAAATCGAAGACGAGGAAGAGGGAGACTCTAGCGTCAAGCTAAATGATATCGCGCCGGCTGATGACTCTGGTTCACGAGTAGGTAGAGAGTCGAAGAGCGATGATAACGGGCAGTTTCATTGGGCATTAGAGGATGATGATGATGATGATGATGATGACAAAGACGACGACGACTCAGATAATGAAAAACAACCTAGTAGGACTGCTTCTACATCCAAAACTACTAACTTACCTTCTAGAGGAGCGAACCTTCCTTCCCCTCCTCGAGCGCCTGTCCTAAACGATGCCAAGAGAACTGGGACAAACAACGAAGAAGAGGAAAAATTTGAAGAGTACGAAGATGAAGAAGATGAGGAACTGGAGTTGAATGTTGGGAAGGTGTACGAAAAGACACTTGTTCGGCTTGGGGAAACCCTAGGAGAATCCCTGATAGACGACTGAGGATTTTACGTCTCTGCATACACTAAATCCGTACCTCACAGCCAAGCGATCACATTCGCTAGGTGACACTTTAGTTTATCGCCTTCATGCTCCGAAGGTTGATGTATTACTGGCGATTGCGCACCGTCCCCAGTGTTCACATCTGGGTGAGTGGATAGAGTGCTATTCTGCAGTGTATGAATGCGGCTTGCAGAGTTAGTTCATCAGGCAGCTAAGCAAGTCAAGCCACGACTATTTGCGCTAATAGTCTCTGCGTCTATACCACCCTGTCACGAAAGGCATGTTTTCGTGCTGTTATGAGCGAGAACGGCATCCGCGCGGCCCCCAGTTCACTCGGTGACATCTAAAGTCCATCGTAACGAGTGCTGAGGATAACAAAAGTCACGCATGGCTAAGCGGTTGGCCAACGGCTGTATTCTCGTCCGTTGGGGTGATTGGGATGAATCATCAGCTCTTAAGAGGTGTGGAGCGGTGCAAAAGGTCCCTTCAACTCCCAGGCATTGGGATTCAAGCTGCGAGTGCAAAGAAGCCGCCAAACCAAAGACGCTTGGTGATAAGGCACGGTGGTTAGTGGCATAACAGCCTTCCTGTATCAAGAGCCTCGTGACTGAACCATGGTCATGAACAATTCCATCGTTTCAAAATTGCTAGGCGCCATATATTTGGGACAAATTCATAGCGAGCGTTGATCACAGGCTGTCCGGTATTCTTATAACGAATGGTGCGTTCATAAAACGTTAGGAATCTGCACCAGCCTTAGGCTAACAAACACTTATAGGAACAATTCATAGATTAGCCATCACTGTCATTGTCATATGCAATAGGAAAGTTGTCGTTATTATTTCATGCGATCATACCCCCACCCCCCCGGGGGCCAGACGAATTTCCTAAACATACATGATAGTGTGACAATCTGTACTCTGGTGAGTAGAACAGAATACCCTGAGCTCTGGTCTTGCGCTATAGATCACAACATTGTTTTGCATTAGATGTTTTTCTACATTCGCGGTGTCTAACACCGGTTGATAGTATTAAACGCTCAAAGAATGCTGCCCAATGTCCGCACCTGATTAAGGGCGACCCGCTTTTCCTTTTGTTGGGTACGGTTATTGTCAAACTCAGCGTCCCAGTTCCTCTCAGTCCACGACGGCGAGGGGGTCATAGCTCTTATGACCGATGGCCTTCTTGACTGTACTCATAGGATCTATCTTCCGCTTCTTCGCTAGTTCTTGGTTCACAACGGTTAGATCGCCTTCTTCCGTCGTCTCGATTTCTCTCTCCTCAGACTCTAGTTCCGGGTCATCAAAGGATCCATTGTCGAGGAAAACCTTGAGCATACCCTGCGAGTAGCCACTGACCACGGTCGTGCCCTCTTTTTCAGACGTGACAGGTTTAGGTGCTATGGGGTCGCCATTGGTAGCTTCGCCGTAGCCAGCACGTCCACCAGCGAGGTTCCAGAAAATGAGCTCAGGCATCTCGTAGCCGGCAGCTGCAAAACTTGCTTTGATACGCTCATACGAAGAGCTGAAGGAGTCACCGGGAGTTGCACCGGACTCGGCCGAGTTGAATTGCATATCCGAGAACACGAATACGCGTTTGACCATTTCGTCTTGAGAGAGCCTATTACGGACCGCCATTGGCAGTATAAGAGATTGGAAGACAGCTGTAAGGTTGGTGCTCATTCCGAATGTAGAATTCCGGAGATTGAGATACTTCTCATTTAACAACTGGAAAGGGTCTATGCTTTGTACCTGCGGTGTTTCGGAAAATGTGATAAAGTGGCCGCCAAAGGGGGGAGCTGTGACCTCGGCCACAAGAAGTGATAGCCCAATAGCACTGTCCATAGGACGAGTACCGTCGGGAAACACAGGATATTCCATGGAAAGGGAGGCATCGCAGACGGCGATGCTGGACTCCAGAGTACCCGAGTCCTTGATGCGCTGGACGAGCGTCTTCCACTGCAAATCGGTAACTCTGGCTTTCATTGTGTTCCAGCTCCATTCGTTATCCCGCACTTGTTTGATCAAGGTAGAGGGCAACAGAGTCGCGCCGCTAATGTGCGCCTTACCCTCCACCACATCGTCCAAGTACTTCGCGAAGCGCTCGCTGTCACGCTCGGCGAATATGTCGGAGTAGTTGTTCATGGCTATTGATGGTACGCGCTCGTACTTGATCTTGTCGTACGTTTTGGCAGAAAGATTGCGCTCTACAATGTCGAGGTGAGAGCGCAATGCCGAGACGTCTTTACGGTACTCCTCTCGAGCGTGGCGGAGATAAAGCTCTCGGTCAGTGGATTGGTGAGTCAAGCCAAACTCTGCAGGGGGGTGCAACATCTCCGCTATACTGGAAACGATAAAGGTATGCTTGTCGTGGAACCGGTCGTGAGAAGGGGCCCATTTGGCACATAATGAGATATCCTTCCTCGCCTTATGATCCTCACCTTTCAGCAGGGCCAGGTCTATCTTGAGCTGCTCAGCGAATAGACGAGCGACGGACAGATATAGTCCGCGGTACACTGGGTCAGAGTGAAACTTTTCGACGGCATTTTTATGTCGCTGGTTCCGCGTCTCGTGACGACGAGTCTTGGCCTCTTCCTTATTCACCGAGACATTTGATTTTGGTGGCTGCTCAACATTTAGAATATCTCTTGGCTGAGCAAGAACGTTAAGACTACCCTCGACACTGAGAATGAGTATGTTGAGGAGATCTTTCCAGTAGCCATGAGAGACACCGTGTTTGACATCAAATCGAGTCATATCTTCGGCATCCTTCTCGAGACTATTGTCAACTATGACCATATCTTTGTCCTCCTCTTCTTGATTCCCCTCCTCTTTCTTCTCAACTTTCTTCTGGATAACAGGACGACTTAGCCAGCGAAGGTTTGCAACCAGCGTGAGAGGGTGGTACTGGGCGAGCCAGCCAGCACAGCGATAGAAGGTGAGACGGGAAGCTTTGCCCAGGTGGATGGAGCGGGCGTTGAAAACAATCTTAAGTGTAGCGAGTGAGTCTTGCTTCCAGGCGACGTTGAGGAGCTCGAGAAGCCGCGGGCCAGACACAACATCTTCGAGCTCGGCGAATAAGTCGACGAGCGGCGATGTAGTAGAGCGGTAGGCGATATCGCCGTTTTCCGTGAGCATCCTGTTCTCCAGGTCTTCCTCGAACACGGACACAGGGCAGTCGTGTAATAACAGACCTTGGATAAAAGGATGGGCACTATCATAAGGATTGTTCTGTTGGGCCTCGTCTGGTTCTGGGGTCTGAGCCTGAAGGGTGGTAGATAAATCGATCTGCTCCAGGGGGCCACGAATTTCCTGTGTCGTGGTGGGAGTGCTGACAAGTGTGATACTGTCGCTCTCGTCACCATCTGGGCCCTGAGACTCTTTGGCGCTCTCTTCATTGGTAGTCTCCCTCGAGCGAATGATATCCCGAACAAGAACATCAAACGCAGTCTGCGGAAGAGAGAGGTCGAGGCCGTCGTGCATCGGGAACAGTACGGGGACGCTAGATCTAAGATACCATGGGTCTTGGTCCTCTGTAGGCGTCGCCATGATGATACTTCAAAGCAGAGGGTGGTGGTCTAGAATTTACCTACTTTCGAAGTACGGAAGCAGTAAGAGATGGGCTGAGCAACTTTGGATGCAATCAGAGTATAGGTATGCAGTTTAGTTAAGAATCCATGTTGGTGCTGTCTGCATCACCATATGCATCAGAAGCCTTAGCCTCGGACCACTGGATACTTCTAGATACTATCTGATACCTAGGTTTTCGCTAAGTGGCCTGCGACTTCCCGAGTGAGGCCCAGGTAGCAAGTCCAGTAGTATATATATTCTGACTCCACAACATAGCTAGGCAGGTGGTTTTGCTCTTTTGCGCTGAAAGCCTGAGACACTCACGTCCTAGGAGAAGCATATTGGTCGCTCGCCGTGCTGCAGAGTGACTCATGCCGCCGGCGAACGAATGCTGCCTAGCACCCCAAAGTTAGACACCTCAATGCTACAATCACTGAACCAAATTACAGCAAATAGAGGTAGGTAGGTAGGTAGATATGCTGTGGATCCACCATGGTGATATTGCCTTAAGGCTTGATTACATAGGTAGAAACACACGTAGCAGTCCGGTCGTAGTAATAACCGATTGATTCTCATCAGAAGCGATTTGGTATCCGGGCACGGTGACAAGATTTCCGAGTCTTTTGCTTAATCAACGAGACGGACTTTACCAATTCGTGTCTGCGTTCGAATCACGCGCCTGGTTATTCGCCCACATCTGCCGTCTTCTTCTACATTTCAACATGCACCATCAAGACCACAGATTCGTCAAAACCAATAGTTAGCTAGATGGCCAAGTGGCTACTCTAAGCATATGTGGTAGGAACTGGTGCCCTGCTAGGAAAATGAGACTTGGATTTTGATCTATACAAGAGTTGGCGCTTAAGCATTTGGCTTCGAGTAGCAGCCACATACCGCCAAGGGATACTTTTTTTTTTTTTTTTTTTTTTTTTTTTTTTCCGCCTTTGCCTTTTCCTCTCTCTCGTTATGGTCATTATCATGACCCTTTCATCAAAGCGTAAAACGTATCAAAGCATGTGTAACGCACGTGGGAAATTTCTTGCCGCTTTAAAATCAAGCTTGTTTTGTGTTTCTGTACAAACGTGCATTGATTGGACTACAGTGGTTCACAAAACTTTGACAAAGGGAGCCCGGCGCCTACCACGATCAATCAATCTAGCCGCCCTGCGCAATCTCCCGTCTTCTTCGCGAAAGGCACAATGAACTAAACTGGAAGCCACAAACCTATGTTTCCTTGAAAATCCCATCTCATTAATCAGATGGGCAAAGGATATAAAGACCCTGGTGGCCCAGCTAAATGACTTAATTAGTATATTCACCACCTATTCACCTAACTAAGTTTAATTATACACAAAATGCCTGGTGCATCCTATAGAAACCTTCTTTTCGGATTCGCGGCTCTTGCCGCACAGGTAGACGCTTTTTGGCGTTTACCGTGCGCCTCTCCGGTGGTTGTTCAGCGGGCTGATCCCATCGAAGACCCTAACGCCGTCTCGAAGCATGTACAGTGAGTACCAACCACACGTCTATATCCCCCTCTCAAAATGACGATTACTAACACTAAAGGATTGCAGCACCGTGTTGGGTTCTAATGCTTTTAATTTTACCATGAATTATCACGATACACAGGCTGCAACATGTTCAACATGTAAAGCTGTTGAAGATTTAGTACGCATACGAACCCCCTCCCTGATCTCCTAGCCCTTGTTCCTTATAGTCGAGCAAGTGCAATGTTGAGAGCAAACTGGAGACCCCTTTGCTAATATGTTTTGATATGCGTAGTCTAGTTATTGGGTACCTTCGCTGTATTACCACGCAGAAAACGGCAGTTTCATTAGTGTTGAGCAGGTTGGAGGTGCATTAATCTACTATTTGTGCGTACATATCCTAGTACCAGAATTTATAAGATGACCAGTAGACTGACCTGCAGTAGACAGCGCTCAGACCCCAATGATCCTAACGCTGCGGAGGGTCTTATCCCCTTCCCTGAAGACTTCCGAATGGTTGCTGGGACCCGAGAAAACCGCAACTTCACCGACAGCCCTGAGCAACGAGCCGTTTCTTTTGTCTGCCTTGGAACTGAAGGGCCGGCTACTTACGAACTTCCCAACAGAAACTGTCCCGGTGGACTACGAACCCAGTTAATTATGCCATCATGCTGGGACGGCAAGAATCTGGACTCTCCAGACCATAAGAGTCATATGGCTTACCCAAGTGGAATAGATAATGGAGTATGTCCAAAATCTCATCCAAAACGGTTCATAACCATGTTCTACGAGGTCACATGGAGCGTGGACGAGTTTAAAGACCAGTGGTACGGAGATCAGCAGCCATTCGTGTTCTCACATGGGTAAGTGATTATATCTAGGCATCCCTTTAGCTGGAATGACAATGACGTGCCAGATGCTAATAGAGGATCTAGAGATGAAACTGGCTATGGATACCACGGTGATTTCATGTATGTCTTCCCTGGAGCATGTAGATTTCCTCAAACCCCATCATCTCTGAAAGAGGAATTACTGACCCCAGCAATCTGTAGTAACGGATGGGACATCCCAACCCTCCAAAAGGCAATTAATGAATGTAACGCTGAAAGCGGTGTGATTGAAGAATGCGGCGCTTTTACGTTGCGCGAGGATGACGACATGAAATCATGTAAAATCATGCCTCGGGTGAACGAGTCAGTCAAGGGAGTTCTGTCTGCTCTCCCAGGTTGCAACAAGATCCAGGCTGGTCCCGAGTCCTCGGACTGCCGCGAAGCAGCTAAGATCGGTGACCCGATACTTCCTTTTACGGACATGACCAAGAAATTAGGCTGGAAGTATGTCGCGTGCGCCGAAGATCCGGCAGGACAAAGCCGCACGCTCTCAGACTTGTCTATCGACCAACAAGACATGACGGTCGACAAATGCATAGCCACTTGCGGCGACAAGGGCTTCGAGTACGCTGGTGTCGAGTACACATCTCAGTGCTTCTGTGGCCATGGTATCCCAAAAGATCGCCTCCCGGCAAATGGCACCACCGGCGACTGCAGCATGCCGTGTGCTGGTAACTCGGATCAGTTCTGCGGCGGTGCAGCGCGCGTTTCGATCTACACCAAGTGCCATGATTCTTCATACTGTGTTAACTAAGGGCAAAGTTATATGTCGTTGTTGCAAGGCCGGCGCGTTCTGTTTGCACTGTACCGTTTAGCTTTGTTAGTCTAATTATTATTCACGATTCTCAGTAAGCTACCAGGTGCTAGGATGAGTTGCTGTTTCATAATTGTAACTTTTCCGTATTTTGCTTGTCTTTTAGTGATCCTTTATGACATCCTAGTATACCCTAAAAACCAAAACGCTTCCATATAAGATAAAAACTCCTGACATGTTTGTCAACCCTATCCCAAGTGTCTCGTGAATAATTCTAACATGCTTAAAAACGATGATGAGCTGTAGGCGCATTTACCACCGGATGATTTTCCGAGGAAAGTACTCATCAATGAGTTCGAGATAGTAGGGCTTGAGCTCCTCGACATCAGGGAGGCCGTCGCTCTTGCTGTAAAGGTCATAGGGGTTGAAAGCGCGAACGGCCTCCAGCATCTTCTCGTCGTGTTCATTCATGAATTCGCGATAGGCGCCCTCCTTGTGCCAGGGATAGAAGGAGTGGTAGCGGATCATGGCCAGAGCTTCGGGAGGCAGAGTAGACTGGTTCTTGACGATCTCATAAAGGTACTCGTCGTGGCCCCAGGACAGCATGATGTTATCTAAGCCACAGCCGGGGGAGTAGATGCCATACTTGGTGCTATAGATGGGGTCATGGATGTCGGGGTTGTCGGAGAAGGAACCGGGGTAGATGATGCGCTCGTCGAAGGCACAACCGATAGGGAATGTGTCGCCGACGACGTCCCACTGACCCTCCGATCCGTAGAAGAAAAGGAGCTTGCCCAAGTCGTGGATCAGGCCGGTAAGCTGCATCCAGCGGGGCTTGCCATCTCGGCGGATAGCCTCAGCAGATTGGAGGAGGTGCTGGATCTGAGATAAACTGGTGTCGGGATCAGACTCGTCGATCAGGGTGTTGAGCTTCTCCATAGCTTGCCAGATGGTCATCTCCTCCCGTTTCTGGAATTTGAGGTTGTTGCGGACTTTCAAGTTATAGGCCACGGTCTGCTTAGTATGCTGCTCCTTGTAGAAGGCTTTGACACGGTCACAGGCATCCTCGTACTGTCGGAACTGGGTCTTGTCCTTCTGGTGGTCAAACTTGGACTTTGAGGTCCAGTCCTCATCCTTCTGTTTCATATGATCCTTGAGGACATTGACCATGTCAATGCTGTCGGAGGTAGCCTCCAATTGGAGACCATCGCGGTTGGTAGTCTCCTCGACTAGAATCCCTGGTGCCATTGTGGTTTGTTTTGTCTTTTTTTATGTTTTAAGGGGTGTATTGGTACTGGTAGAGGGACATGGAAAGACTCGAGGTGATGGAAGGACGGCGATGCTGAGGATGGAGAGTGTCGACAAGAAGTCAAAACTAAGTTCGCGGCTTAATATAGAATTTGAAATTCGAACATTGACTGTAGGGCCGCATCTTGTTATCTCGGTGCAAGTCAAAGACTGCGTGTAAGTGACCTTGGTTTGCTCCACCCAAAGGCTTGTGACGCAGAAATAGCTGCAAGAGACAAGAGGTCGATACCTACAGGACGTCCAAAGAGGTCAAAATCGCCGACTCAGGCCAAAACAGTCACAAACGACGATTTGAGAGCCAAGTCTAGCAACATGCCCCACCCCGCCGCATGTGGATCGAGTCTAGGCTAGGTGAAGGGGTAATAATTCCCGGTACAGCTCGTAATCACTTACTCTTACCAACCACCACACATCCTCAGTCGTTGTCTTGCCTGTCTTGCCTGTCTTGCCTGTCTTGCCTGTCTTGCCTGTCTTGCCTGTCTTGCCTGTCTTGCCTGTCTTGCCTGTCTTGCCCGTTTTTGTGCCTCTAGGGTGCGTGCGCAGGGGCAGCCGACAGCCCGCGACCTCCTGCAAGCCTGGAATCTGCGCAGCACATGTAGTAGGTCTGCATTGTCCAGCCGATGCGATGTGAGCCGAGAGCTGCTCTGTTGTCGGGCTTCCTTGGAACCTCTACGCACCAGATACCTGCCCGCCAGGTAGTCGCGTATCCGCAGCCAGCAAAGCCATTGAGAAGCCGTTCAACCGTCAACCTCTACCCATCCCCATGCTTTCATCAATTGTTGCTGTATAGCCGCCGTGGGTCGTGCATGCGCCGTCTCCGTCTTCTTCAGGAACTCTGATAACGCGTGCTGATCGCGTTCTTCGCCGAAATGGTCCCCAACTAATAGCATCCATCAGTACGATGCCTGCTCTTCTAATGCCAGCCTGGGCAACTCACACATGGCAATTCCAATGCAAGCCGTGAACATGGCCGGTGGCGTCCACTGGTTGCTGATTCCAAGCCCGCATAGTTCCCGCATGAGCGTCTCAATACGTCGCTTTGCCCGCTTAGCAACTGCACAAAACGAAATTCCATTTCCTCTGAGTGGCTTACCGTCGTATTTCGCATTGCTCCTCGGCGCTTGGTGCCTACACGTGGGATCGAGGGGTCGAATTGGATCAAGAACAATTGGGCTAATATATGGTGCTGGATTCCGAGAACTGATTCCAACTAGTCAGCACACTGCAGTCTGTTTTCTTGCAGTGGACAACCCACTGTGACAACTCGACCCATGCCAGATTTCTGGGAAAGCCCCGGCCCCTGTCCCATTGTTGTAGAAGTAGGGATTGAACGAAGGCGGTCTCGCTCGAGTCCAGCTTTCGACCGCTTCATTCAGTGCGATCCACCTCTGTGTAGTCAGAGGGGTATCGCCGAAACAGCAATTCAGAACATCAGCAAGTAGGACGATCGCACGATTTGACCAAGTATAGTCATCTGCTGGCCCGAGTGACCGGTCCACAATGAAGTCGTCCAGTTTAAGTTTGACGCATTGCTGGGTGAGAATCGCAATATATATCTCTTGTCGGAGCCCCACCCAGAATGCTGCCGCACTTAAACTACCTGGCAACATGTACTGGTCGCCTGCGTTAGCAAAAACATGGATACCCAGGAGATGGCTATAATTATCTTGTCCCGTAAGAGAACCTATATAATCTTAGTTAACAGCCCGCGTGTGCAAAAGCTTCCGACTCCGATCTTACCATCCATCTCCTCAAGCATTCGAAGAATGACCGTTGCCGCAAAGAGATTCTCATCAGCGATTGCAGAGGAATGATTCATCATCGGGATAAGATGCTTGAGGCATTCATCATGATATCTATTAGACGCCAACGGATCAAAGTCAGTAGTGTGACTGAGATGTCTCGCTGCAATGGCCAATATTGCATTCAGGAGAGTATGACAGGTGCTAGCCCGCTCGGGCACGATCAATTCGAAATGTTTGAGGGGGTCGCAGCAGTCCAGCTATATACAGTTAGCACATGAGGCTGAATGATTCTCATTTCACCGATGCCAGGCCTGTCTCTTACCGAGATGGCTATTTTTTGAATATAATGACGGAACAGAACGGCATCCGTTGGGTCCTTGAGAGGTAATGCTGGCGTATCATAGAAATGTGAGGTTTGCACGTTCCCATCATAAGATGTATGTGTACTCAAGCTCCGATGTAAAGGGTGCATGGTCTGTAGACTGTCCGTATCTGAGCCATTGCGGTGAGTTTCAAACCGCGTAGGAAGCTGAGCATCAGCTCTAACTAGCTCCAGTTTGGAGTCCCGAGAGCCATGGTGTGGCGCGTGTTTGCGCTGGTGTCCTAACTCAGTTGGTGGAACATCCGATCGCCTGGTCCCTAAGATATCACCAGGCAGTAAACCAGAAGTTCCCGGTGAGCCCGACTTTGGCTCACCAGGGGAGCCATCATCCGTATAGAAGTGCTGTTGAGATGCGTAATCATCGAGCGAAGCCCCGGCCACGAGATACTGTGTCTCGTCTATATAGATCACTGCCGGTTTCTTTAGCAGGTGGGTTGCAAGGGTAGCTCCAAATCGGGAATATTACATCTTTTTGGTGGTCGAAGCCATTTTTGATCCCTGCTGAACTTTGTTCCTGTAGGGAGGGTTAGAGCTCACGGCTCTTGCTAGGAGCGAAACATAGCCAACATACCGATACTTGGCTTGAACTTGAAGGAGAGTCTGCATTCGCGACCCGCGTGCGCGCATCGACCACATCGCGGAGTGCCACGATCACCTACCCATTACGTCAATCAACAGAATAGATCGCTTGGGGAGGTATTATTAACTATCACATACATTTCAGGTGGTGTTCACGACACGTTACGCTGTTAATAAAGATACCTAGTCAGCAAATAAAAGAAGGGTGCCAATTCGACTCATCCCTACTTTAGACAATGATGGGTTTAGACGGATTGGTACGGTTTTGACGAACATACCAGGGTGTGGCTAATAAACCAGTGTGGTCGGCTGAGGGCATTCGCAAAGCCGTCGATCAAGATAGCGTGGGCTAGGGTGTAGGCTTGGCGGCTCGGAACGTTCAACCGTAGTTATCGGTGCTTCCCCCATGGGTGCTCCAATTGTTCGAGATCAGTTTTCCAGACTAGAGAGAGACATGGACAAGACCGGCGAAATGAGTTGGAAAGGTATGGGGGGCCCCGGGTTTTGTTGGAGGGTATGGGCCACTCTCTCAATACCAATCCTGCCTAGCATGCAGCGACGAAATGGATTTTGCAGCGTCATGTGGTTCCCTACTTTAGTAGATAAGATAGAAACTGGTAGGCAGCCTGGATGATTAGGTACACGATGGTCCTCAAGACGTAGGAAGCCGGCGCGTGGATTTCGTGGCGCAGTGGAGTACATCGGTAGGTATGATCTGTGGGTTAGCCCTGGCGCTGTTCAACGTTCCAGCTCGTGGTCCAGCCAAGGGGACCGACACCGCGACCAACCAAGTGGTTCGGATTTTCAAGGCACCCGCATCTTGGAGGCTGACTCCGACTCTGCGACCGAACTATCTACCTACCTACTCGCCTAGGTAGGTACCTAGTCTCTAATCTCCAATCCCCCGCAATACCCCACTGCAAGAAACCGACGACTGGACAGAACTGGGATCTCGATGCCAAGGACAGAGCGAGAATTCAGCAAATCAGCAACAAGCAGCTCTTTCGCTCGCGTGCAAGCGTCCAAAGTCCCCTTGTGGCTGCCGTACTGGTCTTAGGCCGAGAATCCCCGGAAGAGGCTATCCTCGGCCGTTATTGGTGCTAGGTTCTAAGGGTAGGAGGTTTGCAATTTTTATCATCATATAAGGGGCGTCTCCCAGCTCTTCGAACAACACCCCCCCAATAAGGAAAGTAGCCAGCGCACAGTAAACACAGCCGAACCATACAACGCCATTCTATTAGGTGGCCGCTGACACGATGGCCAAGGATACAGACGAAAAGAAGTCTCATACTGTTGTCAACGACGACGACGACGACGAGGGACTGTCCCCCGTGCAGCTGGCGACCACCAATGAGAAGAAGCTGGACGATGTGCCCAACGAGAAAAGCATGGCAAACGACCTGATCCGCAATGCTCGCCTGGCTACCGAGAAGGAGCAGAGCATGAGCCTACTGCAGGGCATCAAACTCTACCCCAAAGCTATTGGATGGAGTATTCTGATATCCACCTGCATTGTTATGGAGGGATATGATGTCTCACTGATCAACAACTTCTACGGCAATTCCCAGTTCAACAGAAAATATGGAGAGCCCTATATTAATGCCCAGGGTGAGACGGATTATCAGGTCTCAGCAGCTTGGCAAGCCGGGCTAAGCAACGGCGCTGTTGTCGTGAGTTCACGGCCCCTCTCCGAATCTTAAAATTGCTTTTCCGGCCAGCTCTGTTCCATAGACTTTGCACCAACATTTCGTGGGCTTGTTCCTATCCCGTGCCTCTCCCGCCAAGAGACCATACGCTGACGTTGCACATTCGTCATAACAGGGTGAAATCATTGGTTTGATGATTAACGGATACGTATCCGAGCGATTTGGATACCGATACACAATCATCGCTTGTTTAACACTATTGACAGGCTTCGTGGCCATCTTTTTCACAGCGCAGAACGTTATCCACCTCCAAGTTGCTGAAATCCTCTGTGGTAGGTACGTATTATGAACCTGCTGTGCCAGTTCTGAAACTTGGTGTTGGCAAAGAGATATGTTATTGTCCAGAGCTAACTGTTGCCGCAGTATGTGAAATTTTGTCCTACAAACGCAACCACCATAATTTGCGTTATTCTGCAAAGTACCTAATGCAATAAGGAACTAGACTAACACATTATGATATGGCAGTACCATGGGGCGTCTTCCAAACTCTCACCATCACCTATGCTTCTGAGGTCTGCCCTGTTGCACTTCGTGGGTATTTGACGACTTATATCAATGCGTGCTGGGGATTTGGCCAACTCATCGGGATTGGAGCTATCGTCGGAAATCGTTGGAGAAACGATGAATGGGCGTACCGAATCGTCAGTGTAGCACCCTCTCCTAGATTTCGTGATGTGCTAATAGCCACGTAGCCATATGCACTTCAATGGATCTGGCCAGTGCCGCTTGCAGTTGGAATCTTCCTTGCGCCCGATAGCCCGTGGTGGCAGGTTCGTCATGGTCAACTGGACGAGGCCAAAACATCGCTGCTCCGCCTAACAAGCTTGAATCGGGAGACGGATTTCGACGCCGATGAAACGATTGCCATGATGGCGCACACTACTGCACTCGAAGCGAAGGTGGGCAGAATCTCATCGAAGTGCTCATCTTCAGCGTTGACTAATCCATTGTAGATTACCAAGGGCGTCAGCTACTGGGATTGTTTCAAAGGAGTTGACCTACGCCGCACCGAGGTGAGCTAACATTATTGCCCCCTCTATGAAGTTTTGATGTGCTGACTCTCACCCTCAGATTGTGGTCGCTTGTTGGGCTATCCAAAACCTTAGTGGGAATTCCTTTTCGAATTACTCGACTTATTTCCTCCAGCAGGCAGGTCTGAGCGAAGATAAGGCGTACTATTTTGCGCTCGGCCAATACGCGATCAACAGTGTTGGCGTATTGGGCGCCTGGACGCTCATTACGCTTGGATTTGGACGCAGGTTGGTGATCATCATGGGCCCTTCGCAAGCATACTGCTTATTTTTACTAGAACCCTTTACGTTTCTGGATTGGCAGTGCTGTTTGTCATTCTCCTGATCCTTGGCTTCCTCGGCCTTGCTTCTGATAGAAATGCGGCCTCACTGGCAACCGGGGCCATCTTACTGGTATGGGCTTTGATATATCAATTGACTGTCGGCACCGTGTGTTATTCACTGGTTGCAGAGCTCTCCAGCAGGCGTCTGGGGATCAAGACAATCGTGCTGGGACGGGTTGGATAGTGAGTTTACCGTTGATTGCTCAATAGTACCACCAATCTAACCTTGATTATAGCAACATTGTGGGTATCGTGGCCGGTGTTATTACCCCTTACATGCTCAACCCGACTGCATGGAATTGGGGAAACTATGCTGGATTTTTCTGGGTAAGCTAAATACTCGACCTATGTGACTGTATGAACGTTGGTTTAACTCTTTGACAAGGCCGGATCGTGCTTCCTTTGCTTGATTTACACATACTTCCGAGTCCCGGAGCCCGCTGGGCGAACATATGCCGAATTAGACCTGCTTTTCGAGAAAGGCATCAGTGCTCGAAAGTTCGCCTCCACAAAGGTCGACGTGTTTGCCGAGAATGTTGAAGGTGAAGCGTTGGATCAGTATAGGAACCAAATTGCCATCTCCCACGTAGAGGATAGCAAGACAGGGTGAGGGGATTTTTTACTCATCCTCACTAGGTAGAAGAAGCGAACCAGTTTGGTCGAGCTTAACAAAAGCAGGGACAGTGATATCTGCATACCCTAGCGTGGTGTCTATATAAGTCTGTCGCGTTTTGAAGGCCAGTATTATTATTATAGAGTTCCAGTCAGGATACTGCCAACAAATACTCAGCAAGACTACATATGATAGCCTCGTAAGCTTGCTCATGTCGGCGTGCCGCAATGATATCGATACCACGCGGGCAAGGGCCCACTTCTTCTAGTCCTTACACAGCAGAGAATGTCATGTGTAAGATGGATATAATATCCGACATGTATTTCAATGCTATGGTTGAATGAATGAATAAACCCTTCTTCAGTTCCCCTTTGTTCTACACTTCACACGAGTCCTTAGGTAGCGGCGGCTGATTACATATGGCTTGCCTGCGAGAAGTCGGTCATACAACGCGGGGTCCGAGGGATCGACTCCCGATGCAGACTACCGATCTGGACTATGTACACACTACGTAGACACTCCGCCCAAAAATAACCTCCTGTTCTTGTAGAAACTTCCCATATTCAGTTTGCCATAGCATATGGTGCAATAGCCATTTTCTCATCAATCTCCAAACGTATATAAACGATATGGACGCTGCGCAGCCGCAAGCCGGCCAAGCCGCCGTCTTGGATTTAGACAAGGTGGTTTCCGTTCTCTATTACTCAACGTAACATGGCTGTTCCCATTCGGTCTTCACCGCTAGCGCGCTATATACTCCAATCACCGACATTATCTCGGCAACTGACATGGTAGCTAACTCATGATGTGACAGTGGCCAACTGCACAAAAGCTAGTCAAGCGATGTAGCGACTTCTTGGCTGAAGTTGAAGACCTGTAAGTCGAATTGACCAGCCGCCTCCTGTCTGAGGAATACGAAATTATCACGAGGCACCTAAATCACTAACATCACGTGTTCAAAGTACACCGGGCAGGGAACTCGAAGAGAGGCTCAACAAACACTATGGACCCGGGAATTCCTACTATGAAGATTTATGCCGCCTCGTGCGCCAGGGGCTTGAGGAGGGATGGGTCGCAGAGACCGAATTGGGTCATGGTAGGATGTACCGGCGAGGCAAGATCGCGCTGCCCAGCGCTGAAACACGCTTTTTTAGTATCACTACAGTGTACATGGAGAGCGAAGATGTGTTCGCGGGGCAATACCATGCCCATCCCTACGGAGAGATCAATTGTGTTGTCCAAGTAGACGAGACGGCCGAGCTGGAGGGTATGAACGGATGGCGCGGCGCCGGGTGGACGTCGCCCGGTCCAGGTACACACCATTATCCCCGAGTTCGCAAGGGGGCGCTCGTTGCACTATTCTTCTTACCTGCTGGTCGTATTTCGTATAAGGCGACACCGGATATGAAGCAACCGCTTAGTATATGAGAAGCTGTACTAGGTACCCGACAGTAGACACAATAATTCATTTGTGCCAGATTGTACGAATTGACTTGTGAAAATTGAGGCTTTGGCGCTTCCTTATAATCAGTATATACTGTAGTTTGAATACATTTATTGTACACGTTCTTTCTCACGGGAGATGATTCCAGGACACGCCTTATTCCGTTGCGAACCAAACGGGACGAGATGCGACGACTCGGCTGTATCAGCTGACTTTCTGTCCAGGCAAGGTTCACGAACTTCGGGAGGAAATTCTAGGCGGCATCCCCATACACCCTCAGGGGTCGTTTCGTTATATTACGACTACCATGTTGCAGCTATCCGCCAACCAACCTTTGGCGCTCTCCTCGGGCCTGGGAGGTGTAAGCAGATATGATCAAGGAAACGGGCGAGCGTAGAGTTGAATTGTCCGGACGATTCAAGGTCTGCCGATCTCATCGTCAGGCGCACCCAGCCGTCCACTTCCCCATTTTGTATCAATTGCATGAATGCGCTGCATTGCTCAACGGTCACCGGTTTGATAATGCCTTGTCTGGTATATCAAGCGCTGACTGTGACACAGTTTGACCCTTCTTATATTCTTCCTCTAATGCTTTCTGCAAGTCGAAATCAAGCTGTCGTTCCCGTTTTATCCGCTGCTGTTCCATGTCACGAACAACACCCTGGTGCATCGCCTTTTTACAGACAAGTCAGAATCTTTCTCGTATATCATGGAACTGCACCCCGGGCCTTCGTAGGTTGGGTATAATACGTAGCGCGCACACACACCTCTTTCTCGAATTTCTGCTGGAAGTGTACGAAGACCACAGTACTCGCTGCGAAAAGTGAGGTGCCCAGCAGCGTGAGCTGGGAAGCGCGAGACATGGTGGAGAGGGAAAGATTGTTGAACAAAGCTCTTCTATGTAGTCATGACCGACTTTATCAATAGCAGGATGTAGCAATGGCGTAAATCCCAATGCTCTCGAGGAGGACAGGTGGGATAAACAGTTAAAAAAAAAAACAAAAGCAAGTGAGGCTTATCGTCTGATGTGTCGCTGAAGAATGACGTTAGGGGTTCTATCCACTATAAGAGTGCTGGGTACAGCTCCCTTACCCATTGGACGGGGCTGACTTAGGTAGGTGCTTACCTACCTACAGTAGGTAGCTTCTAAGCTACGACTTGCTGTACCCTAGGTTCACATCTGATATTGCCTCCCATTTAGCATCCCGCACGCGTCAATCGTTTCACTGCCCGTTCTCGTCACTCCAGTCGCCGGTGCCCATCATCTAGATACGGTCACTGTATTGCACAGACAATAGCCACTTCTCGAACTTCCGCGTGTAAGCAGTTAAAATGGTATGACTCTCACCTACAGTCACTCCTTCGAGTGCAGGGCAATTGAAAGAGGTTACTGACAACCTATCAACTGCAGTCAGCTCAGAACTCCGCGGGTATCCAGACCTTGCTTGATGTACGTGGCCACTCGACTTTCTTGAAGTGGTGCCCCTTGGGGTCTGCCGTCAAGTCTATAGCTCGACCAAAGCTAACGCTCGCCTCCGTTATAGGCAGAGAGGGAAGCCTCTAAGATCGTCCAGAAAGGTAGTGTGCCGTTAATGCAATCCACCCACGCTCGATGCGTACACGAAATCACTGACGCCAGACAGCTCGCGAACGTAGGTGCACGTCAACCAAAGCTTCTCTTGTCCCAGAATACGCGACGCTATACATCGGGACCAACTGACTAACCCGGACTATGTACCCTACGGACAGTACGAACGAAACGTGTACGTGAGGCGCGAGATGAGGCCAAGAAAGAGATAGACGCCTACCGTAAGGCAAAGGAAGAAGAATTCAAGAAGTTCGAAGCCGAGGTCAGCAGCATCCCCTTAACTTTGCTATCCCACTGCAAACCTGCGGCGACTTGAAGTTATGCGTTCGAATGGGTATCGAAGCCAGGAAATACAATAATCGAATAGGCGGAAGCCAGTAAGATTGACCACCTACTGACATATCGGAATCTCATAGCATACGAAAGGCAACAAGGAAGCTGAGGACGAGGCCAACAAAGAGGCTGACGAGAAGATTAAGGAGATCCAGACTTCCGGCAAGAAGAATCAGAATGCGGTGGTCACAGATCTGCTGAAAGGTGTTCTGGAGGTTAAGCCTGTTCCTCCTTCTGCGGCATAGTTCCTCTAATGACTACACCGTTACCACTGTGCTACGATGAACTTCGAGGAGAAAGCCTATGGTACATCCACACACTACCTGAGAAGTCTTTGATTTCCGAATAGCTTTGACCGGTTGTTTGAAAATACGTTGGCGAACTGACATCCTCGTAGCTACATGTGGATAGCATGACTAAATTAATTAGATTGCGGCTGGTTTGAAATTAGGCATTGATTATCTGTCGTTATTCCTATCAAGCTCACCCTCACTGTAGGAACTCAACTAGTGTAGAGAGCATCTCTCTTGTGTCCTTGCCATCCGCATCTTCGGTGTCTATGCCCTCAATTTGCTCCTGAATGCTATCTTTAACCACGGTTAGTGATTCGTCTCGATCCGCCAATAGCTTCTGTATTGTTTTCTTGGCACCGCTGTCCTCGGCTACGAGCCAAGCCAGCACCACATCAAGTGTTTGTAAGGAGAAGAGACCGGCATCTAATCGGCGGGAGAACCACTCATCCGCCATATCTTGTCTTTCTTCCGCCGACATTTGAGACTGCTGGGCCTGAATAGCCTCATCTGCAGCACCTACACGGGCGGCACATTGTTGGCGCAGCTTTACGAGCTTTTCAGTCTTCTCGTAGTCTTTCTCTACAAATTTAGCCAGTAAGCGTATACGTTCGGCTGAGTCTGCTGGTAACAAACGTAACATCGACGCAAAAGTGCCGATCAGATGCTCTGCCACGCGATGATCGGTACTCTTTTTCATGAACAGCGTGAATATGTTCTTGAGGCCCCCAGCTTCGACGATCTTCTGACAAACCTTGACACCAGACGTGCCGCTCGACGCGTGATCAAGCAGCCTAAGTGATGCGTCCTTGCTCAATTTGCCTTCCTTGAGCATGATAAGGCACAGCTCGACACCCTCAGCTTCGACAAACTTATTCTTCCCTTCTGGTTCGTCGACCATGCAAGTCAGTGCCTCAAAGAGGTTTTCAACATACTCTTCTTCCTCGCTGCCCTTCTCGGGGTCTAGTTTTCGATATGGGGCCACCAGCTGTAGCATAATATCCGTGGCATCCATAGCAGCGAGTTTCCGCCTATTCTTAGCCGAGTTTTGCACCAGGATTGCTAGTATCTCGGCTGCGTACTGTTTATTCTGGCTTACGCCCCCCCCTTTTTTCAGCTGAATGCGCCGTAATAACCACTTGAGCAAGCCTTCCTCTCCGGCGACGCGCTCTGCTGTGATGGTTCGCCCGCAAAGATTTTCTGCTATGCCTAAAGCATGATATACACCATCACGGTCCGTCTCTTGCGTCTCGTCCAGGCGCTCGAGATTCGACACGAGTAGTGACAGTAGATCGGCTTCTAGCAGCGCCTCTACAAGCGCATCATATTGTGTTTCATCAGCGGCAACGTCTTCGCCGGTTAATTCGCCAATGATTTCAACGGCGTCGATAGCAATATCGGTATTCTCATGTGCTAATAGTCCAACTAAGCTCCCTACACATCCGAGGCGCGCAAATTCCGGGTACAATTCTGGGTGTTCGGACAGGATCGAAAGTGACTTGATCTCGGTGTCGAGCTCAGCCTCGCTGGCGATGAATTTGGAGGGGTCATCCTCGAATTTGGCGCGCTGCTCGGCGTTATGGGAAATCTTCTTCTCGAAACTCAGGGCGGTGCGCCGTAGCCATGCCACGTCCATTTTCTCAGGAGCGAGGTCGGTCGTAGTGTCATCGAGGTAGTCGAGTACCTGGGCCTCCTGGTCCGTCACGCCGCCGCCAAAAAAGCGTCCACCTTCCTCGTCGTCATCTGGCGGCATTTCTGGGCCATAATCGCCTTCCTCCTCGTCTTCGCGCGACGGCCCGGCGGACCTAGCCTCGAGGTTGTCATCTGTGAACTGTTCGTCGTCGACGCGAGCGTGTCGGCTACTTCTACCGTTGAGTCGTGGAGACTTATGAATCTCGTCTTTCATGCAAATCATGGTATGTTAGACTAACACAAGCCTCGACAAACAATGATGGGATACAACTCACTAGGATCTCGAAGAGGATCAAGCTTGCGTTTGCTGCCCACGCCGGACGCCTGTTTTTGAATCAATGATCTCTGTCCAAATGACGAGCAGTTGAATTGATTCAATAACTCACCTTGAATAGCTCGTCTATGCTTGTCATAATGTAGTCTCTGGATGAGCGCAAGAATAGTGTAGGCGTCGAGATGAAGCGCTGCGAAATTACGTACCTGCATTTACCACTTTGGGGAGCTTCGCGGAAGCTTCAAAGCTTGTACCATACTGTACCCACCTAAGCACCGAGTACCTATTTGTACAGTATATGCGCACCGTGTATTACCACTATGGGGAGGCCTACTCTTCGCTCTCGACAACGACCACCCGATAACCGGCCCGTGGCGCTTCAGAGCGTTACTCATTCACCTCAGATTATTGTCCCCGGATGACCTTAATACGACTGCTGGGAAGTAGTGGCGGTTCTCCTGCAATTTAACCACCATGCCTCCGACACTTGTTCTCATACGACATGCTGAGGCAGAACACAATGACACTAGTGGGCATTCTGATGATGCATAGACATTGCCTCGGACCTGAATCTAATTGCGCATAGAGAACTACTCGACCCATGATCCGAACCTTACTAAACTTGGGCGGGAACAATGTGCAGAGTTGAGAAGGGCGCTGATGAGAGACCCCCTAGCTCAACAAGCCGAGTTGATTATTACATCTCCAATGCGCCGTACCATCCAAACTGCTCTGGATACAGTGGACTGGTTGATAGAGAAGGGCGTCAAGATACAGGCCGATGCCCAGTGGCAAGGTATGATCATTCGCCTGTCATTTGTCGGGTACGAGCTAAGATCATCCAATAGAAAACTCGGCGAAGCCTTGTGACGTTGGCACCGCCGTTACGAGTCTCGCTGGGGAGTACCCGAACATCGACTATTCAACTGTCGACCCTGTGTGGCCAGACAAGACGTCGCCGGCGGGGAAACAATATCATTACACCAAGACGGCAATCATGGCACGAGGTCAGGCGGCGCTCCAGAAGCTGTATGAGCGCCCCGAGAAGGTCATCATTGTGGTTTCACATTCGGGCTTCTTACGCCTAGGCGTCACGGGTTGTTGGTTCTTTAATGCCGACTATCGTATCTTTGAATTTGCGGCCATGAGCAGCCCAGGTAGCCCGTATCAGTTAGAGCAACACGCTTCCACGAAAGAGAATGGTGGCGGGTTGGGCCACAGCTGGACAGAACAAGTTGTCCTTGGCTCCGATCTGCCCGATGAATTGCCCAAGTCCGAATGATCAACAACGAGCAATCAAGCAATCTTGACCGCCATATCCTGATATACTTTAGATCTGACTTAGATGTCGCCATTATCCAGCTAGAAATTGGGGCCTGACAAAGCCATCATTCTGGACTTCGTCCTAGATATCCTTAACGCCTTTAGAACTCAAGACCCACGACACTTGCGCTGTTGGCTGCGAATGACTTAAGCTATAGGTATGCCGAACGTGTTGATTCATGATGCTAACAGATAGACGGACGCCTTAATACTGTTGATAATATTTATGCTCACGTAACGGCCCCCTTATTGAACACGGCTAGCTTATAGCCAAGCCACCCAGTTTACTACGGTACTGTAGCTCACCCCTGCGCGACCTTCCGCATTGGACCTCATGTCGCCATTCGTATAAACAAGAATGATTCCAGCACAGCCTCCCCAATCTCAATACGAGCCACGAGCGTGGTCCAATTTTTGTTTCACGTTTGATTAGCGCGATTGATGCCCGGACCCTCCGGGCAGTGAACAAAATTCGAACCCGGCGGCCCGTTATTGTGATACCAACCTACCACAGAGTCTACCAGATCATAGTGTAGTGTATATATGTATGTATATATATATATATATAAGTCTACGTACATTTGCGGCCTCATTGATACTTATACGTACTTATATGGATCAAAATATGCTAGGGCCGCTAGGATGTTAATGAAATATTATCGTCAGATAAATTAGGTGCCTATTTTGGTCCAGCATGCATACCAGACTTAGTAGACTAAACTTGGGTTAGACGCGCGGGCTGATATGGGAACAGTGTCGTTCTAGTCAAATCACCCCTGTTCCAGCTCTACTTACTTACAGTAAGTAGTAAAGTCCTGCACAGAGCCTGGGTATTTGAAAGGATCGTCCTGTGTCTCATCCCATGTTGTTGGTCAATTCGCACTTTGACTACTTAGAGTAGGTTGACTCCCGTTACAGTAGGGATTGCACTGAATGTATGTATCGTTGCCTACCGGCCCGTGCCCCCAAGCTGGAGGACTAAGACAAGAAGTCAGATTCACTGAATCCAACGTCATCATCCAGTGACCAGCGAGACGTCTTACAGAGCCTGCCTCTGTGCTTTTGATACTTGTTTCTCACTACGTATCGCAACAACTTACCTGACACAACTCTCGATGGATTCTTGGATAGATACCGCATTCGCATAAGCTGTCCAAGATGATTCCATCGCTCGTATATCTGTTACCGCTGTATCCGCTAGCCGCCCAGGCTGCGCTAGAGGTTGACTTCACTTCGAAAGGTAAGGACGCCTACGTTTTGGAGCACATTCCTCGGCCAACGCAGGATCAAAATCGAATGTGATTGACACCCGACACTATCTAACATCTATTACAGAGTCTATCAAGAAAGCCGCCTATCAGGTGGCAGAGGATCTATTGTCATATTATCATGGAGATGAGCCAGGTCAAATTCCAGGTATACTACCCGGCCCGCCGTCGGACGGTCGTGGTGATTATTACTGGTTCGTATCTTCACACCCTAAATGTAGTCCTTTTGAAGAGATCCCGTTGTTAACCTAGGCCTCAGGTGGGAAGGAGGTGCAATGTGGGGGGCTTTATTAGACTACTGGCACTGGACAGAGGATGACACATTCAACGACCTCATTTATCAAGGACTCCTGTTCCAGGCTGGGCCGAACGCAGATTTCGTTAATAGAAACTGGAGCTTCTCACTGGGAAACGACGACCAGGCATTCTGGGGCATGTCGGCTTTGATTGCAGCCGAAACCAACTTTCGGGACCCCCCAGTCGATGAGCCTCAGTGGCTTGCACTCGCTCAAGCTGTATGGAATGAACAGACTGATGATAGACTCCGTGATGGAGGCTGTGGCTTCGGCCTGCGGTGGCAGGCCAATTCCTTGAATCAAGGATTCACCTACAAGAACAGTACGTTGCTCGTGAATAAGAGGTTTTTTGCCCCCCGATTTCTCCGTAACTTCGCTTTCGCCCGTTTGCAACCATTTGACATACTCAAAGACTGACATGATACCCTTGCAGCAATCGCTAACGGCTGTTTCTTCAACATCGGTACACGTCTTGCCCGATACACGAAGAATGATACTTATACGGACTGGTCTGTCCGAACATGGGACTGGCTGGTCGCGGTCGGTTATATTGACGACGACTGGAATGTATTCGATGGCGCGGATATCTCTAATAACTGTACGGTAATCGTCAAGCAGCAGTTTTCATATAACGCCGCTATTCTTCTTCAAGGTTCCGCATACCTATACGCCTATGTAAGTCTGGGACTCATCTTTGGCTCGCTATGGTTAAAACATTGCATAAAATAGTCATGATTACTATCAACAACTTGACTCATGACGACTCCTTCTCGGTTCTAACATGACAACTACTAACAATTTATTGAAGACATCCGACCAATTATGGCTAGATCGCATCAACGGGCTTCTCGACGGCATTGAGCGTTACTTCTTCCCCAAGGGCATTGCTGTCGAGCCCGCCTGCGAAACAGGCATTTGTACGACTGACATGCTTACATACAAGGGCTTTCTTCACCGCTGGATGGCCTACACGGCACAGTTGGTACCCTCAACGAGCGAAAGGATCATGCCGATATTAATGAGCTCCGCCAAAGCCGCCGCTGCTCAGTGTACAGGTGGTGATAATGGTCGGCAATGTGGATTTCACTGGGAGAGCGGAAAATTTGACGGCGTTTTGGGCGCGGGACAACAGATGAGCGTCCTTGGGGCACTCACATCTCTGCTAGCTTTGGACGCCAAAGAGCCGGTTACCAATTCAACCGGTGGTACCAGTCAGAGCAACCCAGATGCTGGACAGTCAAGGTCACCTTACAATGAATTGACACCCGTCACAACTGGTGACAAAGCGGGTGCCGGCATCTTAACAGTTGTCGCTATTGGCTTCGCGTCAGTGTCCCTTTGGTGGATGGTCAAGTAACAAGGATAATGAGGCACTTAACGGTGCCACCAGGATTTGTATCATGTTTGACATCATTGAATTACATAGCGCCAGCATAAGCGATTTGACGTTGTTAAATTTTCAAACTTTATAAGCCTGTCTCTAATCTAACACCTTTTGGTTCATATATCATACATATTATCACGGTCGATTCATCTGGCATACTTCTGCAATCGAAATAGAACCGGTGTCCGTCAGTCGTGTACATCGAAGCTAAGGACAGTCTCTACAATTCGTATGACCCAGTTGATCACCTAACTCTACCTAGGTATGTTTAAGAGCCGTCTCACAATATAGCAACACCAACAGCTAGTCCAGCCATGATACCGATAGGACCCTTTATTGACCCAGTGGGAAGTGCTGCACCACCCGTAGATACACTGCTACTTGACGAGCCCGTAACAGAAAGAGATGCAGTGATCGAACTTGAATCCGTCTGAGTCTGCGCAGGCACGGACGAGGTGACCGTTACCGCAGATTTAGTTACGGGTGGCGAGGAAACAATCTCGGAAGAAGCACCCTCCGATGCAGACGACTCGGTAGCCACGACGATGGTGGAAGACGTCGACGTCACGGTGGCTCCGAATCCGGGCAAGTAGCTGGGCGAGTACGTGGCCGTGCCTTCATAGGAAGGGCAGCCGGGGACGGTTGTCTTTGGCGGCGCACGTCCGCCGCCGCAGTCGAGGAACTCGCAGATCTCGCCTGTGTCTGGGACATACCAGATGAGGCTGGCGCCACCGTAGGCCACAGTTTGCGTGGACACACACCCACCGATGTCAGTTTTTGCTGTCGCAGGTCCGACAAGGAAGGCGACAGCCGCGAGGACGGCTGAGGTGCAAATGAACATTGGTATCCGAAATAATCACCACTAAGCGCCGTGGATTTAAATTATAAATGTGGCAGTGGTTGTCGTAAGGGTTGTGCTTATAATAATTTTCGGCGCAACCGAGAAAGTGCAGATGTTATCAATGCTCTACTGAATGATTGTAAAGTAGTAATGAATGGAGATGCCGATTAATATGTTCTCAGTTTATCAATTTATACATGAAGAAAAAAAAATACCAGTGATTTACAGATTCATTATACTACGATAGAGGTAACTTTGAACTGACTCGGTTCCGAAAAGGAGGCTACCGAAATTGGAAAGAAGCTAATTTCCGGTACCCCTGATTCATGGGCTGCTTGTTTGGAACTTGGTTATGCACTAGCATGCCCATGATGGTTCCATATACAACAAGAAACAGGAAAGAAACGAAGGTGAAAGAAACAGTGAGGTTACAATATCTAGTGTTATTGGCTATGGAAGGCAGCTAAGAGGAGTGTACCTAATGTACATACTATGCCTACACATTCCCACCTTTTACTACTAAGTAGGTAGCTTGCATTTACACAAAATCCCCTGTTTATTATGAATCCCTCTTTGTTCTCGTTTTTATCCTTTCACCTAATAAGTTATTCAACTCAACGCTGTTTAGATGATTGGTATGGTGTTGCGGCTTGGGCTATGGCCATATTATCAATTCAAGGTCATAGTTGTAAGACAAAATGTAAGACTAAACTATGTCGCTACCTAAAAACACTTGTAACTTTGCGCCAACAAGTCATTTCTTGTTGCGTCCCTTTGCTGCATCCATGAGTGCTCGAATATCCGCCTTCCACTGGTCAACATCAGGCCGCAGAACTCGCCGGTCATACGTTAGCAGGCCATTTACCTCGCCCTCTACATCGGTGGTTTGCCTTTATAAGCGATATTAGTACGAGCTGCACTAAGGGACCAGAAACGAGGCTGAACTCACGTCCATATGGCAGCGGAACAATCCCACATCTCGACTTGATCACGGAGTTCGGATAGTAGAACGTGACCACGGTAGTTCCATGCCTCAATAGTCTCGTCGATTTCGTAAGTCTGGTTGATGGTATCGATCGCCGCTTGAACCTTCCACAAGTGTTCGAGAGAAACGTTCTGACCTATACCACCAAACTCGCCTTGGATTGCAACGCGCTTGTGGTCGTAAGGAGTAGAAGCGATGGAGTAGAAAGGAGTTCCACACTGCGGGTTAGCATAGTGATGGTTGTCGTGCCAATCACCAAATCCATGATCATGCCAGCCGGATGTAGCGTCAACCAATCTCGTGGGGTCGAGTTCCTTGACGCGGTCTGTCAAATGGTCTTCCGGATAATATGTATCTCTGAGTTGCCCCCATCCTTCGTTGTAGATAATCTTTGTATAAATTAGTCCTCTATTCAAACTGATTAATTGAGAGGCAGGGGATGGGCTTACCCAGGTGTAGATGCTGGGATAGTTCCTGTGCTGCTCAATTAGAATGTCAAGCTGGCGTTCCCATTCCTGTTGTTGCTCGGCGTTGGGTAATCGGTTCGCTGGCATGGATGGCATATCTTGAATCAGTAGGACGCCAAGCTCATCACAGGCACGGTAGAACAGGTCATTCTCGACTTTGATATGTTTTCGAAGCATGTTGAATCCGAGATCCTTCAATTGTTTGAGGTCGAACACCATGGCTTCATAATTTGGCGGTACATGGATCCCATCGGGCCAGAATCCCTTTTACACACTCTGGAGTCAGTGATTGCCAGATATGGAAGGAGTTCGATTCGTGTTTTAGGGGTCTGCGAGAGCAATAAGGCCCGAGGCCTGTCTAAAGGGGGAACCGATGACTCCAGGGAACTAACCTGATCCAGGGTTCCAAATCTGCCAGAGGGTAAGTATGAATGCTCCAATACGCCACTCCTCGATGGATTGCCTACTGGAAAAAGAACTCCTCGTTGATTAATGGTCGCTTTACGCCATTGACTTCTCCGACAGAAATGGTTCGAAATCCCGTGTAGGAGGTAACCTCATCATCTCCTACTGTGACAGTAAGGTTGTAACTAATACCTCGTTAGCAGCTTGGGGTGTTGGCAGGTAAGTTTAACAACGAACAGCGTGGGGCTATCGGGTGACCATAGACTTGGTGAATCCACCTTGAAGGAGAATGGTTCGTTGGCTGTGCCGCTCCCAGTGGCGATGTCCTTCCCGCTGTCATCAGTGACAGTAACCTTGACATCTCCAGAGCCTTTGCTGGTAGTGACAGTCACATCAACTGTCAATCGCATCGGTTAATAAGGGGTTCGCGGAAAATATAATCCTAGATCAACTTACCGGTACCATCCATACCGGCAGCGACATCAAGCTGAGTTATGTATTGCGCAGGTACCCTGTGGCAAGTTAGTCAGCTTGGGGTAATTTGAAGTATATAGGCCGCTTGAACCACTGGGATATAATATGATTTAGTGATCATAATAGTTTCTAAACTATTACTGTTGTCTAGGTCAGACGATTTAAATTCACTTACGATTCTAGCCATACCTGCTTCAATGTTAGCCTTCATCTTCACAAGATATTGTACAAATCAGAATTTTTGAAGGGAAACCTACGCTTTGCCAAATTCCCGAGCAGGGTGTGTAGAAAATGTGGGAAGGGTTCAAGGTCTGCTTGCCAATGGGTATATTATAGCCTGCAATCGGAGTCAACAAGGTCATATCCTCAAATATATTCGGGGCTGTGATACACTTCAACGTGAAGTGATACTAACCATCGGCGTCAGTGGGATCGAAAACATCTACTCGCAGTGTATTCGTTCCCTCCTTAACCAAGTCGGTGACATCGAACGAGAACCTCCAATATCCACCGGTGTGGTTCCCTGCCACTTCGTCATTGATATAGACAGTAGCCTGGTAATCAACAGCCTCGAAGTTGATAAGAAGCTGCTGGCCACTCAAGTCTTCGGAGACTTCAAATTCACGAGCAAACCAAGAAGTCTGAGCACTCTGCATCACGCCTGAAAGGCCACTCTGTTTAGAGCCATGAATCAGCAACAAGTAGGTACAGGAGAGATTCTTTTTTTTTTTTTTTTTAAAAAAAAGAAAAAAAAATCTTACCTCGATGCACGAGGGAACGAGCACATCAGAGCCCTTTGGGGAGCCTGATTCGGATGTACCTTCTCCCCATTGCCATATCCCGTTTAAGCTTTGCCAACGAGATCGCTGAAGTTGTGGTCGGGGGTACTCAGGCCATGGGTCAGTCCCGACTTTATAGGTCCAATCCGTATCTAGCGGCGGTGTCTTGAAATATCAACATTAGATAGGTCTGCTTCCAAGCAGGGAATCAGAGATCTAACCTTGACTTCATATCCTAGAGCCGAAGAAGCTAGGATCACAGGTCCCAAGATGTTAGTTTTCATCTTGGTCTTTTGGGTGGAAGGCAGACTATGTTAAGATATAAGAGATGTAAAGTTTAAAGCCCAGACATGCAAACTAGGCCTTTCGTTCGCTCTTACTCGAGCCCAACACTCGGGATGCTAATGTCTAAGACAATTATCCGCCGGTCTGGATAGCGGAGCCCCTCGAGGAATGCAGTGGCTACTTATATAGACAGCCTAGCCAAGACTATATCCATTCATTCCTAGAATCACACAATCTACTCCGCATCTTGCTCCTACAGCTGTCTCCTCACCTTCCTCTTCTTGACGACGGATGGGTCTACCTAGTCCTGGAGTCCAAGACGTCGGACTGAATGCTTGGCGTCACAGGCATGTGGGAGTGCGGTACGAAGTAGAATAACTTAGTACACATAGAGGTCTCATTGCAAGCTACTGCAATGTAACGAATACAGCATGCTGGCCATAGGATAAGACCGACATCTTGCGGGCTTTGAACGCATCATTATGGAGATGATAGCGCCAAGCGAGCATGATATTGGAGCGGGAGGGGATCGATCATTCAAGACTAGCTGTAAGATCATGGAGTTTTAGATGAAAATGACCGTCCACCTACACCACAAGTTGCGGTCAGCAGAACAGCGGATGTTGGTAAGGTAGGCATCGGAGCTAAGGGTGGTCTGCCTGTTGCCGAGCTCTAGTCACCTAGAGCCCTTGGCTATGATGGGTACATGAGATCCACGATATAGGCAGCTCGGATTGAGTTGACGCTAGAGGTTGTTCGGGGGGCTGGCTCGTCACCGTGCATCCTCATAAGATTCCAGTCCTCTGACCTACAATCCAGAGTAGAGGGCAGTGAGCTTTCTGTAAACGATTGAGTAAGCTCCTAGGGTTTAGAGCTGTTTAGGTCTCATGAATTTAGAGAGATGAAAGTCCCCTGCCGTTGAAAATGTTCTGAGTGTCGAACTTCGGACCAACCAGGCTGTATTATCACCGGGAACTCAAAGTAGTGTGCAGAATTGTAGTGGAGATCTCTTGATCTCTTTTCTTTGTCGCCCAGCGGAATAAGTGATATGATATGCAGTAACGTAGTAGTCAAAATTTTGGGGCAGGCATTCGGTATGCATGCCGAGTGGGCGTGTGATCTTGCGAGTCAAGGCTAAGGTAAGCCACCAAAGAGGCTCATGTGGGCTGTCTCGGTCATGTTCAGAATAGTATTAAGCCCAAGGCGGGTTACACTGTCGAGACTGTATCAAGAGCAAAGCCAACGGCATGTAGCATCAATGACCCATTCCTAGTCTTGTCACGCACATGACACCCCATAATCTTACGTTGTATGCGTGGGGTTTGAACGCGGGGTCGAAGTTGGACCTCGGGGCAAGTTTAATCATAGAATATTGACATTCCCCCAACGGTGTGTTTACCAGAGGAGACAAGAAGGAGAGCTTTCGCAGCTGATGGACGCGACCACCCCCGAGATCGAGGTTACTGGATATATCACCTTCAAAGCACTGTCTGGTCTCTTTTTTAGTTATAATGCGTTATTCAGTCAAAGAGGTCAAGAATATGAAGATAGATCAGCATGCCGTGACACTATGCTGGAAACAGGCTCATGATATGTAGATCAACAAGGTTCCCCGACTTCGGGGTATTGGCACGGCCTCTCCCACCTTGGCCTCGGCCAGAGCGAGCTTTTCGAGCGCAAGAAAGAGAACAACTACAAGTTGGAGAAGATTGCTGTAATTCGACCTGCCGAGAGTGGATTAGAACCCACCTACAGCCTTTTGTCTTGTCGGTCTGACATCATCTCTGTAGAACTTCAAATTCAGGGCTTCCTCCTCCATGCCTTCGATTGTTCTTAATAGGATAACCAGTGTATCAATTGATTCAATTTAAAGGTTGATTTTCTTGGAATACCACAAGTTTATGGGTTTCATATGGAGTTCTCGTCCTTCCGAATCATTTCAACGGTGGGGGACTGATCAGATAAAGTCATGATTTCATCCCACAAAATGACGTTAATACAATCTGATCTCGCTGGATCCAACCCTGGCGCTAGGGGTAACGCGGTAAGTGGAACTGATCTTGGCTCTTTGCCAACCGGCATTGAAAGATGCCGTCTACAGGTCGACATGCTCCCAAACGCTTGGCAGGGCCATAGGTAGCATCATTCCGTCACCTTCGTCGGATGCTTTGGTACCTAATTCTCCTTGCGACTCTTTAAGCATTACGGTTGCAGGTACTCTTCCGCTACATCCAGCACTCCGGCGCGCACTATCCATAACTTGTCCATGTGAGCCAATCAGCTAGTCGGCAATAGTCTTACCTTTGAGAGGTGAACATAGGTATAGCTAGTTCCTCAGTTTGCTCTCAACTGAACGATTGAATATAATGACTACCACGAAACTTATCTTGATTCGAATATACTATTGTTCTCCCATTAGGTTGGGTTTGACATATAACATGATGCACCCAATGGAGTACGAAGGGCCTTGCCATAGTAGAGAGTGAAGACTCAGAATGTGGCGTCAAGTTCGCTTAAACCCCTGTCAATACCGTGACCTCGCGCAAGACTGGGGACTCCCAAGTCGAGTGACTGTTGCAACTCAAACAAGAGCCGCATGAGAAAGAAAGGGTATCACTGTAGGTATTCATGCCTGAATAAGACGCAATAGTACGCCACAATGACTGTGTATATCAGCAGAGCGACTAATATTCGTAATGCCGGCGGGCATATGACCCTTCTCATTCGTTTGCAATGAATGACCCGGCATAGGAGATTGAGCTCATTCATGTATTCAATTTACTAGCTGTTGGTGACAATTCCGCACTCATAGTATACGTCAAATTTGATTTCAGTTCTGAAAAGTAACCCTACCACAAAACATCACAAGACGGCTTGCCCATTTTACGGTGTATAAAACGGGTTGCTCACTGACCGGCCACCGCCGGGGGCATTCCTCGGTGAGACTTGGTAGGAGGAAAACAATCGAAACTTGAGAGCCTGGTAGCTCAAGTCTCTCGATAGGTAGCTGCAAGCCCGTCGACACGTGGTCATTGCCATTATATGTGGTAACATCTAGGGCTTAGTCCAGTGATCGTCGTCGTCCAATCTGGGCTATCGCCATCCCCTTGTCCCCGACTGCATCTTTCCAATGAAATGGTAGCAGAGATCTGCAAGTAACACTCATGCGGCGTGTGTTCCAGCCTCCTGCACGCAGGTCTTGAAATCCCCCACCTGTTAACATCAGATGCTGATGGGGTCTTGAGGCTGTCTCCAACCTCCCCAAAAGGAATCCCCCCAAAGGCACTTGGGGTTTTCCCTTTTTCATAGGTTGTCGCGGGGATGGATCTGGGTACGCCTGATGGCGTCAGCTGTAGCATAATGGATATCTGAGATAATTCTGATTGGTGGAACAAGACATATTATCATACCATCGTATTAATCAAAATCATTACCCTCAAAACTATCCCTCCCCTTGCCCCCTCGTCAGAACGTCATTAGAGTACAAGCCCGCTCGACCATAGTACCAGAATTTGAAAGCTTCCTTCTATAGCTAGATTATGAACGCTGGAGCTGAGAGTGATGCCACTCGTGGGGTAATCAGTTAACCTCTGTCAGAGGTGTAGTGAGAACGGCAACGCTCTTAATGTGAACATATATGGTGTAGTAGGATTGCCCTCGGCAAGTGTTCATCAACTCTAGCCTCAATATATAAGAGCAGCAGGTACACTTGTGATGACACAAGAAATGGCGCGCTTAACGAGAATGTTGGACGTCATGACGCACTTGAATTAATTCACATTTGCTCTGTCCCTATAGCGAATAACAGTGCTACTGCAGCTGTGGCCGCTTGTTCAACGCTTGCTATGTAACGCAAATCATACAAGACGCTGCGAGCGAATGTAGTGCACCTCGGCCATGTGAGTTCCGCCAATTACAAGTAGAAGGTCAACATCTCCCGCAAAAGTAGCCAAACGGGGTTCCTGCAAGGGCTTTTGACTTATTCTCCATGGAGATAACTTGCGGATTAGACAACTCATTGGACCTTTGTCAGCGGAGTCGAAGACTATATCTGGGAGCCAGGGATCCCGTGTCTCCAGTATCCTGCCTCGACGAGGATCAAAATACTAAGGACCAACTAAGCAACGAACGTCTGAACTACCAGTTTAGTTCCTGCGACGACCCATAAACTGCATCCCCTGTTATATGAGCTACGCTGTGTTCGAAGTCATGATTCCGTGGATCGAACTTCCACAACAAACCTTACGAATTGTACGTTTCACACTCGAGGATATACCAGTATTTTGATGGGTGGTAGTGGACGTCCTTGACATCCAATCGGTGGCTCCTGAAAGCATGAGTGCCTTTGACCGAGCTATGTGCCTAGCCAGTTTGTCCCCCTGTACTTCCCGTGCTGGCTGGCCGTGGGGGCGGAGTAGACATCAAGCTTCCGTCTCTATCCCTCTCCATGGCGACGCCTCCGACCAGCTCACTGGCTTCTCCTTCAGAATCTTCACTCTGCTGGCTGCTGGCGCTTCCGAGACCTGCCAGAGCTTGTTCGGCAACTTCACGTTCTACCTTCTTTAAACGCTCTTTCTCGACTGGATCAACAAGATCATCGTCGTCACTCCAGAAGCCAGTCTCATTATCATCGACTTCGGGCATCGCCATCCGTTTCCAGAATCGAAGTTCTTGCCGGGTGGCTCTTTCACGTATCCGCTTATCCCACCGAGTCTGATCCTCGTCAAATTTCTTGCGAAAGTCGCGTAAAAGGTCATTCGCACGGCTTGCATGTTGCTGCACTTCCCACATCTGCTCCCGTAACCGGCAGTTCTCGGCACGTGCTTCCGCGAGCTGGGCCCTGTACGAATGATGCCATGCAGCGACATCGGCAACATGTTTTTGTTTGTAGACGTGGAACTGGTTTATTATGCCCTCGAAGACCTTGGCGTACGTGGCGAGCAATGTGAAATTAGCATCTCGCGATTGCTTGGCGCGGTCGAGAGATTCGGTGAGGATGGACAGCATGGCTTCTAGGTTAGGCTCCTGGGCTATAAGCATCGCACATTTGTCAGCATAATATTCCCTCCTAACATTAGTACATAATCGGCCTTGTCTTATTCCTCGTTTACGGTTCTATTCCTATAAGCCATCGACAGGGGGGGAGGCAGAATATGGACTGAGACGGATGTGAGGGAGGAAGAGCGCACCAAACAGTTCGTCCGTAGCTTCGCCTAGGAGTTCCTCATTGCCGAGCCCCCGTTCTCGTGCCCTATTCCTCACTCGGCCCAAGCCGGACACAATCTCTTCAGTGACGCGTCGGTTGTCAGCAAGCTGACGCGACAGCTCTTCTACCATGCCGTATATGATATTAAGTTCGGCCTGGTGCCCAGCAGGTGTAGGTCCAATAGCCATTGCACTCGCCGCGGCGGCGGCAGCGGCAGCGGCAGCTCCATTGCCCTGCATGTTGTTTTCGAGTCTTCAATACCGAGGCGTAAATATGGATATGTCTATTGCACTGTCGTTTTCAGAATCAAGGTAACAGTACAGCACAAGGGGGTGCGTATGGTTTTATCTATGTGCTACAGTAGCCTAGGTACAGTTTGATGCAGATGGAGGTAGTCCATGGGCATTAGGTAAGCATATCTGTTTATCGCATAGACTGTCTACATATATATATATATAGAGAGAGAGAGAGAGAGAGAGAGAGAGAGAGAGATAGGTACATAATAGGTACATAGTAAGTACCCAAGCTCTTCCATCATTACAAGGTTCTCTCTACCAGCTGAGAGGTAGTGTTCGACCATAAAACAACCCTCATTTTTTCCATCGAATACAATATTAAGAAATCCTGATGAAACCAATCTTTCTTCTCCTCTAAAACTAACTGTGGTACCCTTAAACCAGATATGCCCGAGCATGGCCAGGACTGGTATTACTCGCTCGGGACCCAGCCTGCTCATGTTATTGTTGGGAAACGTAGCTTTACAGTTTACCTTAATAGCTTGCAGCTACTATTTCCCACGCCTCTTGTTGTTCGCTTGGGCAGTTCAACCGATACGTCACGCACAACATGAATAGAGAAGTCGCCATTCATAACAGGTGTGATTGTGCGAGGGCACTGTTGGTCGATATGTCTTTCCTTGTCGCTCGCAACATAACCTTGGAAATGCCTGTTGCCATGCCCGGGATGAAAGAACAAATCTAGGTTCAACACTCTCGACCCGGAAAGTTTAAACATGTCGTCGTACTTGCTCCGATCCTGTGGGAACCGGCCGGTCCCAACTTACTATCCGCCCCAAGAGTCTTCGTATCAGCTACTAGGTAGGTCGAAGAAACGTTGAGGCTGAATCTGTTTTATTCCATTGTTGTGTAGGGCGTAAGTCTTGAGATCCCAATATCGTTTTTAAAGAATTCATATTTCGTTACACATCTAGACCACACAGTATCTCGCTTACGCTACATTCTGGCAATTTTCCGATCCTATGGGCAAAAACCGATGCACCAGGTGCTCAGCTACTGTCACGATTCTACAGCTGTAGACAAAAAGACTCCCTGTATATGGCCCTAGCCTAGTCCCCAAGGCTTCAACACCTTTGTGCAACAACGATAGTCATACAGTACCTCCATGCTTGTAGTCCTTACAGCTACCTAGCAGTATAGATATAGATACGCCAACAGGCCGTTGTATAATAATTCATTCGACCCATGCGATGGCAACAACACCAGGGAATGTCGCCACCACACCCGGTTCGCCGGAGCTTGCGTCAACAGGCCTTGAAAAGGTCATCACCACGCGCCAATTTATTTTCATGGCGCTTGGTTCTTCTATTGGTGCTGGCTTGCTTATAGCATCAGGTCAAGCTCTCGACGTCTCGGGCCCAGCGCCACTCTTGATAGCTTTTGCCATGAATGGCTTTGCCGTGTGGGTTACCATGTGCAACCTTGGGGAACTGTCGACCCATTTTCCTGGCGAAGGGTCTTTCTACGAATTCTCAGTTCGCTTCATCTCGCCAGCGTGGGGGTTCACGATGGGCTGGAATTATGTTCTGAAGTATGTAATCACTGGGGTCATCTTCTTCCTGTTCTAGTTATTCCCGGAGGACATAGTAGATGTTTCGGGCACAAGTGTGTCTCGGGAGTATGCAGAACTCACGAAAGGCTTACCTGAAAGAGTGTTTACTGACTCCAGCGGTTGAAGTATGATATTCATAGTTCCTTTTGAAATCATCATCGTGGTTATGTGCGCACGGTATTGGGATATTAATATCTCAGCTCTCTACCTCGTTCCCGTTATCATCTTCGGGTTAATCGTCATCTACGCATTCGGCACGAGAGTACGTGTTCTTCAGAGTCAATTTCTTCCTATTATAGCATCATGCGGAGGCAAATTTGTCCTTTTTCCGATGACCTCCTTAGTCTCCGTTTGCTTATCTGAAAGAGTAATTACTGACTTCAGAGAACTATAGTGGTACGCTGAGGCTGAGAATCTCTTTGGTATCCTCAAGATCATTGTTATTGCCGTCTTCATTGTAACCGCTATTTGCATCCTGGCCGGTGGTGTACGAACCGACCCACGCCCTACAGTAGACTTGGCGTATAAGCAATGGGGCTCCGGAGCATTCTTGAACGGCGCACCGGGATTCTTCTTCGCCTTCGCTACTGCTGGTATGGCGTATGGCGGTACTGAAATGTTAGGGCTAACAGCGGCTGAGTGCTGTTCGCCGCAGCGCGTCATGAAACTCGCAAGTAGGCGTAGGTTACCCCTGGAGTCTTAGGAGTCTACCTTAACTCCCCAAATCTGCTCCCGTTTTACTCCAAAGAGTGATTACTGACTTGAGCGTACTGTAGTGATCGCGGTCCGGATAATACTGTTGCATCTAGTCCCTGTGCTCCTGCTCAGCCTCGTGCTCACAAGCCGTACTAGCCCCTCAGCTAATAACGATGGCTCGGCTAAGGAACTAATAAGCCCCTTCGTTGTGGCCGTCTCAGAAGCTCACATTCCCGTACTCCCGGACTTTATGAATGTCGTTATCGTCACCTCCATCTTCTCCGTAGCCAGCGCGTGCGGTAAGCGAGCTTCCTGAGCCAGTTTCTCCTTACCACCCTCGAGCTCTCTCAAATTTCCATGCCCTATCATTCTGTCCCCTGGTCCCGACAGCCACGTACCTCAAAATATAGAAGCCCTGTAACAGCCCTTATAGTCGTTTACATATAATTTCCTCTTTTATAGTATATGAGCGCTATAAATACAATGAACTTAGTGGCTCATCTTGCTCTGCTAAGATGCCTATCTTCTACGGTTTCCGCGTTTTGAGGCCTTACTGGGCTCTCAGCCCCCCTCTCCCCCTTTTTTGTCCAAAAAATAAGAAAGAAATAAAACACATAGCTAACTCGGGCGACTATAGTATTCGCAGCTTCTCGGGCTTTGCAAGCGATCTCGGCGCGCGGCATGGGCCCTCGCTTTTGTGGACGACTCTATCGAGACAAGCCAGTGGGTGCGCTTGCCATCATCTTCGCCTTTTCGCTACTCTCTTTCATCAAAGCTGCAAAGAATGGTGACGAGGTTTTCGTGTGGTTACTTTCTCTCAATTCGTGCTCCAACTACTTGACCTGGTTGTCTATCTGTGTTGCCCAGATTCGCTGCCGACTCGCCCTCAAGAGACAACGCAGATCCTTCCAAGACCCGCAGGCATACAACTCACCCGTTGGCATCATCGGATCCGTCGTTGCTGTCATTATCTTCGCGTACGGGTTGGTGGTGCAGATTGCGGCTGGGGCGAAGAGCCCGTTGGTCCCTCCGCCCCCGGTCGCCGCGAGTTTCATTGGACTTGTTGTCGTCGTCGTTTTGTGGGTTGGATACATGTTATACATGCACGACCGCACGTTCATGATTCCTCTAGACATGATCGAATTCGGGCATAAAGAGAACATATTCATTCCCACAACTCTTCCCGAGTCTGATCAAGCACCTGCAGTGTAAGAAGGGATTTTAGGATGGTGTGTCACGACTGTACTCTTACACGCTCAATCGACAAGGAATTAGAACTAATTTGCGTAGATAGAAAAATCATGATTAACTCGCCTACCAACTATGTCTCCATTCATCCGTGTAACAACATCATATAACTCATTATAGCACGTCAAGTGTATTATTTACAACCACGGCCAACACTGATTTTAACGCCATGTAGGTCCCAGTCTAGGTCTCCTTCCTCGCCTAGCCATTACTCAAACAACAAGTCATCTGCGTCATCATCAATCACACATACTTCGAGCTACCAAAAATTGGTCAATTGGCTCCTCAAATTACGCCGCTACAGAAGTAGTCCTTCGCTGAGACTGCGAAGTGCCACCTCTTCTTGATGTACTCCCACCGGGCCGAGCTAGTGTATACTTGGCGAAGGCACGAGCGAGGGCCTTCTTGCAGCTGACCTTCTGGCTGCCAACAAAACTGTCGACGGTGACGGCGATGGCGCGGTCTATATCCTGAGCTGAGCAATACTCCGAAAGCCGCATTCGGCAAAATGCCTCCGATATGCGGATTATGGCTTCCAAATGACGAACCTGATGACATTTAGCAAATGCAATGAGCAGCCTAGCGAGTGAACGATCAACATACTGTAATCGGGTAAGCCCCCGTGGCAAGTGACTCTCGACGCATATCCGCGAACAGCCGCGCAACCTTATCCTCGTCCATGTGAAGCAACTTGGGCTGACAGTGTTCGCGTGCGTACAGAATGTATTTCCTGAGAAGTTCCTGTGAGATTTCTCCTTCCTTAGGGGCTGTCCGTCTTTCTTCGGCTGTCTCCTGATCCTGGTCCATTTCTTGAGTCTCACCGGCTCCGAGCGTAGATGGATGGCTACGGCTATGGGAGCCCACGATAAAGCGAGCCAGTCGTTCATCTTCACTAGGATCGACGGTATCCCGCACAACACAGAGGATATCGAAACGTGATAAGATAGGCTCTGTCAGTTCAACATTTGCCGAAAATGGTATTGTAGAGTTGTAGCGGCCGCCGATGGGATTCGCAGCCGCAATTATACCACAACGAGCCTGTAGTGTAGTCACAATGCCAGCTTTGGAAATAGATATTGTCTGCTGCTCCATGGCCTCGTGAATTGACGTCCGGTCCTGATCGTTCATTTTGTCAAACTCATCTATAAGGCAAGTGCCTTTGTCTGCTAGCACCAACGCGCCGCCTTCTAAGGTCCATTCGCTAGTCAGGGGGTCTCGACGAACACTAGCAGTGAGACCGACAGCAGAGGCGCCTTGACCAGTGGCAAACACAGCACGATGTGCCGTTTTCTCGACATATTTGAGAACCTGAGATTTAGCTGTCCCTGGATCACCGAGAAGTAAGACATTGATGTCTCCACGAACGTGATGCGAGCCTTTAGCAGTCTTTGCGACTCCACCAAAGAGGGATAAAGCAACAGCCGTTTTGATATCATTGTGCCCATAGATACTGGGGGCTATCGAGTTGACAACCTTGTCGATGATCTGAGGATCGCGAGAAAGTTTGCGGATTTCCTGTTCATCTTCATCAGTTAGCCTGAACCCAGCGAGCTGGTCATGGGCTTTGACGATGTTGTTTGCTTCGAGGATGGTGGCGAAAACGGGAAACCCGTTGCGATTGTTTAGCTGAGCATCATAGTTATTTCTATAGATGCCGGTGATTTCAATTTCCTCGCCTGGCTTAGCTCTATCGATCAGATCCCAAAGTAGGATGACTTCTCGAGTCCGAGGGAGACGCCCGGCTGGGACCGTCCCAGGTGATTCCTGAAGTGTGAGTTTTTGATAATTTCGATAAATAGTCTTTTCCGAATTGACTGTAAAGGGTCCACGAGATTGGCAATTCTGACAATATTTGATCTTGACCTCGACGTTAGACTCTTGTTGGAAAGGTCCTAATGTCACGCCACACTTGGTGCAGTCAAACTTGACATAGATCAACTGGGGAAATACACCCGTGCGCCGGGTGACAACTCCGCTCACTCTGACAAGGCAGTTGAGGTGCGACTGTCTTAGTTGACGCAGGGTGTAATGCACGGGCAAATCGAAAATTCGCACGTGAATATCAGAGTGAATACGCTCATAATCGGGGTAATGGAGTAAGACTACATCCATAGCAACCTGGTCGAAAAGTACGAGCATCTCCTGTGGCGCATTCGCCAGGAAATAGGCGAGGATAGCCTTGGACGAGGACAAGTGATCGTATGAGACTTCGAGAGTTTCAGCATTCACCTCACCAAGAGTCCGAATGCGACTACCGTAGACCGATGAGCCGCTTTCGTCGGTGTATTCTGTAAGGAAGGCCTTGAATTCTCGCTTTATAGTGCGTTGGACGGCGGGTTGGGATACCCAGTCAGTCAAACTTGAAGCTTTCACATCTTGCAAAGCCTCGAGTGAAAGCTCTTCAGCCATGATATCTTGGTCCATCATGTCGTCGGGATCCTCATCGTACCCGTGGCGTCGACGGCGGGGTTGGGTAGTTGGGTCAAAATCGCCGCCATAGTCGCCATCGTCGCTCGGCAAGAAGGCAGCCGGTGCCCGCCTGCGAGCTACCTCGCGGTCTCTACGGCTTAGTTGGGCCTCGAGCCGTCGCCGTTCACCGAGGTCAAGGTCGCCGTATTCTCCCTCGTCATCAATGCCGATTCCTTCGTAGGCATCGTTCTCCCCTTTATCCTGATAGTCCCGTTCGTAGCCGTCGCGAAAAAGGTCGACATCGTCTTCAGCCATTTCGTCGAGATCTTCAAGGTCATCCTGGATCTCGGGCTCCTCCTCAATGTCATCGTCCTCATCATCGTCGCCCCCATGGGAGATGTTGAAGGCGGGCGGTGACGAGGGCATGGGACTGGAAGCTGCTACAGAAGAAGAGGCATCACCATTAGTGCGGGACCTTTTGCGACTCGACCGCGGGGGCAGGCCACGGTTTGCCGAGTCCATATTGCTTCGCAGAGGGGAGGAGCTGGGGACTGGTTGTTAACAGATGGCAATCTACACGACAGAGATAGGTAAAGCCGGCGATATCACACTGGAGTTTGCACTTACTCCATTGTATGCAAGTCTATCGTGGTTTTCGCTCCCGGACATAATCCGGAAAGTCTGTGCTTTCGATATGCGAAAAGAGATATGAGTAGGTACTCTCAATAAAAGAGGTATGCAGAGAGAAGAAGAAGATGGTGGGGCTAGAGGAGGCAATTGCATTCTCCACATTGTGACTTAAGACGCGCTCCGCACGCGTCACGGTCATGATGGCGCGTAAAGTGGCATATTAAGCCCCTTCAATTGATTGGTGCTGAGCAAGTACCTAACTAGGTACTTAAGTAGGCAGGTACCTAGGGTATTTGGTAAATACCGTACTACCTACATATGTACTTAGGTCCACTCCGATCCATCTACCTAGAAGTACCTTAGATACTTAAGTACATGTATGTACTTAATGTAAATGTAAGTACCTAGGTACATTCGTGTAAGCCTACAGCACAACGGCCATCGCGTTATCATGTTACATCATCCGCGCCATGGCGAGAATTCAGCCACCAGAGAATGATCCCTTGATTCGCAATTCTTGATTGTTTCGAAGATTGTTTTGGTTGTTTCTATCGCGCCCTCACTCTCCCAGCTTCCTCTACCGTCGACCGGCACATCGCATTATCTCATTGCACCGCATAACATCGTCCGGCTGTCGGTCCTGGAACCATCGAACCATGACTTTTCCTCCGCCGCCCTCTGTCGTCCCTAACGACTCCGTCGAGATGGACAACACAAACAGTGATACTTCGCCTCGCCGCGATAGTATCTCCCAGAGATCTGAAAACTCCCAAACCGCAGCTGACTTTATCAGAGATCAGATGCAGTTGGAAGCTGATGCTCGCGAGGCGCTACCTTATGTATGTCATCTTGTTGTTTTCTCAGCCATATGTGCTCGGGAATCGCTGACAGTTGCTTTTTAAAGAGCATCAAGAATTGTACCAAGCCTCTCGGCGCCCTGCGCCAAAGCGTCTACGCTTGCCTTACGTGCAACCCCCCGCCACTCGACCCCAATGAGCCCTTCAACACCGCTGGCATCTGCTACTCATGCTCTGTTCAGTGCCACGGCGAGCATGAGCTGGTTGAGATTTTCCAGAAGCGCAATTTTACTTGTGACTGTGGCACCACGCGTTTCAAAGCCGACCAGCCGTGTACACTGCGCATCAATCCGGACACCAATACTCGTGGCAACGTTCACTCCGAACAGCCGGACCCCAACAACAAGTACAACCAAAACTTCCGCAACCGCTTCTGCTCGTGCTCAATAGACTATAAGGCTCAGGAGCAGAAGGGCATCATGTTTCAGTGTCTTGGACTTGGCACTCATGAGACTGGTGGTTGTGGCGAGGACTGGTATCACCCGGGTTGCCTAGTTGGACAGGGGCCCAAATGGTATGAGAAGCTATCTAAACAGAGCCGCCCCAAACCTGCTGGCAGCAACACCTTGGATCCTATATATGAAGATCACGTCCAGGCAGCCGGCAATGGGCACCGGACAGCTGAGGCTGAAACCGTGGTAGAGGAAGATGATGAAGACGTGCCTCTACCAGCGGGGTTTCCACAGGAACAAGATTTTTCTCTACTTTTGTGCTACAAATGTGTTGAAGCTTACCCGTGGATCAAGCGTTATGTTGGAGCCCCGGGATTTCTACCTCCCGTCTTTCTGCATAAGTCTGACAACGACGATACAGCACCGTCAGGAGTCACCAAGAGAAAATTGGAAGATGATGACAGCAATACAGTTAGTGAGCTGAGCAAGCGTATGAAGACCGACCCGGACATCAAGGAGGGGGATAGTTCGTCAAATATCGCTTTGTCAACGCAAACGAAGCAAGAAAAACCAGAAGGCGCGGTGACCCCCAGCCTGCCGGAATGCAAGCTCAAGTCTTTACCACCTGCACCGGATGGCGTGTTCTCCATCTTTGCTGGGGCAGATTTCCGCGATCACATCTGTCACTGCCCTGATTGCTTTCCGAAGCTTAAGCCCCATCCACAGTTACTAGAACCTGAGGAAGAGTACCAGCCGTCCCTATCAGAAGGTTCGGAGAATGGGTCTACTCATTGCAGCGGATCTCTTTATGAGCGCGGCGAATCCGCGCTGAAGAATGTTGACCGTGTTCGTGCAATAGAAGGCGTGATGGCCTATAACAACCTCAAAGAAAAGCTAAAGCCCTTCTTCCAGCAATTCGCTGAAAGTGGAAAAGCTATTGGCGCTGAGGATATCAAGGAATATTTTGCAAAGTTGAGAGGCGACGAGCAAGCCATCCGAGAAGCTAGCGAAGCTGCTAGGGAAGATCATCGAAAAGAACAAAGCGGGTACTAGATCATACAAAATACCAGTGGAAACGACACCGCTTGTCACAAAGAATATTGAAAACATCAGAGAGATGAGGGACTCCAGTATGATGTTTGATCTACAAGGCTTAGAGAAGCTCGGCGTGTTTACGACGGCTGTCAATTTTTGCTATACGGGCACGAGCTATGTATAACAAAACCCAATGAAATGAAGTATGTCAAAGTTCAGTGTGATGCCACACAACGGACAAGGGGCAAGAAAGTGGGAACGATTTGGCATGTTCTGTCTTTTATACTAATTCGGGTTTCATACTCAATTGAACAACATTACTATTCTGTTGGAACAGCAAGTTTGGCCTTTATACAGCCCAGACTTTGGCAATCGTTGCCCTAGGCAAGGACCGAGTCTGGTCGGGTACGTGCTGTAGAGCCAAACATATCAAATTGCTGGCCTCGGTCCCTAAATACAGCGGTACCTTGAGACGTTGTGCCTCTACGACAGCATCTTTCATTTGCTTCGCCACGTCTTGGAGGCTTTCGCTCTCAGGCCCAATGCTGGTCTGTTCTCCGCGAATTAGACCTATAATTTCTGAGCCAACAGCCTCATACACTTTAGATCCTCCTGCTGCATTCACGCAGAGATCATAAACTTGGTCCAAGTCAAGTCCACACAATTTCGCAAAAGCCAGCGACTCGGCTGTCGCACAGAGATATATGCCTCTGAGCAACCCCTGCACCGTGGCAAGTTTCCTTGCGTTATCATCTTCCGTTGACGATGATATGTTGTTTTGCAGGCCTTCGGTGTACAGCCTGATTAAGCTGCTGTCATCGTCTGCGCCATATCCCCTTCCAAGACTGGTAAGGTACACTTGCTCGGCCGTCCCAGTCATGGGCGCCGAGAAACCGACTCTCAAAGCCTCAGATGTGATGATGCCCGCATCCTTTAGTATGATAGTGATAGCGCTGGCAATGGGTTTGAACTCGGTTAATATTCTAGGAGCACGGTGTCCGAACATCCAAGCGGAAGCATCGGAGTTCTGGATGCCTTCCAAGGTATATGCTAGGTCTAAGCCTAGATGCTGAGCAAATCCCATACCCTCGCTGACCGCTAGGATTTTTACGGCCGCTAGTACCTGATGCACCATTTTCATGTTACTGCCGGCACCGATCCCGCCGTTCACAATATATAACTTTGATGAATCGGATAGCTCTTGTAGGAGGAAGCGCCCCTTTTCGAGCGCGTTGTCTGAGCCGCCGGCCATAATCGACAACGTACCGTCAGCAGCGCGTGATGCACCACCCGACACAGGACAGTCGACGAGAAGCACGTCGCCACGTCCCTTCTCTACCAGTTGCGCTTCGAGGCTCTGTACATAAGCGCACGGTACGGTCGAGCAGAGGAGCAGTGAAGCACCTTCAGACAGACCGTTGAGCGCTGGGTTCTCTCCTTCAAAAAAAACTGATTGCGCCTGCGCCGCCGTAGCCACCATGCACACAATGTGATCGCGGCCACGGACAGCCTCGGCCGGCGTAGGAGCAATACTACCTCCTGCAGCGCGAAACCGCTCCAGTGTTGGTGGCCATACATCAAATCCCGTTACTGGGTATCCCTGCTTTACCAGATGCGTTGCCATGCCGAACCCCATGGCGCCGAGGCCAATGAAGGCAATTTCCGGCTTAGCCGCCATTTTCAAACTCGGAGTGTATGGCCTGCAAGCAAAAACCGTGTCAAGAGATATCTGATACTTGGGACGAAGATAGTAATGTCCTGATGTATTGGGACGAGGTGTAATATTCGGAACGAGTAAAAGCTTGGCACCAGTGGCTGCCACCAAGAGTAAGGGGTAATGTTTATTTATTTTTTTCAAAACAAAAAAAAAGTCATGAGTCGACCCAAATACCTCAAGATAGACGTAGCTGTGCTTTCCGGGTGGTGTGGTCTGAATGGGGAATTTTTAAATAACCGATTCGACATGACCAATTCCACAACATACAGGCTGAATTTCCCACTTTATAGCTCGCAGAGAGCCCAGCATACAAAGCAGTATCGTCGTGCCGCACGAATGGGTGTATCGGAGACAATCTTGCCCATTCCTATAATATCCTGAGCCGTGATCATCCGACAACACTATTACGGGGTAGATGGAGGCGTACACTGCGCTCTCAGGCAATACCCCAAAGCTCCAAGCTCGACGCTACTATGGCGCCCGGTCAAATGTGTGTAAGTACTGGTATGTCTTCGAACCTCACTAGTGACACCTTCCCCCACCCGCCTCCCCCCTTTTCTCCCCTTTTCTCCCCGCCATGTCTCCCGAGACGTCTTCGGGACCTGTTGGCGGGGAAAGCGTCACGCCGCGGTGTACTTTTCCCCGTCTTCTGGTAGTTGATAACCCGAGCGATATTGGCAAATGTCTACTAGCCTAGACTACATTACCTAGTTCTTCCTGCCCCGAGGTTACTAGTTGGAGCGCTTACCCCACGTTAGTGGGGTGTTAGATTGTTGATTGTTGGGGAGACTGTATTGATGGGGGGCGATGAAGTCTTTCTAGAAAAGCAGAAATGGGGGTTACAAAACCACCAATGCTGCCTATCTCATAGTATGCCTAGTGCACTCTTTTATGCACATTCACACGGCCCAAAGCTCACGATTGTTTTGCTATTCAACTGATCCAATAACGAAATCTACCATTATCTAGTAGCACGCTTCACACGTAAACGCACCCCCTTGCAGACGGCAGCAACAGTGGACACGGGCAGAAAAGAAGCCAACATGGTTCGGCCACCACTCAACCAGAACAGATCGATGGCGATCCTCAATGCCGCTCGTGAAGGCGGATTTGGCGTGCCTGGCATGTGCTGCTACAACATTGAGTCCATCATTGCGACGGTACGGGCTGCCGAGGCTGCAAATTCACCTGCCATGGTACTACTCTTTCCTTGGGCTATCGAGTACGCTGGTGAGGCCCTCGTCCGAGCCGCTGCGACAGCAGCCCATTCGGCCCGTGTGCCAGTGTCATTACATCTCGATCATGCGCAGACCCCCGACCTTGTGCGCCGCGCCGCCGACATTGAAGATGGCTTCGACAGTATCATGTGCGACATGAGCCACTACGAGAAAGAGGAGAACCTTGCGTTGACCCGCGAGCTCGTTGCATACTGTCACGAACGCGGCATCGCAGCGGAAGCAGAGCCTGGTCGCATCGAGGGTGGCGAGGACGGCGTCGCCGAAACAGCAGACCTCGAAGCCGTGTTGACGACGCCCGAGCAAGCTGAAGAGTTCGTGGCCACCGGGATCGAGATGCTCGCGCCTGCTTTTGGCAATGTACATGGAGAATATGGTCCTCGTGGTATCCAGCTTGAGTACGGCCGTCTAGAATCGATCAACAAGGCTGTTGGCGACCGCGTGCGGCTTGTACTGCACGGTGCGGATCCCTTTGACAAGGATATATTTCAGCGGTGTATCCGCGCCGGCGTGTCCAAGATCAACATCAACAAGGGCATGAACAAGCATTACGCCGCTGTGCAAAAGGAAATGCAGGGTAAGCCCTTGACCAGCGTTATCGAGGCTGGTACAGATGCTATGCAGAAGGCTATCGAAGAATACATGCACATGTTAGGAAGTGCAGGTAAAGCAGCGGGGAAATGATCATTGCTAGTGTACGTTCCTCTAATAAGAAATAATAACCTTACATATGTATTATCTACTCTTTGCATCAATACGACAGAAGAAGGCATTATGCGAATACCTACCGTCGTGGACCGGATGCTGTGTCGCCCATGTGAACTTATTTCAAGAAATTCGTGTTTATTTAAAGGAAGGGCCATCGCTGATAAATCATTGTTGTATGTACATTATAATTGATATTTAACACATTCTTCCCCGCTATGTTCCACGGTTCAGCCCGGCCTGCAAACCCTGGATCACAACCATGGCACCCCAGGCACCAGGATCGGGAGGCAGGTCGTGACTCGCGTCTTGTCCGGCACCGACATATGTCGCTCGGCCTAATCTCGGCTTGAGGGTCTTGGTTTTCTCGGCTCCGGCCACGGCGGCAGCAACGCCCTCGTCGAAACTTCCGTTCGCAGCCAAGCCCTCGGCAAACGGAACCAGCGTGTCCATAACGGTGCGATCACCAACCTTTGCCGGTGTGTAACGGGTTAAATTGTCAAGAGCAGTACGTGTCGCCACACCCCACAACTTTGATATCCCGCCGTCTTCTGTCTTCAGCGCAAAGCTGTCAACCAGTGCCGCCCGCAGTGACACGACGAAGATACCGAGGATACCGCCCAGCGTACCACCCATCTTCCCTTCCAAAATCTCCTCCAGCTCTTGCAGAATAGCTCCAACGGACCCATCCTTGGCAACTCCAGCGTCTAATGCTTCCAGGAGGTAAAGCGCGCCTTGTTTGAGAGTCTCGCCGCAGTCGCCGTCGCCCATCACGGTATCCCACCGCGTCAAATCAGGTTCGGCCTCGATGAGTTTGGTACAGGCGGTGCGGAGCATACGATCGAGCTGGGTAGGATCAACCTTGAGATCTGTGGCGTCGTTGATGACATGGCGCGGCGCGGGAGGTGGCTGTACAAGTTGCTCTTTTCGCGGACGCCGTCTTGCTTGAGAGCCCGTCAAGGATTCCCAGTGCGTATTCGTGCGGGCATCGAAAAATCCTTTGATATCGTCCGTAGAATATGAGCAGTTCTTGGCGGCCGCAGAGATGTTTACGACGGATACAGAAAAGGCTGGTGCGTTGAGCGAGGTCTCTAATAACCCTGATACCACGCGCACGGGTACAATCCCCCAATTTGCGTCAAGCTGGTCCAATAGCTCGTTTACGAATGCACCCATTTCAAGGAAAGACATGCCACCAAAGTTGCTCACCAAGAGTATAGTCTCATCACCCTTTTCGAAACTGACGTAGCCGCGTAGCGGGTCAGATTCGTCCAGTAGATAAGTCAGAATGGCCTTCGCCAGGTCTTCAGGTGAAGGTACGGGTGATATTGTTTGGTAGCCGGGTTCATTATGGGGACCAGTTCCAATCTCCAATTCGTCGATTTTGGACTGGGCATGCTCAGTCCGGCCGGGCACGTGGCAGTGATCCAAGGTGACGGCCATTGAGACGATTTGCTGCGAAAAGGCCACGCCAAGATCGTACACTTCATCGAGAGAGCCGCCTGCGCCTGAAGCGCCCCCCATCACCTTAAGGACACCAACTTGACCTGCGAGACCGCGGCGTCCAACAAGACTCCCATTTTTGCCGACCGAAACATCGTCACCGCAGATGATCATCTTGCATTTCTGTCCTTTAGCATTGGCCTTCTCGGCGGCTAGGCCGAAATGCAGGCAGTCGCCCGTGTAATTAGTGACCACAAGAATGGTGCCCTTGTCTGATGGTACGGTGTCAATGCCCGCCAGGATCTGCTTGGTGCTAGGGGAAGCGAATACGTCGCCAGCCACGGAGGCCGCCAGAAAGTTGGTGCCTACATAGCCTGACCACGCAGGTTCGTGGCCTGAACCACCGCCGCTGATGATGGAGACGGTTGATCTGTCGTACTCTGTGTTGAACACCACCCTGCTCTGCTCATCTAGAGCAAGGGCCGGGTTGTAGGCGATGAGTCCACGAAGGCACTTGTTGACAAGGCCGTCTAAGGAGTTGTACAAGTGACGTCTCGACATAATTATTCGCAGATTGGTACAGACAATAGGGGTAGGTGAGAAAGACACGGGGAATAGGTATTGACGGCGACTTAGAAAGTGAATTTGCACAGGCAGATCTGCTTCACCACTATAGCGGCTAAACTATATGCATGAACGAGTGGAGAGGAGTGTACGGCTAGCCGACAGGTAGTATCCAAATGGGGAGATCTCCAAGGTTTACTTATGGGGAGAAAGGGCGAGAGAGGAGGGGAGATGTAATACGTCGAGCGGCATGTCGTTGGGGAAATATTGGCATACCTGCCGCGCGTAGGGGACAGTGCTACATCTACATGCGGGTACGCGATGCCGTCGTTGTCGCGACTCGCGGCCACTTGGATCGAAATCGACCATGATGACATAGGTAAGCCGGTGCGCCTATTTTAGAATGCGGGCCGTGGAAGCCACCACAGTACTTCGTAATGTCGACGATGAAGATTCCTCAAGGCCACACAGGTCCCGCTGCCCAGGTGGCACTGACCATGGCAAGAGACGCGCACCAAACACGCGGAACGAGTGAATAACCCACGATGCTAGGACTCGGTGGCAGTATGATACCTAGTATAGGTCTGCGGTCTAGCTTCAAGTCTAGACCAGCAGTAGTAAGTAGCCTGTCCGGTGGGGGAACAAACGGTCGCGTGAGATGGAGGGCTGGGGTACTCCAGATTCACCCTGCACCCAAGATGAATGAATAGCTTCGCCAAGAAGGGGGGGAAAGGGGAGCATTTACCCCACGGCTTTCCCCTTTAGGTAATCCGGTCGCGAAATGGCGATGGCTAGCGAGGTTACTCGGTGACAGCTCAAAATGCAGCCCAGCCGGTAAATGCGTGGCCCCCTTCGTTACATTTCGAGCCGAGCACAGTCTTGGAGTTACTATGATCGAATGATAGCGCCCGAAAACGGATGTCGGTTTTCCTGGAATAAAATGATATATCCTCCTGGGAGCCTGGGTTCCGAGATGGTGAAGTAAAGGCTGCGCTGGTGTTGATCGGTTCGACTTATACCCTTTCTCTGTGAGATAATAACGAGCAAGTCATCGTCTCTCACCAATAGCGATTTGTCTACCGCTACGCTCAACTTTGTCTAGGTTGCTTGTTTTCTCGTGTGGCTTCTTAACTACCTCTCGTGCCTCACTAAACCACAGTCGACTTGTACGGAGCTTCTACACGCAGCCTCCGATTTCCTAGTTCCAGTTCCTCTTGTCCTCTCAATCTAGGCATAATGGCCTCTCCCAGGTGGAAAATCGCCGTTGCTGCGGATGTACGTTAACTATGGATCTTTGGCTTTACTTATACGATGCAGGAAGCCTTCAGCGAAAGGATATCGAGAGCTAATGTGACACTTTCCTTTTTCCCAGGATGCGGGTGTTGGCTACAAAAACAAGATCAAGGCTGACTTCGAGAACGACCCGCGAGTCGAATCTGTAACAGACGTCGGTAGTTTCGAGGCCGACGACAAAACGGCATATCCACACCGCGCTGCTGCGGCCGCGCAGTTGGTGGCCGACGGGAAAGTAGATCGTGCCCTCCTGATATGTGGCACTGGTCTCGGCGTCGCCATCAGTGCCAACAAGGTCAAGGGCGTCCGCGCCGTTACAGCGCACGATAGCTTCTCAGTGGAGCGCGCTGTACTCAGCAATAATGCCCAGGTGTTGTGCATGGGTGAGCGTGTCATTGGGCTTGAATTAGCACGTCGATTGGCGAAAGAATGGTTGAGCTATGTCTTCGACACATCGAGTGCGAGTGCGGCGAAAGTGGAAGCGATTAACGAGCTGGAAAAGAAGCTATAATATGTCGAACATGGCAAATGTATTAAAGAAGCATGCTTCTGGCGGTTAATGATGGCTGAAATTTTGCGCATAGATAGCTTTGGGGCCATTTAATACTGATACAATGTGTTGGTTTTTTTTTTCGGTTTTTTTTTTTTTTTTTCTTTCCTTCTTTTCGAGCGCAACTTCAAATGCACATAATCACATTGATAATACTCGTAACTATAAGCCACAGGGTATAGAACCGCAGTCTTCATCAGTAGATACTGTTCACACCGATAGGGCCGTCAGTGACGGATGACCCTTAATCTATATTTCTAAGAATAGACTCGTAGCCAGTCATCGTAATGACGATAATAGAGAAGAGCTACCGACAAGTACAGGAAGAGTCACTAGAGTGGTCCACAACTCGTATTCCGAGCCAGTGAGGGGGAACCCTTCTCCGAGAAGGTAACGGGACCTGATTCTCGGCTTGGGTATCCAGACACACAATGTCCTTCGGCGAGAGAAGGAAGAGGCGTCACTGAAGGTACCAATTCTATAACTGTGGTCCACCTCAGATAAAATAGTTCCATGACACAAGTCACGATACTACATTCCAGCCGCTTCTCCCGCGACCCCCAAGCCCTTCGTCAAAGCGCTCCTTCGCTCAAGTGAATAGCCACACTCTTCCCCAAAACTATAGCCTCTCTAAGGCCAAGCCAACAACAGGTGACACACTGACCAATGTCCTCATCATCCCCGCGCCGCCTAGTCGGCGTCTCCACGAAGATGTACTTCTCGTTCGCAAAAACGACAACATACATCTCGACGCTTCTCAAGCTCCTCGCAGACCAGCCCCCAGACACCCTCGCTTCCTTGCAAAACATAGACATATTTGTAATCCCGGACCATGTCTCTCTCGTGTCTGTCATCTCCCTGCTCCGACATGAAAGCAACACCTGCCCGGTGCCTATCCTCGCAGGTGCTCAGGACGCTTTCCACGAGGACGCCGGCGCCTTCACGGGCGAGGTATCCCCCGCTGTATTAGCCGAGGTCGGGTGTAGGATCTTGGAATTAGGGCACGCTGAGCGTCGCCGATTTTTCGGCGAGACGGATGACATCACAGCCAAGAAGGCCGCCGCGGCCGCGCGCAACGGCATCATTCCTCTCGTCTGCGTGGGCGAGCGGACGAAGCCGCCCGTCTCCTTTGCATCATCGGAATCTATATCTGAAGATGATAAGGTTTTAGACACAAAGGCAGCCCTTCCTGAGATCCGTGCCCAGATCGAAGCGGTGCTAAGCGCCGTCCCGCCCACGACGGACGTCGTGCTAGCTTACGAGCCCGTCTGGGCTATCGGCGCGGCGGTCCCTGCAAGTGCGTCGTACGTAGTATCTATTGCGAAGGCCATCCGGGAGCTCGAGTGCGTGCGGCGCCGTACTGCGGGATCAACACGCATCTTGTATGGTGGGAGCGCGGGACCCGGCCTGTTCCCGAAGCTCAAGGATGGAGCTGATGGGTTATTCCTCGGCCGTTTCGCGCATGATCCAGAACAGTTCCTTAAGACTCTCCTCGAGGTTGCCACGGCGTGATGTTTGGAAACAAGACCAAAAGTGAAACCCGCGTACTAAGATAGAGGAATGAAATGAAGCTCTGCGGCTAGTTGCATCGTACAGAAATAAACTAGCAAATCCGACGTCGCATTTGAACTCGTTGTCGTTACACTGCAAGGCTGTAATCATGCCATAGTATTGAAGAGATCAATAACTGGCGCAAAGACGGCACACGACTACAGCCCAAAGTACAGTCGTGCAATCCATTCAACACCTTCAATAGCGGGGCTCACAGAAGCTGGAAGACTGTGCGAGAAGTTGTAAAATCCAAGATAAAATATAATTCATTTAGACCACTGTCACTATGTTTCACTACAATCTATATATCACGTCTATTCACTTCGGAAGAGTTACGGCTAGTGCGTACAACTATATACAGTCGCCTCCTCTCACAATCCTTCACCAAGGAGCCCGCGAAGCTCTCCTCTCTCTCATCCCCTGATAAGGTTAGGCAGCTAATTGGACATTATAATTCATCCGAAGTCATGGTATCATATCATGTGAAAAATCGCTAACCCATGGTATCCGTCACTCCGTTTGGGTGATACAGAATATGTGAAACAACATTATAATGGTTGAATAATCTCCTCGTTTATGCAATGACTAAATAGCTCTCTCGTCGCTCAATCCATAGGATATGGCAAAAAGGTTGCTCGGTTCGAGTTGTTATATGTGGTTAGTATGTATGTATACGCGAATCGTAGGTATAGGCCGGCCAAGGTAAAGATCATTCGTTTCTCCCCTTTTTCAAGCGAGAACCCACTCACTACCCCTCTTGACGAACTTGTCAAGAAGCATTCCCAGGTCAGCTAGGACAAAGCGACATATGTAGAATCCGAAAAATTCGGCAGCATGTCTGGTGCACAGCTCAAGCCCAACCTGCGTTTTGTCAGCGTGGCGTAATCCGGGATCATCAACCTGACGCGCGATTTGATCTATATGCATGTCAGGTCAGTATATTTAGCGATGTGGTTCTCCTCAAGGGGAATCGACACTTACCGACTGTTTGTGCAGCATCAAACAACCGCGCCAGAGACGCCATGTAGTTTGCGTTGGGTCCATCGAACTTGACTGATGCTACATCCCTCTTAGCAGGCCTACTGCTAGGATGGGCGACCATCGGCAAGCTCGACATGGTTCCGCCCGGGCTCATCGCGTCTCTTTCTGGGATGCCAGGAACGCCGCTCGCATTACTTCCACTAGCATTGGCTTTGACACCATATGTGCTGGCCAGGTTGACAGCAGAGCCTTTGCTCCTCAATCGGCGCCAACTGAACGCACCCTTCCCACTAATGCTGTTATTTCTCGGCACTGGTGGGGCTTCGGTCTCTCTCTCATCTTTGAAGGTAACCATACCCTGGGTACCAACTTCAGTGCCCAGTCTTCGCGAGAGAGTAACTTGAACCGTCTCCAGCAGATTTTCAAACACCTGCATCTCGTCTAGCATAGCGTCTGCGTCATTACTATCGACTCGCGCGAGCGTTAATAACGCTGCAGTGAGCAGATCACATTGAGAAATCTTGTCTTCAACATTTCGCAGCTTAACGCCTTTCACCTTCCATGCGTCTTGGGGAACGAAGAGTCGATTGCTTATATAGCCACCTCGTGGATGAGCCAATGTCTGATAAAGCGCGCGCATTAACCAGAAGGGTCGGAACATTGGTTCAGATGGGCATGGTTCAAGTGGGAGAGGAATATCCTGGCTTTGTTGTTGAAGGTGATGTGTCGAGTTCGGTGACTGTGATATCGGAGAATGGAAATCAGAATCGAACAGATGGAGTCCACCAACGCCCCCCACTATCTTCTCCGAAAATGTTGTTGCAATCGGTGTTGGAAGCGCGGGCACTGTCGGCAACCGAGTGACTGATGAGTTGGAGACCTGTTGGCTTAACGGAGTCATAGGAAGCGGATCTGCATCATCAAGATATGGCAATGACATTTGTCTAGACTTCAAAGATTTTAAGCTGGAAGAAGAGAAGTTCTTTCGCATGCTAGGCACTGTAGATGATGGCGAACCAGTTCGGACCTCATCGTCGTAACCGCCCGTGGGACTCGCAGGGCCCGCTGTGTCACCAGGGCCAATACCCCTAATCGGTGGCGATGGTATGCGCATGGAAGAGGGGCCGACACGAGCCGAGTTTGCAGAAAGAGCCTGTCTCTGCTGAGCGATGTAATTACTCGTGGGCTGAGACTGCTCAGCCGAGGAAGGGGTCATGGCTGGTGGTGGCACAGTAGGTGGCGAGCCAAGTTTTGACGTCTCGATTTTGAGCTGCTTTGCATTCTGCCCCGAAAGCCGCCGATTTCGCACACCTGTAGTTGAGGACGGCCGGTTGTTGGGCAGCTGAGGTAAAGAATGAGTGGGGGGAGGCATGGGCGGTGGTGAAGATGTCTTTAGCAGATTGCCTGATGACGCCACCTCACTGACCACAGAGAGCGTCGTTGTGCCGGTTGGGGGGTTTGAGGCCATTGAGCTATGCCAAGTTCTCGATGTAAAGCCACTGGAATCAGATTCTCTAGGAACACTCGAGTGATAGCGAGACTGGCGAGTGAAATCATCCATAGCATATTCCCTAGTCATTTCTTCGAGCATGCGTTCTTCTTCCTCATCGGAGTCGTTAGCGTCAAAAAAATCACCGCCGTATATTTGTGCTTGTTGACTGAGTGACATCTGTCTCTGTCGCTCGTGTTCTTGAGCCATTTCTATTGCAACCTCTCGCTCCGTCTCTCGGGCCCGTTCCTTGGCTACTTCCATTCTCCGCATGGAGGATGTTATCCTATCATCTACTTCATCATACGTCACGATAGACGCTTCCATGGGTTCGAATCCGTCATCATAGGCAGCTTCCACAGCGGCATCTAATGCGGCGTCAAACTCAGCCTCGGTATCACCACTAGGCTGACGTATATGCTTCCTTATAATCCTCGAAGATGACCTGGAATGCACCGAAGAAGTTGTGGAGCCTCCTGATTCATCGATAGGATCCAGCCACGATGCCGATTCGTGGCTGAGGTTCCGTCTATGTGATCGCAATTCAGTACTAGAAGCGTATCGGTCTGGCTTTAACGAGAAATCCATGCGTACAATAGGTTCAGGACTAGGTATTCTTGGAGGGGAGGCAGGTCTACGAGGTGATAGTGGAGCAGGCAGAAAGTTGTCATCGGACGAGCGCGGTACTATCGAGGCCTCTCTTTCAAAATTGCGGCGCATTGGAGATCTGGAAAAGGAGGACTGCCGAGAACCTTGGTTGAAGTCGGCATTCCTCGAAAAGTCACGGTACGTTATCGATTCCGAAGGTCGATGCATGGCTTGGGACGAAACTTGAGATGGTGGTGATCCAGCTCGGTCGACCCTGCGTGACCTAGTGATTGTTGCTGGGTCGGACTGGTTGTCAACTCTCGCCAACTCCATTTGAACCCCATGGTAGTCAAAACTATCTGGTCTTGCTGGCAACGCCTTATCTCCATGCAGATTAACGGGGACCAAGGCGTCTAGTTCTTCTATACGGCTTGTATACGTAACTCGCTGCGAGACGTCCGATTAGTATATTCCACACCGGCTTAGTCATATTTTGCTTGGTCATCCCTTAAGTGAACTTACAATGGCGTCTAGCTTCTTTCTGTCGTCATCGCCATTCGTCCTAGTCAACACTTGTTGCAATAATTCACAAGCTTCCAGATACGCCTCCCTCGCAGCGCCATAGTTCTGTGCGTTATCGAGCTGAACGGCAGCATTTGCCTTACTGAGAGCCTTAGAAAGCATAGCTTTCTGTGAAGGCTTGCTGTTGCTACGATCCTTAGGTTTTGTTGAATCACCACTCCCACCTTTCGCTGCGGAACGACTCCTTGAGTGACCTTTTCTCTCAGGCGCAACATCGCGATCACGCAGGACAGACGCAGGAGGGAGAAGGCTTGTATTTGAGCGCATGGCGGGGGAGGTTGTCCTTATTGGATTCGAAAGGTCGCCCCAAAAGGAATTCTGAGATTCAGCATTACTAGGTTGGTTAGCGAAGACAGAATTCGGAGGATTGAGGCGGGGACTAGCGCGACTCATAGTGCGCGGTGAGCCGAGATGGAAGTTACCCTCAGGACTAGTATCGAGAGGTGGTAGGGAAATGATGGGAGGCAGGTTTGGGGGTGGCGGCGAAGGGTCCCGTCCAGTAATCGGGCTCGTACGACTTCCCGCGACTGGACCTGAGGCAAAGCTGGATGCGGAGACAGAGACAGAAGCAGTATATGTACGGGCCCGAGTCCCGGGTGAAGCGCTCGTTCCCTGGGATGGCCTTCGTTTAACAAGCTTGCGCGGCGAGGAGTATTGGTTCGGTGGGAGAGAACCCTGGGCTCGGGTAGTCTCAGGATGCTGTGACGAGACTCCAACAGGGTCGATGCTCATGCGATGAGCGACGGCGATGGGCTTCTGCTGCTGGACCTGTTGTTGTTGGTAGTGGTGGTAGTCCCAAGTGGACAGGCGACTCGATGTTGTCGAAGAGGACCACCGATTGAGGTTACGCAGACTGTCACTAGCGGTGCCAAAGCTGCTCGCGCGCGAACGAGACGGTCGTCGAGTATGGGAGCCAGGGTCCGGACCGGGACCAGCGCCAGATGCTGATCCTAGGCCTGAGCCTGAGCCAGGAACAAATGAGCCAAAGTCAGGGCCGGTGCCAGATGCCAAGACCGAGGCGATGTCTGGGGTCTTCTTGTTCAAAGGATCGAGAAACGAAGACGCGAATTGAGCATGTGTCGGAGGCTCGTTCTCGACATTGGACGACGGCGACGTTGTAATGCGTGTTTGCGTCGTTGACGCGGGATCAAGTGTGGAATTGAAATTGGAAATGGAAATGGACGTGGACGTCGAAGCGGACGGCTGTTCTGGTCTCGCTGTAATAGGGGTTGTTACGGTGAAGATGGACAGGGGTAGCCGAGGGCTAGTGCGGGTAGTGGCCGTGGTGCTGCGGGGCGGAGGCAGGAGAGAGGAGACCCTAGGCGGTGCCTTGGGCGGCGATGTCCTCGAAGCCCTTGATGCCTTCCAAGTTTGCGACGAGGATGGTGAGGAGTGGGAGGAAGAGGATGGCGACGTAGTATCGGCGGTGGTGGCGGTGGTGGGTGAGCACGGCGGCGATGGATTTGTATTGTAGATGGCTAACGACGAGGCGGCGCGAGGAGGATGCGGCGGATCGGGATAGGGACGATTTGGGCGTGCATGTAGTGGTTGTTGGGGTGCGTGGTTACCGCGACCGTGACCTTGACTGTGACCAGGGCCGTTACTGACAGGTTGGCGCTGACACTGACGCTGACGCTGGTGCTGGTGCTGATGCTGATTATAGGTGTTGGTGTACCGGTAGGTCGTATTGGCTTGGTTCTGGTGGGTACGAAGGGCGCTACCACTGCTAACTAAAGCAGTACTTTAGTGGCTGGCTTTAGGAATTTCAAGAGGTTGAGGTTCAAGGTTCAGTACTACGTAGGTACTTAGGTATGTATGTACACCTGATAGGTGGTGGGGTTGTGCTTCGAGGAACGTAGAGACTGAGGTAGAGACTGTACGAGGGGACCTACCTGAACTCCTACCACGAATGGCAGATTCAAGACTCCCGTCGTTGTCGCCGTCGGGCAGGAGGCCTTGAATCAACCAAGAGTGGAGGGGAAGTGCCTGTGATTGGCGATATGGCCGTCGTCCCTCAAACACGTTCCGAGCAGCCCCCCGGTTCTCGTCGATCGTGTTATCACTGTCCTCGCTACCATCAACGTCATCATCGGCACTGTCTTCGACCAAGTTATAGAATGTGCCGCCACCAGTGCCGTCAGTTCCCTCTAACGAAGTCACTGCCGGCTTTTGTTGTTTCCTTTGACGGTACTGGAAGTCGTTATAATTGCTGTTATTACGGTTTGGTGGTGCGCTGACGGGGATGGAGCGAGCCGAGGCGGCAGCGCTAGTGTTTCGACCACGCTCATGCACCGAATTATCCCATTCTTGGTTATGGGCACTCGTGCTGTCGCTATCAACCCCTCCATCGTTGCCAACGCCTCCTACAAACGCCGTAAACATTGCTGTGGGCAACATATATTCATCCGATCCCGAAGGTGCGCGTCGACGAGCTTGAAGCAGGGGTCTGCCATATGGGGCCGTGCTAGTTGTCGAGAACGATGACGATGGCATTAGCGAGGTTGCAGTCGAACTTACCCACGAATTCTGCTCCGACATTCTTGTTCTTACTGCCTAGTCAAAACCTCAGGCGCTGGCTCACTATAGTGGTGCAAGCCGCCGATGGCTGATTGACCTTCCCACTTCTCTCCGTCTCGCAGAGTCCCTTGGTTCAAATTTGAATCGGGGTGATCTTACAACGCAAATACTTATACCGGGGCTGTAAATCGTAGAACATCCGGTATCAAGGTGTCTAGCTACGTAGCCGTCGGGTGTTTGATAGACCTCAGGGTATGGCTATGTGATAAGTTATAAGGACGTCGACTCGTGGGGTTCTAATAGACAACTAAAGATACCATTGGTAATCTACTCGGGGCAGTAGGTATACTAAAAGAAAGAGAGCTGGCTTCTTTCACCCTGGCATCCCAAATATCTAAGACATATGTAGGAAACCCGAGGCCCAGCTGTATGTCTAATAAAAGAGGAAAGGAAAAGACCAAAGATCAAAGAAGGAGTCTATACTAACTCCCTAGACTACACTACGCCGTTGTTTCTTGGGCGCTTCAACAAGGGGGGCCTGGTATTGCGCAAGACCCTGTCGCATCCACAGCCGTGGTAACCTACCTACCCTTTTCCCTGTGATAAGAGGGGAAGAGAAAGAAGAAAAGAGAGGCCGGGAGACAGTATCAATCAAACACGCACATTTCCGTACAATTGGGAATTATCAATATTCAGGCCATCGGGCGTGGTTGGCGGTTGGCTCAAGTTGCGTCTACCAATTTATTAATCCAGATGCCAACCACGCACTCGGGTGGTAGCGAGGTCGCCTGCGCTATTAGTCTACCTACCGTATTACTTTGAATGAGTACCGAGGTGGTGTATGCAACATTGAGTGTCGAATATCGTACGACTGCTGTACCTACCCAATGTAGATAGGTATCTCCCTTGTAGTACCTATTCTCGCATGGACCTGTCCACGTCCCTATCAGTCAAAATATCTGAGACATGGACGGATGGCTGGCAGTTACCGACCTCCGATCAGACTCTGATCAGACTCTGATTTACAGTGCCTACAGGTACTCACACTACAGGTAAGGAGAAGGGTAGTACCGGTATCACCTATATGAATCTACAGGTAGGTATGGTCTTGCTTCATTGCTTCTTTACTGTGCAGTGCGTTTGCTTACTTAATTAAGCTGTAGGTAATCTCTACCTGTACCTAGTTAGGTTAGACACTTGCAAATTTAGTACGAACTTGCCCAGCCTCTTCCTCTTTCTCTTCCTCCACCTCCTCTGGTACAGTTAATACGTATAGACAATCTGTGACCAGCTGAGTAGGTATCTAAAGACCTTCAACATCTTGCACAGGAGTCAGTGTACACGTATCATCGACCTAAACGGTGCCATCGTCTCTGCGCACCAAGCAGCGTGTGTGGGTAGGATTGTTCGACGCCCGAAACCAGCCCCCTAGCTATCCAGCACGTGTGGTGGCGACAAGACCTGCTCAATGCACAACAAACGTACTATAGTACCTACTGTATATGTACAGCATATGTCTTCTTGGCAAAGTATATCGCAGCACGTGGTTTTAGATACGGACGGGGACAATGTGTACTACCTACCTCGCTACCGTAGTGGACATCGGATGAACGTGGCTGGCGAGCTGGCTCGGGGCGAGGTGGGGGTTAAACCGCTTCCTCTTCCTACAGAATCCAATGGGCCCTGCGCCACCCTATTGGTACGCAATTTGAAAAGAGGACCACTGAGCCTAGAGTACATGAACATGTAGGCTTAAGGCTAGCTACGATGCCGTCGCCCAATACAACTACCTCGTCAGTTGCGGTCGGTCTGGCGTTGCGGTCTGGCGTTGCAGTCGGAGCAGATCGCGATGGTGATGCTGTGTGGTGGTGGCACAAAGGGCAAGGACCATTTCTTACACCCGACGGCTGCTCAACCGTCGGCCTATCAAACACAACTTGTTTCACTTGTGGTCTGCACTAACGCATATATTGTACTCAGTCACGGAGGCCTTCTTCTTCCTTCAGGATCCGGACTTTCGTGTCATCACAGTGCCATACTATGGATACCTGGCCGTTGTTGGGAAACAGTTCTTCTTTCCCACTAACTAGCTGTTCAGTCGCCCAAGGCCTTAAAAGCTGCTCCCTCTGTATACACAGGCCAAAAGTTAAGCGACGCAGCCCCCGTCGCGAAGCACCTTAATTCCCATTCTCGTTTGGTTCCTCGATGATCGAATTGTGCGGTTCAGCGTTGGAAAGTAGGTATTGAAAACCAGGGGGGTAACACTGCTAATATTGCCACTATTCCCAGGGATGCCTCGCTTCTAGCCAAGGAGCTCGGCTGGAAATTTGGTGCTCATTGATTTGCTCCCCAATTGATTGTTTCCGCAAGACTTGCAAGACGTCTTGCGCCATTACTCGCTGGGTATGCGATGGCCAACGACGACATCTGTTAGCTTGGTGCTTGTACACCTTCTCCCGAAAGATTAAATATTACAAACGTCCGAATTATAGCAGAAATATCGATCCAGTAGCAGGACGCTAACCAGCCCGGGATGCTCTTATACATCAGGGTCAGCATACTCCTAGCAGTATAAGGTCGTTTTTTGAGTGCCAAATTTCGTGGGTTACCTAGTACGCAGTTCAGAAGCTTGTTGGCATTGTGAGCCATCGTTCTCACAGGTTGATTTTTTCCAGTAAATATATCGCTATGCTTAGTGAGACGTTAATCCCACCATTCCGATCAAGGTTATGCTCAGCGGCCGCTGTGCAGTCGAAAGGTGGCCGGTTGATGAATGAGAAATTCTCCACCCGGCCACGTACAGCGACGGTACGCTCTGCGTGAAAACGACATCGATTGACAGGTCGTATGAGGCCAGAAACGACACGTTGGTGAATTTAGACGAGTTGATGATCTTGTTCATCCCAATCCAGAATGTGACAAATGCCTCGTACTTGCCTGCTTTCTTCCCATCACTGGTTCCGTCCACAGCCAGTCAAAGATTCAATCAGTTTGGCCTGCCCTCTGCTGTACCCTTTCAATTTTGCACAATCTTTATTCGAAAGGACGGTTGAGAAACTAAACCGTCCTAGCTGATGGCCGCCGATGAATGGGAAGTTTAGATAGCCTACTGTTCCCTAGATAAGAAATGGCTTACGAGTCACCGAATACATTACTATTAAGTGTTTAGTTAGAGAACCATGCGTGCTCTCCATGATGCCAAACGTTGCTGTACTAACTCACAGAACATCTCGTATCGCCCCAATAGAAGCCAGGTCTTGGGATATGACCGGGTGTAGTCTTATGTCCTTTGACAGGAGAGACTTGCGTAGGAAAGGAACACGAACCCTCTGGTTGCTAGTCTGTCAAACCACCGATCTCATTATCTATATAATAGGATAGATATCTTGGTCCATGTCGATATCCATATCGAGTCTTCTCCTCTAGGTTACCCTGGTTAAATCTATCTTACACGCCTGGCGCGCCCTATTGCCTATTGGTTGAAGGTGTCACCACGGGCTTGGAGATTCGCTTCGCTCGATGACTGATTGGCTCCAGCTGGTGGCTGCATCTGCAGCAGATCGATTACAGGCAACCTTGCTCGCCTTGGAAGTGGGCGGACGATGGTGGCGCCGTTCAGCAGCACCTGGGGCATGAATTTAGCGAGAGAAGAGCCAATGGGGCGCTCCCCTAGCCGCGATTTTATCCTAATGGGGATGATCCCAGCCGTGACCAGGACGGAAATCGGCGCACCATCTCGTCCGGGCCGCTCCCTCGCACAGGTCGAGGTCGCTAGACGGGCCAGAGATACATGTAGGTAGCTGGATACAGATGACGACGGAACAGCATACTTGGACGACTATATCAGGCTGCGTACAAGCCCTGCGTGTCTCGATATATCTATTCCATTTGGTCCTTGTACAGCTGGCAACATAACATGACTGCTGCGTGTGTTCTGAAGATGCAGACCAACTCGAACATTGAATGCGACCATCATCCATCAATCCGACTACCGTATTCATTACCTACGCTTAGTGTTTATACCTATCAAGACACTTCGAACCACGCCCTTCGAAACTGCACAAATCTCGTACCCTACTGCCGACCTTCGTTTTGAACTCGCCGTAGGCAGATACATACTGGCTAGCCTCCTGTTTCGCATTGCGTAGTCTAGCCTCGAGCCACGCGTTAAGGCTCTGTTGCCCAACATCATCAATTACATCATTACATCATCGACTAGCCGCCACAAAAAGACAACAGCCAGCCCACCTACCGAAGTTGGGATATATCTAGCAAAATAGGTAAATGCAATGTCTTAGCTCCTCGATTGTAGATAATGAACGCCGTCATCTAATTTGCCCTGCTTTTTTTTTTTATCCCCTTTTCTCTTTTTCCTTCCTGTATAGCTGCCTGTCTAGGTACCTACCTATACAGAAGTTTGCAACACGGCATCCTCGCTTTTCCGATCGCCCATCACAATTAGTCTTCACCTCTGAGCCGCATTGCCTCATGGTGATTCAATCCGCGAACCTACTTGTCTGCTACATATTTCGATTCCTTCTATCTACCATCTCCCTCGCTCAGTCCTCGTAGGCTTGCGGGCTACGACGAAAACACTACTAAAGTTCTCAGGTCTCATTACAGTTGCTCATTCTTCTGTATCAATCCTTGTGCTAGGACAACAACAATCGATCTGCAAAGGCTGTATCCTACAATCTAACCCCAATCCCATCCACTCGCTTGTCGCCATGTCTGTAACAACAGACACCATTAGAGATACACACATGGCCAGGCCAGATGATGAAGAGCGGGACTATGAGCGCGCAGTGAAGACCTGGTCGGCTGGGAAGTTTGATGATTGGCCCAACGAAGCTGGAGTCCGTCACTCATCAGACGTCCGTCTTAAGAATAGCACTAATCTTTCTTTTAGTTCGAGGGCTTGACAGAGATCCGTGGACCTGTCGAACTGAAAGTGACAGGGTCCATACCCACATGGGCAGCAGGAACGCTCTATCGCACTGGTCCAGGAGGGTACACTGTCGAGAACACACCAAAGGGAACATTCAAGACCACACATTGGTTTGACGGGTTCGCCCATACACACAAATTTGACATCGTCTCTGATCCCAATGGCCCAAAAGGCCTGGTGCGGGTTCTATATAGTTCTCGGCACCAAGCTGAGGACTACGTTGACGCCATCCGACAAACTGGTCGGTTGCCACGCTTGAGCTTTGGTCAACGCCAAGACCCATGTATTGGTGTTTTTGGTAAACTTATGAGTGTGTTCAAGCGCGAGGAGCAGCAACCGATGCCTGCGTCGGCCAATGTGTGTGTCACGGTACATGCTGACCTGCCTGGACTTGTAACGAAAACAGAACAGACGACCTCGGGCCACAGAACACGCAGTAAAGCACTCTTTCTAGCCACGGATGCAAGTCGGCTACAAGAGATTAGTCCTGACACTTTAGAACCGATCGGTCTGGCGAAACAGCAAATACTCCATCCCCTACTGAAGGGACCTCTTAGTTCAGCCCACGCACAAAGAGACCCGGAAACTGGAGATCTCTTCAACTTCAATCTCGACATGGGCCTTTATGCTACCTATCGAGTCTTCCGCACCAATTCGACCAGTGGCACAACCGACATACTAGCAACCATTTCAGCATTGGACCTGAAGCCAGCTTATATTCACTCCTTCTTCTTATCGCCATCCTTCGTGATCCTATGTATCCCTTCTTCTCACCTGGGATATATGGGCATCTCAGTTCCATGGAGTGGCAATATAGTTGACGCTATAGAGCCGTTTGATCGTTCCAAGATATGCAAGTGGTTCATTGTAGACCGCCGCCATGACCGTGGGGTTGTGGCTACATTTGAAACTCCTGCAGGATTCTTCTTCCACAGTATCAACTCATTCGAAGATTATAATGAATTTACGGGTGATATAGATGTGTTTTGTGATGTGGTTGAGTACCCTTCGACAGATATAATACGTGCATTTGAGATGGATGTGCTCCTGAACAATCAGGACAAAGAGGAATTATATCTGAAGGATGAGCAGCGCATACGCAATTGTCTTCCAAGAGTAGTGAGACGCAGGTTCAGAGTCCCTGCTGAAAAGACAGGCAAAATCCCTCGGATTGCAGAGACTATTTTTGAAATCAAAGCGCCGCACGCCGGCGAACTTCCAACTATCAACCCAGATTACGCAACGAAAAGATATCGTTACGTCTATAGCTTAGCTAACCGCGGCTATAGCACTCTACACGACATCATCGTCAAAACGGATCTAACTACACGTCAAACATTGTGCTGGCGGGGACCTAAAGGTCATACACCAGGAGAGGCAATATTTGTACCTCGTCCAAAACACGCTAGAGATGGAGATGGAGACGGCGACGAAGATGATGGGGTACTTCTCAGCGTTATCCTTGATGGATTTAACAAGACCAGTTACCTGGTCTGTTTGGATGCTAAGACCATGCAAGAGCTTGGCCGGGCTATATGTGACTGGGCAATTGGACATGGATTTCACGGTTTGCATATATAGAATAGAGAGATACCTTAGAATAGATTATCCTTATAATAGTCACAAACTCTGATGCAAATATTTGTATACGAGAAAGAGAGATCCGAAGAAGGCATGACCCCTTTTGTCTACTCCCATGACCGAAATTACTCATGTAATTGTCAGTATAGTATGAATGTCAGTGGGATTGGGCTGACTCTCGGAGCAGCTTCTAGTAAGCCCACTAGTGGTAGAACCAAGATGGTCCTTGAATCACACGAAGACTTAATGTTCAGTGAAAGTTCCGATTATACACTCCTTTCACTCTTCAGCTCGACCTGCTTTGTATCAGATTGATGGCTTCTTCTAGGAGTGCTCTTGCTCCCAGAACGCGCTGGCAACTACAACTTCGAGCTTGTTTTGCCGTTGAAGTTCTTCACAGCACTCTGGAATGCCCATTTGCTTAGATAGAATGGCAGTTCTGTCTCCACAAGTGCGATCATCATACCGTCGGCGTTGACCTTGATAGGCTTTGTCGTATCGATGTCGGTGGCCCGCAGATATTCGTTCTCTGGCGATCCGTGTGCAACCATGGAACCATGCAGGCCGCCCACGAATGGGCCAAATTCATGGCCACTATTGAAAGGGATGCTGGGAGACTGTTCGTAGATAATTGGAAAGAAAAACTCTTGCATCACGTTCCGATGGTAATAAGGGATCCAAAGCGAATCCTTGGCAACTTGCCATCGAGGTGGAACGACGGCGAAATCCATGACGGCTGTTCCAGGTGCCTTGCCATACGACGGCGCAGTAAGCACCGTGTACAGAGACGGGTCATGATGATCGAAGAGGGTGTTACCCATAACACAGAAGCGTGCAAGGTCGTATTTATACGGGTAACAAGTTCCGTGCCACGCAACTACGTCAAAGGGGGTGTGATTCTGCATACATGTCCATAATTGCCCGTTAAGACGAGATATGATTCTCCAGTCCCCGTCATCACTTGCCTTGACGACCTTGTCGCCTTGGTCGTCCTCGACTACGTTGCCGTCGAAGTGAGCGACGGGAATCTGGAAATCGCGCACATTGGCCAAACCTGTAGATCCTATCACCCCTAGGGCAGGGAGCTCGAAGTGACCTTCGAAGAGCTCGAATACGTAGCCTCGGGCAGGACGACCAGCTTTCAGCGTTACCCTATGGCGAATACCTCGTGGAATCACTGCAATCTCGTTTTGTCGTATAACAAGTTTCCCAACCTCGGTCTGAATATCTAGCGCCCCAGATTGTGGTACAATCAACATCTCGCCATCGAGGCAAGAGAATGCGGTTCGCGCAGACATATCCCCTGTGACGCTAAATACCCAAATAGCGCACCCCGACTTTTTCTGAGGATCCCCATTGCGGCCTAGAAGCTTCTGCTGCGTCCAATCTGCGCCGTCGGCTACCGGAATAGTTGGCCATATATAGGAATCGGGCGTGATATGATTTGGTACGGGTGGATTTGCACTCTCGGAGGTGCTGTCAAGAAGTGTGAAATGAGTGCGCTGCAAGGAACTGTTGATACGGTAGAGCCATGTGTGGAAATTCCGCTCACGGCTTGGAGCTACGAAAGATGAGTTTGAGATTCTCTCTGTTCGGAGTCCAAACGGAGGGTTTTGTGGGCTGTTAATGACGCTCGGATTTGCTCTAGCTACGGCTTCCGATCTATTCGCCGTTAATTATCCGCCATGGATGAGAGTCATGGTTAGAGTGCCCACTGATGATAGCCATTGAATCCATTCATATAGATGTATGGGTCCTCAACATAGAAACTTGTGACTGGTGCCATTTTGATGGCTGCACTGCAGGCTCCTCTTCGCTCGGGTCAATGGCTAACCTTAGTAGGGTAGTTGAACATATTCATCTCGAGTCACTGTACCGCTTTCCTTTCTGGCCGACTCTCAACTCAACAGTTTGCTTGATCGATGCATATAAATCCTTCCATTGTTTGGGTTACACAGAGTGAAGGTTGATAACGCATTAATAGCAACCACCGAGGTTAGGCTACCGAGGTTAGGCTACCTAGATGAGACGGCGATGAGGGGTCAAGACTTGGAGGCCGAGGTTCAGCAGCTTCGCAGCAATTATTTCTCTTCGGATATCTGTCGATTTCGTACGCTATGCATGTCGATAGGGTGCATTTGGGGTCCAATAAAATATGCATGCTCAATTAGGCAAGTAGTAAGTGTTAAACATGGGATCGGGCTTGCTGATTGCGAGGGTTGAACAAACCAGCTATATGTCTCATATAATTACCCAAGGATTGAAGCATGGCAGGAATGCCTGGTATGGACCGATCACCTAGGGTATGATGTTATGGCCCGATACTAACTATCAAGGGGCCACCGCCTCGCGACCCCCTTTAATGCCTAGACTTGACAAAATTCATATGCCGGCCACCGCTATCCTCCCTCAACAGCCATCCTTATATGGTCAGCACCATGTGTTCTGCGAAGAAGAACTCTGCAAAATCTCTGATGAGAAGGAATGGAGGGGTCGTAATAAACATGGACCATAAGCCGTAAAATGTATGAAATATCTACGAATATTGATCACAGGCAAGAGGGTCAATATGTATGGAGCTACGGCCTTAGCCTGGAAAGGGGTCTCTGGACGATGAAAGGATTCACCCTTGAAGAACCTAAAGCTGGTTGTATTATACTATTGTAATCAAGGAAGTGTAAATGCAATGGTAACTAGTTCATAACCTTTTTGATCAATTTGAAGAACATCAAAAGCACTTCTAAAATTACAAGAGCCTAAGTCTTGCTGCTATATAATGCTCGTTCCGTAGAGCTAGGTTTACAAATACTCTATCAAGGTGTTGCCGTTCCATCAGAGTGCTGCACAATAGCCTCGTCTAGGCCAGGCTTCTCATTGCTCTCCCCATGAGACGAAGCTTCGTGCCTCTGACGGAAGCCAGAAGAGGGAGTCCAGGTGAGACTCTCGCGAGCGTTCTTGCACTCTTTGTACATCTCGTCGACCTCTTCAAGGGACAAGCCCTTTGTCTCGTAGATGTAGAAGTACACGAAGGCAATACAGAGGAAGCAGGCACCGAACCAGATGAAGAAGACCTTGGACTGCAGGTTGGCGTAGTTCGGGCCATAATCAACCAAGTAAGGGGTGACGAAGGCGATAATGAAGTTGAGAAGCCACTATTCATTGAGTTAGCAACACGTGATAATTAGATGGCCAGGCTCGACGGCTTACGTTGGAGGCAGTTGTCAAACTCAAACTCTTTGCTCGGGTCTTCAATGGGAAGATCTCGCCCGTAACGACCCAGCAGAGGGGACCCCAGGTAGATGCAAAGAAGAAAATGAAGATGGCGATAAAGGCAATGCTAGCCTTCTGGGCAGTCACGTTGTAGACAATGATGTTACCCATGGAATCCTGTCCAGTGGTGGTAGTACCAATGACGGCGACTACGAGATGTCCGATGCACATGCCAATGGCACCCCAAAGGAGAAGCGGGCGACGGCCGAATTTGTCGACGGCCCACAAGCCGGGAAGGGTGGACACGACATTGATGACTGAAGTAATGACAGAGATGATGAAAGGGTTCTCGATACCTGAGTTCTTGAAGTATTGTGTTCCGTAGTAGAAGATGAAGTTGATACCTGTCAGCTGCTGTAGAGCTTGCGCACCCATACCAGTAAGCTGGCGCTTGATCATCGGTCCACGGAAGCAGTCGATGTAACTGGCCTGGCCAAGGCTGAGCTCATATTCGTGGCTGGCGCGAATCTCTGCCAACTCAGAGGCAATGGCAGGGTGATCTGCTGGAAGTCTTCGCAGTTGGCCGAGAGCGCGGGCAGCCTGTTCCTGCTTTCCTTGCTTGACCAAGAACCGCGGGGTCTCAGGAAGCAACAGCATACCAACAATCAGGATGATGGCCCAGGCGAACTGAATGGCGATTGGGATCCGGTAGCTACCGGAGTCGTCACGGTTCTGAGTGGAGTTGTTCACAATAGCGGCCAAAAGTAGACCGATAGTGATGGCAAACTGGTAGCCACCGACGATAGCACCTCGGATCCATTTCGGGGCAGTCTCACTTTGGTACAAGGGGACTATAAAGAGTGTCAACAAACAACGAAGTCACAACGATATTCTGAATCAAAGTAGACTTACTGAGGGCAGAGATGAGACCAACTCCAAAACCTGCGAAGAATCTGCCAGCAAGGAATAGAGGGATAGCAGTTGCTGCAGTTTGTAGGGCGACGCCAAGGTTGAAAACCCAGCACGAAGCGATCAAGGCCCATCGTCGACCAATGGTATCGGCAAGGAAGGGAGAACCAAGAGCACCGAAGAATGTTCCAGCGGATAGAATAGAGACGATTGCAGACGATTGTGAAGGCGTTACGTCTGGCTCACCGGCGGCGTTCACGTAGCCGGTGGAGAAGAGCTCGCGCCAGTACGGCATGGTAAGGATACCACTGATGGTACCAGTATCATAGCTAGAGCATCACGTTAATGACATAAGCCCTGTGATGTCGGGTGGCCGAGAGTTAGGAGACATACCCAAACAAAACACCACCAAATGCCACGAAACAGCCGATGGCGATGGCAGGCCATGCCTTGCCGGCCTGCTCCTCACGCCGCGGAATAGCCATGACAGTCATGGTGAAAATTGGTTCGTGTTGGGAAGATGACCGCTGTAGTTGGCCTGTGTTGCCTGCAAAGACTCGCTGGTCTGGCCTATTTGCGTCTTCCGAATTCGTCCCAGCCAGAAGATTGAAGCACGGTGTCTAGGGAAATACCCCAATGGAGAAGTCTGGGGAACAATCCTTTATATGTCCACGACTAAGATCTATAAACGTCAGGAAACTCCATTTCTGGAAACAGACCTGGTGACCACCACATTTCTTTACTTACGCTAATACGGTGAATACACTAGAGGCAGGGCGCACCGGGGGGTCCGTTTGTGCTGTCTAGACCAAGACTCGGCCGCCCCAGAATCTATACTAGAAGAAGCGGATCATGGTTCGCAATACCAAAATACGGGGCGCAATGACCCATGGGCAAAAGCACGGAGAAAGGCAGGCAGTTGGGGCGAAACCCATGGGGTCGAGAAGATGGGGTGAGAGCTAGTGGCAGTGTGAATTTACGGGGGAAAGGGGGGAGGCGAGGAGCCGGCGTTTGTGCTGGGCGGACTACGAAGAAGCACGAGGCCGGGGTTGGTCTGATACGTGAAAAGGATACGAGGATAGCGAAAAGGGTCAGGAAAACGTAGAAAGCACAGGGAATGGGCATTACGGTCGTTGCTAGGATTTGCAAGGCTCTCGAGCCGGTCCGATTGCGGTGGGGAGCTGGAGACCAGTGTACGCAAAGTTATCTCGCTATCCCGATGACGAAAAGCCCAGACAGTACCCAGATAAGCTACGATGGGGACCGAGATCGCCGGACTGAGGGTTTTGCTGGTCACGGCTCTGTCACGGCCAATTGTAGCCAGGGAAGTTTGACCGAAATGGCCACTGACCGGAATAGCGCCGAGCCCCTCCGCGATAATTAACCTAGCATGCACAGCGGTCCACGGCTGAGCCGCATCATGACTCGGCTACGAAGCTACACGCTCGACTAGGTGGTAGTGCATGCGTACTTATATGCAGTATACCAGTCAGGCCCAGGCGCAAGACCTCGTCAAAGCCGTGTTGAGAGCTGGCTGGTGCGCTGACTTATGGGTAGCCGGGGGGGTGCCAAGTACTAGTTCACTGTTGGTCATCAATGAGATCGCGCTGCAGTCTGACAAGAAGACGGAGTAGAATAGTGTATACTTAGAGTGGTCTGACAGTGCGGCCGTTCGGCAATGGCACCCATGTCGGAAGTTATAATGCTGAGAGAGGGTTGATCATCGCGTGGTGAGATGAGCCAATCGCTATGGGGAAAAAAATCCGCAACAAGACGAGACGTACTGTATAAACGCCGCCGTATGGAAGGATCATGCTACAGTGGCATTGTCTCTTACACCACGTGTACAATCTAGATATCGATCATTATAGGTCCTCACGGTGACCAAGATCGTTTTCTGTTCTAAGATGCGTCTACATACTTACTTACATACTGAGTAGGTAGGTATACGTAAACAGGGGGGGGGGGGGTTCAATGTACGGTTTAATGTGCATTGCATAGTAGTGACCTGATGCATTGGTGAAAATGAACCATACCAGCTTCGAGTCTACACCCATTCTGTACGACAACTTTGTCGTCTTAAATACTGTCCTGTATACAGTTATATCTACATATATGCTGCTGGTTCCAGAGAAGGACTCGAGCTATGGCATGTAGCTGCTCAGACATCTGGACTGGAAGAATCGTTAAAGTAATCTCGTGCCCAGAAACGTGAATGATTGGTTACGATAATGACTACTCTAACTACAGTAGTAGCTTGTACCCCTGAGGGTATCAAGGCAGCTAAGCATTCCAAATACCAATGCGTATCATGATCGACGCTGCTTTGGAGGCATCGAACGACGAGGTACGCTCAGGGTATATTGCAATACTTAATATATATGTAACGAACGACTCGATCTATGCTGGCAAGCCTCTGCTCTAACATAGTGTATCACGCTACAGGTAGAAATTTATTGCCCCCTCCCGTGACGGGTTCGGAGACTCTTCTCCAATGTCGAGAGGGCGCCAGAAAGAGATAAGAAAGACACCTCTTCGAATACTTTGGCTTGCGCTCTTCTTCCAGCTCTGTAGTACATTACCCGTCTCCTTTCCTCCTCTCTACTTTCCTTTGTGGCCCACCCGTGTTTAGTTATTATGAGCAAAAATCATCTTGACGCGCTGGCTGGTGTTAACTATAGTATTGCTTGGAAGAGGATTTGCATAAGCATGGATCCACTAAGCCATCATTTCACTACACGGTACACCCATGATAACTCAAGGACCTATCTCGGATCTTAAGTGGAGTAAATAGCTAGGCTCTTCGAACCATACAGATCTCGAACTCAGGTGGAACACCAATACGCTTCAGAGTCTCGCATGACCTCAAGAACTAAACGAAAGAAAGTCCGGCCGGTCTCCCAAGAGGAACGGTTCCTAAGTAGCTGGGATTGATTATAACTCTGCTATAAGACTCGAGCTGCTGCAAATTTCCTATCATACGGTACGATAGGTTCGCATAGATAGACGCATAGATAGACGCGCTGTGCTTCTAGAAGCCAGCTGATGTAAGCCCGCTAACGAGACAGAAATGCCTCCAATGCAATGTATTGTAGGTATTTACTTGTTATCTGCGTGCTTGGTTCGTGTATTGAAGTCGTACACACGCTGTAATGGACGTTGGCCGATTTGGATCTCGGGATTAGTCCTCTTTTCATCTTAAATTCATGGATTCGAATATCATTCAACCGGTCCCCAGGGTCTACATAGTGTCTTTAGGATTACGTATGCCGATTGTTGACGAAGCATTGACCGCTATTTTGTACGCATTATTCGTCGATACGTGACGAATGGGACGCAGGAGAATATTCGAGGTCGGAAGGAAGAAACATGAATGAGTCGCGCTTGGCGACTATATGTTTCTCGCAAAGTCTGTCCAAGGGGTCTGGAAGGCCTCTCTATCTGGCCGAGGTCTGGCCTCTACCATCTTCACCCCACTGTTAGGTATCCGGGGCCGGGGGTAGGGCGCGGGGATCGAACGGATAGTCACCTCACGAATTTATGAAGCAGCAAGGTGGATGATGTAACGATATCGTTCAATACCGACCTACATAGGTAGTGCAGGTGGGTTGTACTTTTCCGCCTACATGGCTACCAACAGCTTAGTCTGCAGTCAGAATGACGACATAACGAGACTCCTCTTGTGTCAGCTGACTTCGCGCACAAGCTGGTGTTATTCAATCGCTTGTCAAGAAAATCGTAAATACATAGTAAGTACCTAAGCTGCATAGTAGGTAGGTAGCAGATAGGTAGGTAGTCAGTCGCTGTAGCGAAAGGCCTCAGCCGTTCCTAAGTATATGTAAACCCTCAGTTCGCGTCCTAATTTCTGACCCGCCTGCGCGTCATGAGCTGCCGAGTACCCGCAATGATGGCCGAATACCGTAGGATCTACCTTTTCCTACTGTAGGTAGACCTACCCTACATACGTAGGTATCTCCTTACCTACCCAAGGTATGCATGGACCGCGGCACGAGTTGTTATGTGTGCCTACTATGTACATCGCGTAGATGACGGAATACTGCCGCTGGTATAATTAGTTGAATTTAGTCGGCACCAGTACAATACTTAGGCAGTATTAGTTGAGACTGATGTGTCTAGACACACGCGAGACGGTGCTGTGTAGACCAGATACTTTGTAACGAGTCGCGTGTTCTTGGTTAAACCATTCAAACAGCAGAAGGAGTTAAAATTGCTCCCGAGAATGAATGACCTTAGGAGCTGTGGCCGCAGTCCTGTGTACTTAAGTACAGACATATAAATGTAATAAGTGTAAGAACGAGGGAGAGACTTCGAGCCTACCTGCGTAGTCTCCGATTAGTAAACTGGCGTTCGTCTTTTCCCCATCTTCTTTTGCTTGTATTTACTATGTACTCGCGCATCCTGTTCGACCCGCATGCCCAGACTCATTAGGCTGTTCCTTCGCGCAGCCATGTACGCTCATGACAATTGTCCATTGTACATATACATCTAGGTATGACTAGGGCATTGCTAGTGACAGCTACGAGTAAGAAATGGAGGGCTCTATTCCTAAAATTCCGATGGTCTAATGATGATGACTACGCAACACCGCGCTGGCAACGGCTTCTCATTATTTACTTGCTCATTTACATGAGGTTCTTAGACAGGCTACACGCGTATGCGGTCTTGATGAGGCATCTATAGACAACGCTTTCTCTGGGGCCATGCCGGTGGTATTTCATGTTTCAGCCCCCCAGAGCCTCCCAGAGCCTCCCAGGTCACAGATCTCGCTAAAAAATGCAACGCAACACAAATTGCGATGACGACCCCTGAATGGCAACTCCCACGTGGTTTCGGCCATGTCTAGCGCGGGGATCTTCCTGGTAGTCCACCCTATCTACACCACACTAGAGGCACAGATAACCCAACTCTTACTAAACATCCTCTTCGGAAAAGGCCAAAGTTGTCTTAACCCTATTTAATTGGGACTTCACTCGGAGTTCGCTTCCTCGCTGACGTTCAGTGCAGAATACTTCAGGTTATATGGACACAGGTGCCACGGGCACTTTCGGCGACGCATGTAGTGTAAGCAGAGCCATCCATCTGGCTATTGACGGATCCAATGCCTCAAACTACGTCTCGGCTTCTCAACATGCATTGGTAGATTATACAAATACAAATAATATAGATATAGCATATGGTGTGTCATATGCTAGGCCTGCTAGAGTAAAGAACACAGATAGTCTAGATGAGCAATGCCAGTTAGGGTAAGCTGATGCTGCACATCTCTAGAGGGCAAGCCACAGAACAAGGTCACAGTCGTCAGCTCCTTAACTCCGTAACATTAGTTGGTGATGAGCATGATGACTGAAGCTTTAGCAGGGGTTCGCCTTGGTATGCAGACTTACACCTGAGGCTTCTTCACTACACTACTTAGTAGTACTTGTGTAGGTGGGAGTTACAATAAGTAGTCAGCCTGCCCTGCGAGGGTAGCTTTTATCCCCCTTGTATTTCCAAGGATTGCTTGCTGTCACTCTTTCGTGCTCACCAAGCGCTCTCTTTCACTCCTTTGGAAGACCATGTTGAAGGCTGCGACTTGGGCGATAGCTCTACTAGCTGGCTCTGCTTCAGCACTCGGGGACCCCTTTCGGCTGTTAGGTTCGTCATTTGGCACACCTGGGGACAATGCGACGTATGACTACATCGTTGTCGGAGGTGGTACTGCAGGTCTTACTATAGCTGCACGACTAGTTGAACAACATGCCGGAACCGTTGCTGTCGTCGAGGCTGGAACATTCTATGAACTGAGTAACAGCAATAATAGTATGCTTCCCGGGGGTGATGGTGCTTTCACAGGCAAGGGCGTGACGGACGTATGTAACCACTGGAATAGTTTTCTCCTATTCTACTTACTCCCAGAGGCCATAGTTGCCTATTGGGGGCACAAGTGTGTCTCGGGAGTACGCAGAACTTCCGAAACTTTGATCTGAAAGGGTAATTACTGACGCCAGTGGTTGTAGTGGCAGCCCTTGATTGACTGGGGATACATAACGGAGCCGCAAGCTGTCAGTCATCTCGACCAAAATCGTACACCGGTATAGTCCAGAGCATTGACCATGGGAGCAGGGCGCCAACGACTTAAGACTCCACTACGCGGCAGGCAAGACGTTCGGAGGAGGCTCAGCTAGAAATTTCATGGTGTATCAACGTGGAACAGAGGGATCGTACCAGAACTGGGCCGATGAGGTTGGGGATGACAGCTACACCTGGAGTAAATTCCTTCCATGGTTTCAAAAGAGCACACATTTCGTGCCGCCCAACAGTAAGTGACCCCTTAGGAGGCATGCAAAAACCGGAAACGCTACTGCTCTGCTTGATGATTGAGTGATTTTCCACATTGTTGGGATAGAGAGATCACTGGCGTCAAGACGCTTACTGACCTCCTTTTCTTCCCAGTGAATGCAAGGCCCGCAAACTCAACACCTGTGTATGACGCGGGCATCGTGGGCAAAAATGGCCCCATCGCCGCAGCGTATCCGAACGTAAGTCCTCCTCGAAAACGTCTTGCGATACGTAGGGCGGTACATGAAACAGGGGAACTCATCTTCGGGTTGATGATCCCTTGAAGTTATCTTCCCACTCCAGAGCTCTTACGGCAAAACGAAAGTGGTAATAGCTAATCACAATCATGCAGTGGCCCCAAGCAATCGCTACATGGGTAGTAGAAGGCCTCAAGGCTATCGGACTCCCTGTAATTGACGGGTTCAATAGTGGCAAACGTATGCTATCTCTAGAATTCCCCCTTATTCCTATTTTAGGCGCTTGCGGAGGCTTTGGTAGCCTGTAAGAACCACGAGCATGGCTTAGGAGTACACGTAACTACGCGAACTCACTCCCGCATTGCTTGAATGAGTAATTACTGATTCCAGCCAATTATAGTGATCGGTCAGTCGTACGCTACATTTTCGATCGATGGCAAGACAATGTTGCGAAGCTCATCATCTACGGCGTATCTGCAGCCAAATCTCGGGAACACTGACCTGTACCTGTATCACCTGACCTTGGCCAAGAAGATCCTGTTTGACAACGAAAAGAAGGCCACGGGCGTAGTGGTCAACACCATGGGTGCCCAATACACGTTGAAGGCTAACAAGGAAGTCATTGTTTCGGCTGGCGTATTCGGCTCGCCGCAGTTGTTGATGGTTTCGGGTGTAGGACCATCTGAGACTTTGAAGAAACTGGATATCCCTGTCGTGGCTGATAGACCTGGTGTAGGACAGAACCTACAGGACCACACTTACTTTGGGATAACATATCGGATCAACGCCATCACCTTCTCATCGCTCATAAACCCTGAGTTTGCTGCTGAGCAGAAGGCGCTTTTCCAGGCCAATGCCACGGGTATCTACACTAACCCGACGGCGGACGTCATCGGCTGGGAGAAGATTCCCGCCCACCTCCGAAAAAACTGGTCCAAGGAGACCGTCTCTGCACTGGCAGAGCTCCCAGAGGACTGGCCTGAAGCAGAGTACATCTCCCTTGGATCGTGGCTGGGCGACGACTTCGACTCACGTTTCGCTGACCCGGCTGACGGCTACAACTACGGGACTCTGGTGTGTGCCGTCATTTCGTCTCTCTCTCGCGGCACTGTATCGATATCCTCGGCAGATACGGCTGTGCACCCCATCATTGACCCCAACTCGCTGACTCACCCTGGTGACGTGGATGTCGCCGTGGCGGCATTCAAGCGTGCGCGCGAGTTCTGGGCCACCGATGTCATGAAGAAGCTCGCTATAGGCGATGAGATTTATCCAGGTCTGAACGTTACTACCGATGAAGAGATTCTGGCATCCATTCGCCGAAGCTATAATGCCATCTATCATGCTGCTTGCACCAACAAGATGGGGAAGAAGGACGATCTGATGGCTGTGGTTGATTCTCAAGCTCGCGTGTACGGCGTAGAGAACGTGCGCGTCGTTGACGCATCGGCCTTCCCACTTCTGCCACCGGGACATCCGGAGTCTACCGTATACGCCCTGGCCGAGAAGATTGCTTGTGATATCGCGGGCAACTGCGCTCAGCCGCCGTTGCAGCCTACATACCCTTCGGATCCTATGAATTCTACTTATCCGTCTTACCCTGGCAAGTGTAAGAAAAAGAGGCAGCGATGAGCCGAACCGGCATTTGTGTGACGATAACACATGTTTAATTGACATCTTATTATGTAATATGGAATAATCAAGCCTCACGACATTTCTATTTGACCACATTCACAGGCGGCTGGGGCACACATGGATACACGGTATGAGCTGTATATATTAATGATTATATAACTATAAGGCTAGAATCATCTTAGAATACGACATATATGGTTATGATCTACTGCTCATCCATGTGATAGACGATGTGTCAATATCCTCAAGAGGAGAAAGCTCCCACAGCCAGCGTACTCAGTCGTTCTTAGCCTCGTCTTTTGGCAGGCTATTGCTCTTCACTTTGAGGTAGAGCAAGAATGTTCTTTTGACCAGACCAGATGAACTGTGTTGCCGCGGCTGCACTGCCTATTTACCTATCTGTCTTAGACGTAGGTAGTCTTTTACTTAAATATGCGCAGCGTGGGAAGCTTTGAGATAATTGCCGGCCAATATCAAAAGCATAGTGCTGTAGAAGTTTCAATCTCAATCTCAATAACTTGTGATAATAGGACGAGATGATCAAAATCTTACTGTTTGTTGTTCTCGGAGTCATACATTGTGGCTTGCAAGCTGGTATCACTTTTCGAAGAACATACAGTGTTATTCATCCGCAAAGCAGGTCTATACACTGTGTACTTTAGGTTATTTGCGGCCACGATACACCACCAGGACACCTCTTGGGGAGCGTGGCTCTTCAGTCAAGGTCCCATTTCGCTCTGGACATTTATAAGGTAGGTATCGTCCAGTAGATCTCAACCCTTCACAGCTCGGTTGGCTGCTAGTCATATTTCTAATGAGTAATGGCATCGACGACACTCAACACAGCTAGCAATGGACTTGGTGCGAAGAGCACTGTGAAGACGGGTTCGGCAGTACGTGGCGCATCGCTTCTCATCATCCTCCAGATCGCCTCGCGCGCTGTCACCTTTCTCGCCAACCAGTTACTACTGCGCTTCCTCACTGCCCAGCGACTTGGCGTGTCTGCACAGCTTGAAGTCTATTACCTTTCAGTCTTGTTCTTTGCACGCGAGAGTTTGCGCGTCGCCACCCAACGACAGGGAACCAATGACAGCAGCCACGGTAAAGATGGCAACAGGCCTAGTGGACAATCTCAACACGAGGGGTCAGAAGGACTAAGTGCAGGCGCAAGGGACAGCCAATCCCTCATCAATATCTCCCACCTGTCGCTTGGCCTGGGTCTTGTATCATCACTGGGATTGGGCTGGGCTTACCTTCGATATATCGATGTGGCCACGGCGTCAACGCCATATCTAGACACAGCACTACATATATACGGCATCGCCGCTTTGGTTGAGCTTCTTTCTGAGCCTGCATTTGTCGTCTTGCAGTACCGACTACGGTTCGGACCCCGTGCCGCGGCTGAGTCTGTAGCCACTTTCTTGCGATGTCTCGTTACCTTTGGTGCCGCCAATTGGGGGTGGAAGCAAAGCTTGGATTTAGGCGTATTGCCCTTTGCCCTCGGCCAGCTTGCATATGGTGTAGGACTGCTGACCGTTTACTTATGGTACGGTGTCATGCTGGCAAAGTCCGAGGGGTTCTCCCTCTTCCCACGTCGTCTAAGCAGGGACATGACAATAAGCGCGGCAAGGGGGCAGCCGCTACCCAATGACAGCTACATCCTCGGCTACTTTTTCTTGCCTACCCTTCAACTGGCTGCTAGTCTCATGTCTCAGTCGCTTGTTAAGCACATCCTGACGCAGGGCGACACTTTCCTCGTTTCGATCCTCTCCGACCCCCAATCTCAGGGTGTTTACGCGCTCGCCAACAACTACGGAAGTCTTCTCGCTCGCCTTGTCTTTCAACCTATCGAGGAAAGTAGTCGGAACTACTTTAGTAAGCTCCTATCATCCCCGTCCATGTCGACCGCAGGGAAAAGGACACAAGATAAGACAGTGGCGACGACGCAGGTCCACAAAGCGCGGAACGATCTTCAGGCACTCCTCAAGTTCTATGTCCTTCTTAGCATCATTGTCGTCAGCATTGGTCCTTACGCTGCACCACTTCTTGTGCAGATCGTTGCGGGACCACGGTGGTCTGGCAGCGGTGCCGGTGCCGTTCTAGCAAGGTACTGTTTGTACATTCCGCTGCTGGCAGTGAATGGCGTTGCCGAAGCCTTCGTTTCATCTATCGCTACTAAATCTGAGGTTCATCGTCAAAGTCTCTGGATGGGTGCCTTCAGCTGCATATTTGCTATCGCTGGCTTTGTTTCACTACGCATATTTCACCTGGGGGCCGTCGGACTAGTGTACGCAAATGCAATCAACATGACTTGTCGCATCATATGGAGCGGCGCTTTTATCTCCCAATACTTTCGACTAAATGGCGTAGACTTTGGATGGAGTGAGCTTGTACCTAGTGGGACTGGTCTCTACGTTTTAGGCACGGCTATGCTCTGGGCTGCCTTGTTAAGAGCTGGAATTTCGGTGGGCATTATCTCATCAAATGTCTTTCAGGACCTAATAACGGTTGGTGTTGCCGCGGTGCCCTACGTTGGTCTTATGTAAGTTTGTGATTTTCTGTGATCCCCTCTACAATTTCTTTTCTTTTCTATGCTTTATCTTCTAGGAAACGCGCAGCTGATAGCCTGACAGTGCTTACGCCGAACGCCACTACCTCATGAGTTGCTACCTATCTATACGTGGCCATCGGAATGCCCTATGAACCTTATATTGTGAATCATATAGTGGAAACTTTCGATGTTTTCCCTGAACTTTAACAGAATGTTCTCCTGGACTTGTGATCTGATTTAGTCATCAAACGTGATCTTGGTGCCTTTCTGCGACATGTCGACATCCTTGAAGAAGGCACCATAAGTGCTGTGTGCCTTTTTCTTGACTGTGGTTCCAAATTTGAGCAGCTCGTCTGGTATAGGCTGACCGGCCGCTTTCAGAATGTTAACTAATCTGCAAAAGAAGAGTCAGTTTTCTACGATGCTAGACGAAGATTTTACTTATTGGACTTACTCTCCAGAGTGTGCCTTATCATGCTCTGTAAATAAGGTGATGGCTTGACCCGTCTTGCCAGCCCGTCCTGTACGACCAATGCGATGTACATAGTCTTCGATAGTGAGTGGGAACTAGTAGAAGGTAAGCTCACTGAGCTATGGGAGAACATAAAATTTTTCTTGGGGTGGTAAAAAAAACGGTAGGAATGGGACGCGTTAAACTTACGGTGCAGTTGATGACTAGTTTTACTTCGGGAATGTCTAGTCCACGAGCCGCGACGTCTGTTGCAACTAGGACTGGTGTCTGACCTGACTTGAAGGCCTCAAGGCTCCGGGTTCGCTGCTCTTGTTTCAAGTCGCCATGAATTCCGACGACTTTTATCCCACGCTGCTGCAGGAAAGCTTCGACGCGTGTGGCCTCTTTCTTGTACAAGCAAAATACCAAGACTCTTTCGTTCTTGGGGTGCGCTTTAAGAAGCTGTAAAAGTCGACCCTCTTTAGCACGTTGGTCTACGACCTCAACACGCTGTTCAATTCTCGTGTTGGCCTGAAGATCTCCGCTCTCATTGCCACCAATTTGGATGCGAACCGGCGAAGTCATGAATGATAAAGCGAGGGCCTGCACGCTCTGTGGCCACGTCGCCGTGAACATGAGCGTCTGACGTTCTTCCTTCTTCGGCGTACATCCAATGATTCTCTTGATGTCGTCTTCGAAACCTTTGTCAAGCATGCGATCGGCCTCATCAAGCACTACGAATCTAGCATTATCTAGTTTGACCGCACCCTCCTCTAAGAAATCCTTGAGTCGGCCAGGGGTAGCGACGATAATGTCAGCCTTTCGTAGGAGATGTCTCTGGTCGTCTTTGGATGCGCCGCCGTATACACAGACTGTCTTTAACCCAACATGACTGGCCAATTTAGAGAGCTCTTCATTAGTTTGCATGGCGAGTTCTCGTGTAGGTGATACAACCACAGCGCGTATCCTACCGCCACCCTGGGTCTTGGGCATGTCTAGAACGGCATTGACGAGGGGTAGGCCGAACGCGATTGTCTTGCCTGAGCCTGTCTCTGCAACTCCGACGATATCTCGGCCCGACAGACCAAATGGCCATGACGCAGCTTGGATGGGTGTTGGGGCCTTGAAGGCTGCGAAAGGGTTCTTTGTAGTGAGTGGAGACGGTGGCAATTGCGAGAATTTCATGATGGGTTGAAGAGGCTTGTCTGATAGGGGGTCGACCACCGTGATCTGGTGGGTGCTCAGAAAGGTCTTCACTTCGGACTCGGGCACAGAAAGGGGTAGCGCTGTGCCATTCTCGCCATTCGACACTGTCGACTCTATATGCCCATTGGCCGATCCATTCGCAGCTGTGTCTGCATCTTGCCCTTGCTTCTGGCTCTTCTTCTTCTCATCTTTCTCCTTCTTGGCCTTCTTGGCCTTCTTCTCCTTCTTAGCCTTTTTCTCTTCAGCTAGTGTTTCGCTCTCGCTGTCGTCTCCATTTTCTGGGCTCTTTTCGCTTTTGTCCTTCTTGTCCTTTTTCGCCTTCTTGCTCTTCTTTAGTATCATTCCATCCTCATTCGTCGTTCCATCTGCATTCTGGACATCGCTTTGGATCGGCGTTGAGACGGCCGAGTCGTTCACGTGCGTTTTTGCCTTGCGAACCTTGTCTTTCTTGTCTTTCTTAGACTTCTTCCTGGGAAGAGTAGCCTCTATATCGGCATCTTCAAGGTTATGCTTCGACATATCGTAGACACGGCAAACACAAATATAATGCAAATTAAGCAGGATGAGAAGAATCCTATGCAGCTAAGAACGGCGGCGGCCTACCAGAAAACTTCACTTAGGTAGGAAATTCGCAACTGGGAAAATTAAGATGGGTCCAAAGGTGATAAGATAAGCCAAACCACGCCCCCACCAAACTCTTCATTAAGAGGTATCCAGGTACCTACCTCCCAGATATATAGATACCTATCTATATATTCACAGCTTCCATACCTACAATTTACCGTGACCGAAGATTATATTCGCAGTGTTACGTAGAGATCAAAACAACAAGAAACCCACATGTACGGGCACCTGTCAGGAGTTATCCAAGGGAGGCGCTATAATCTTGCAGGCCAAGCTACTACTCATGCTTCTAGTGTCCACAGATCTCAGCACATGTACCTCACAAGCATAAGCAAGCACAAGCAACAGTCACATGGGGTTTTGGAAATCATTTCTCGTTATGATAGAGACAATCTGGTGTAGCTATTGATTCTGCAACCGCGATGAGTTCTTGTGATTTTAATGAAAAGCATCATTCTCAGAAGCCCTTATTTCGCATACTCCTTACGCTCCAACGCCGAAATCATTATGTGATTGTTTCAAGCGAGACGACTTGTATGCAGTACATCAAAGATTGAATGTGGCCTACCCACTCATCCGCCTTCAGGTGATGGACCATCTTTCTGTTTTCGCGTGACCAGGTGCCCCGATTGCAAAGGGAATTCCAAATTGACATGACCTCGTATGAAAATACATGCTAAGCTGTTCACGCAGTAGCAGCTACAACTTCGCTGGGTCCGAGTTTGGCCTCGGTTCCCGCAAGATTTGTAGGACGTGCTTGAGGGTTCTTGGTGTAGTAGTTGGAAATAGCGGATTTGATGGCGTCCTCGGCCAACATAGAGCAGTGCACTATGTCTAGTAGTCAGCATATGTCGTTATCCCAGGCTGCGCGAAGCACATGACTCACGCTTAACAGGCGGTAAGCACAGCTCCTTAGCAATCTCTGTGTTCTTAATCTTGCCGGCCTCTTCCAAAGTCATGCCACGGACCAGTTCGGTAAGATAACTAGAGCTCGCAATGGCGCTGCCACAGCCGAAGGTCTTGAACTTGACATCAGAGATACGGTTGTCGTTAGGATCGACACGGATTTGAAGTTTCATGACATCGCCGCAGGCAGGCGCACCGACCAATCCGGTACCAACATCGATGTCGTTCTTTTGCATTGAGCCGACGTTGCGCGGCCGGTTGTAATGATCCAAGACTTTCTCGTGGTAGGAGCGACGTGCAATACTGGTGGCCATAGGACCAAGGGTCGAGCGCGTGGCGATGCGAGGAGCTGATGTCGCCACAACGCGGCGCGCCGTGTTGGCAAGCGTCCTCGACAGCATGGCGGTTGTCTAGTAGATATCACTCTGATGCGGAGAAATATTGGTGCAGTGGGCGTGTTCCAGTTGTAAGCAGGGTTAGCAGGGTGAAGTTCAAGAGGTAGTTAGATGAAGGGTATGTGTGAGAGTTGATTGAGGTGAAATGCTAAAAGGAGGAATTATCGAGAAGTCTGGTCTGGCGCAGAGCTAAAGAGCGGGCTTTATTCCTCTGGCCGGCGATCTCGGTCGCAAATGATGAAGTTGCCCGCCTTGTGGCGAATCAGGGGGCTCCCACCGCTGATGATTTCATTGCCTCGGAGATGGCTTTTGACACTGTACCCTTGGGGCACCTGGCAGTTGGTGGCGCCCTGGGCGAGAGCTGGTCATGCCTGGAGGGCTGATGGTAGTACTGTATTTGTACCGTACTCGATCCTACCTACCTACTACCTCCTACCTTGTATGTACCTACACTAGGTAGGTAGGTGCCTAGGAACATGTGGGTAGGTAGGTACTATTGTAAGTACATAGTACCGTAGTGCTGAACTCAAGTACCTAAGCCCTGGGCAGCACTGTGCATGCGCATGCCGAGCTTAACGGGGTATTCTTGTCTTATCAGATCAGATCTAACGGATAGGCGGTTCGGAGCCGAAAACCTACCGAGCTTCTTCTCCGAGCATACTCCGCACATACTCCGTACCTACATACTGATTGATACCTAGGTATCTACCAGCAGGGCTGGCCGAACACTGTACCTCCATGTACATCGCGATACATAATGTACATCCATCCATAGGTAGGTAGGTAGGTAGGTACCGTAGCAGTATGGACGTGCAGCATGCGGGGCAAGGGACTGCCTCACTCTGGCAAGTGAGCTCATTTGAGGCGGGGTGATTTGAAACAGCTTCAGCTTTGCCCCATCTCCGATACTAGAGTAGGTATGATACCTGATTGCATCACCTCGAGATAGTAAAGCGTAGACTACCTAGGTAGTAGTATGCTGACTTGAAGAAGCTGTCCCAGTCAACCTCTTCGTTGGCTGCCTGCCCCCCTTCAGGCCAGACTCAGGTCGCCTTCACCTTAGACTACGGCCCGTTTTTGTCCCACATCACTTTTCTCGCTTGTTGTCACATCAAGACCAGTACTGACCAGGCATTGGTAACCACTCTTGTTTCTGTTTACTCCCTAGGTACCGAGACAAACAGCCCCAACAGCCTCAATAGCCCAAATAAACCAAACTCTGCTTGACCTAATTCAATATCGCCTGACGTCTCTCTGGTTGGCTTGGTTCTTCGATGGTTTCCCTCCATCCGCTCCTTTATCATCCGTCTGAGACTCCCATTACTGACTAGCCAGAGAACAGCCGTTAATTCTCGGCCTTCAACATGACCTGTCGACATCTGGATTCCCTCTGTAAGTACCCCCAAGCTTCTGATTCCGTAAAGCTGATTTTGCGGCTATGCTGACAAGCTGCGACAGCCCTAAACCCACCCACACCAGCTCAGTCTGTCTACCGCGAGGATTGCACACAATGTTTCGACTCCATTGTACGTTATCAACTCTCTCGACGCGTCGTTCCCCTTGCTGGTCTGTCAGGCTCAGCTGACTGGCTCTAGGACGAACCGGAAGGCCTTGATGTCTGCCTGCAATGCTTTAATGGGGGCTGTGTCGGCGACAGAACGCATTCCCAGCTTCACTATGTCACGAGAAATCACCCCCTTGCGCTAAACATTCGTCGGACCCGAAAACGAGTCGTCAAGGATGAGCCTCCCGCCAAGATGACAAAGCTGGCTATCACAGCCGAGACCGAAGCTGATCGATACGACATTAGTACCGTCGTCAAGTGTCATGAATGCCTTATAGAACTCGACAAGTCTCACGCGAAGCTCGCTCCCATCGTCGACGGCATTCTCAAAGCGAACACATTCTCTCGTCAGGAGGAAGTCAAAGCATGGGAGCAGGAGTTATCCACCTGCGAGCACATCCTCATGTTGCAGCAGGAGGCGAGTCGGAAGATCGAAAGCGGTGATTTGGGTCACTGTTCCAAATGCGATCTCAAAGAAAATCTATGGCTATGTTTGGCTTGTGGAAATCTAGGCTGCGGGAGGGCTCAGTTCGGTGGTGTCGGGGGCAATTCACACGGATTAGCCCATGCTACAGAGTCGCACCATCCAGTCGCCGTTAAGCTTGGATCCATCACGCCAGAGGGATCTGCCGACGTCTACTGCTATCAATGCGACGATGAACGTCTAGACGATGAGCTTGCACCACACCTGGCTCACTGGGGCATCATCTTGGCTGATCAAGTCAAAACAGAGAAGAGTTTAACCGAGATGCAGATAGAGCAAAACTTGCGCTGGGAGTTTTCTATGACAACAGAGGATGGAAAAGAGTTGCAACCCTTATTCGGACCTAGCCTGACCGGCCTCAAAAACCTTGGTAACAGTTGCTACCTCGCCAGCATTTTGCAGTGTTTATTTGACCTGCCCTCCTTTCAGGAACGGTACAATATCCCCGGAGCTGATCTACCACGCGTGCCCGACCCAGCCCAAGACCTGGAAACTCAAATGCGCAAGATAGCAGACGGGCTGCTCTCAGGTCGCTATTCAAACCCCGACAGCGATGTTATAGCATCGGAGCGCTTACCTGAAGTTCCGCATCAGAAAGGTCTTGCACCAAGTATGCTGAAACATCTCATTGGTCGAGGTCACCCAGAATTCTCTACCATGCGACAACAAGATTCATTCGAATTTCTTCAGCACCTTATCAAATTGATCACGCGAGCGCAGCACCCAGCTCCTTTAGTTGACCCGACACAACCATTCCGCTTTGTACTGGAGCAACGGCTACAATGCATAAATTGCAAAAAGGTTCGCTACTCATCTACCGAGCAAGATAGTATCTTCATCGATGTCCCGCTCGAGAAGCTACCATCTTCTGAAGGGGAAGAAGGTGACAGGTATCAGGCAGTCGCGTTAGAGCAGTGTCTCAACCGTTTTACAGCCCAGGAGGCCGTCGAACTTACTTGCCCTGCGTGCGATAGCAAGGTTGGATTCATGAAGCGGGTTCTGTTCAAGACTTTCCCCACTACTTTAGTGATCAACGCCCGGAAGATGACCATAGAGAATTGGGTACCGCGCAAAGTTGATGTCCCCGTTATTGTACCAGATGGCGCATTCTCATTGGACGGGTATATCTCACCTGGCCATCAGGAGTCTGAAGAGCTGCTTCCCGAGGAGGAGAATGCCGCCGCTCCAACGTTTGCCCCGAACGAGGGCGCACTGGATCAGCTAATGGCCATGGGATTTCCTCGTAACCGTTCCGAAAAGGCACTTTACGCGACGGGCAACTCCGATGCAAATTCCGCTATGGAGTGGCTGTTCTCTCATATGGAAGATCCCGACATCGACGATCCGTTAGTACTCACATCAACTGGCTCGGGTGGAGGTGATGGGGCCGATCCCGAGAAAATTGAGATGCTTGGTGCCATGGGATTTAATGCTCCGCAAGCACGGAAGGCTCTCAAAGAGACCAATGGCGACGTAGAGCGAGCAGTTGAATGGTTATTCAGTCATCCGGATGATCAAGGTGACACCACCGGAGATAATGGTGCCGCGACGGAGAAACAAGAACAGCTTCCAGCTGGATCTGCAGATCTCCCTGCAAACTTTCAGTTACGAAGTATTGTCTGCCACAAGGGGACCAGTATCCATGCAGGGTAAGCTTGAATTAACTTCCATCAGCGAGTAAGATTACTGACTTGTTAGACATTATGTGGCATTCGTTCGGAAGCAGCTTGATCCCTCAGATAAACCGAAATGGGTACTCTTTAACGACGAAAAAGTTGTCGAAGCTGGAGATGTCGAAGAGATGAAGAAGACAGCATATGTCTACTTCTTCAATAGGGTTAGGGAAAGCTGACCACTACCCGAACAGAGGGCGAAATTGACGAAGGCACAGGGGTGATCCAACCAAAAGCAAGAGGGAGTTACATAGGTGTATGTCAAATTCGGGAATGTGAGCGTGCATAGGTACCGTAGCATAAGCGCAGGCTATTGAGCTTCTGAATAGTTGGAGTAGTTTCTCATGTTGCTAGCTCTGACGAAAAATACAAAAAGTCGGTTACATTTAGATTCTTACAGCTTCACATCCGAGACGCGTTGTCATCGTTCCCCCCTCTCCGAATAAATAGTAAACGTTGATGGTCCCGTTACTGTAGCCGTAATTTCTCCCAGGCATAAAGAGCTGACAGAGCCAGTGTAACTCATTCCTAACCAGACATACTCCTAAAACGCCCCAGCCAATTATGACCCTGGCCATGCGACAGTATCAGCCTGAAGCGCGGTCGAGTTTTGTTCCCGATAGTATGGAAACTGATAGCCCCCATCAATTAGATAGCTCGACGATACCATGAGAGGGGAGATGCTGTAGATACTCAATTTCCAAGTCGATAGCTCACAAGCGTCTCCACACGGTGATTGCTTGTGCTGAATCCACGCAACTGCACGCGCTCTCCATCAACGATCTCCTTGGCGTCACTATCTCCCCATTCCACAGGCACATCGCTATCGGCATCAGCATACACGAGGACATTGAAGGTGCAGTCACCGGCGAGCTGTGGGAGAAAGGTGACGGAGGCGGTGATCTGGCGGAACAAAGCGGCGATCTCTGCTTGGATCTCGGCTTCTGTCTTGGACGGGTCGGCTGAGGATGCTGCGGGGGCAGTGCCGCTACTATCACCCCTGCCGTTGTTCTCCTGGTCTCCTGTGGCGGCGGCAAGGTTGGCCGATTTGGAGGCTTTCTTGGACTTTGATGAAGCAAGAATCTGGACGTCGAATTGCCACCTCTCAACGTGCTCCCCGGTGTCTTTGTCGGTAATGACAATGACTAGCTTGCTAATTTTTCCGTGCTGCATCCACTTATCTAACTGCGACATGATCTTCTTGATGTAGGCCTTAACCTGATCGTCTGCAGATACGAGCATATTGAGGCCATATTTCTTTACTCTAGTTTACCGTGAACGAAACATTAGTCAGCTTTTACTTCAAAGATGAATGTCGGACATGGGAGTTCAAGTTTCGTACGCTGTGAAGTCCTCGGCGGGATAGACGCCTCTTTGGAACCTATGGCTTCTCGTCAGTCGACTGGAGCTTGGTCTTGAGGTTACATTTCAAGTTCTCAACAGCGGATGGAACATACAAGATGGTGTGGATTGAGTATTGAAACTACAACATGACCCAAATGTCAGTGGCAGAGCCCTGTCAGTTCAAATAACTAACCACGTACGAATTCAGCCACAAGCCTTGCGCTTCCCTTAAGGGACAGCTTATGGACCTTGGATTTGTCCTTTTCGGTCGAAGCCGAAGAAGGCATGACGAGTATCGAGTTGAAGAGGTGGTTAAATGGCCCAATTTCGTGTGAGAAGACGTCGTTACCAGAACGAGATGAAGCTGGTAAGAGACGTTCAAAGTTGTGATTCTAAGCTGAAATTTGTTTACTTTCGCCTTATCGCTTTGGCGGGGTGATGAGGAAGGTGCTTTGTACAGAACATACTGACCTAGGTACAGCCAGTTACAGGGGATTACAGAGGGTTGCAACAACTGTAAGTACGAAGTACCTATCGTATGTTGCCGATAAGATAAAGACAACAGTCTGATAACAGGAAAGCCCCTTGGGGAGTTGTCTCGACTAACTCAATACGGTCTAGAGCAATTGGCGAAATGTGAATTTATCTGGCGGTGGTTATGGGGAGGAGCGAGATGAAGGACAAGGTAGGCGACACTTCAACAACATGCCGCAACTAGATCCATGAACCAAATCTCCATACCTATTATGACGCTTGCCTTCACGAGCTAGATATACAATATCCGATCCCTCAGCGCCCACACCAACTTAGCACCAGCATCGTCACCACGCCGTTGCCGCCGTCGCCTCCGTCGCTGACCTGAGCAAATCTGAATGCATGGGTGGCAGCTATTGTTTGACCTCTATCTGCATGCGACCATGTCTACGCCAACTGCCTTCCTATGCGCGGCGTAGTCCTCGCTCTCCGCCGTCTTTCTCAACATCACGCCTGGTGTATCTTGGTCCTTCAAGGCGGCGACATGGCAATGCGCCCCCCCGTGCCCCCTCATACCAGCCGACATGGCCCATGGCGACAAGCACGATAAGCCCTGTCAGAGCAGGGGGAAATATCCAGATAGTTCGCTTCGCTAGCTCCAAGGCCTCCGTCATGGGTGACCTGGAGCGCCGCATAGCCGCTATTCCTATTGACCGGTTTCGTAACTTTTGCATTGTCGCCCATATCGACCATGGCAAATCCACCTTGTCTGATCGGTTGCTCGAGCTTACCGGTACTATATCCTCGTCCAATTCCAATCGTCAGATTCTCGACACTCTCGAAGTAGAGCGCGAACGTGGTATTACCGTCAAGGCGCAAACCTGCACCATGATATACAACCACCATGGTGACGACTATTTGCTTCACCTCGTTGACACCCCTGGTCACGTTGATTTTCGCGCCGAAGTGACTCGATCTTATGCGAGCTGTGGCGGCGCTCTGCTGTTGGTAGATGCGAGTCAGGGCGTGCAGGCGCAAACCGTTGCCAATTTCTATCTGGCCTTTGCCGAGGGCCTCAAGATCCTCCCTGTTGTCAATAAGGTCGACATGACCGCTGCCGACGTTCCTCGGGTGCTGGAACAGCTGGAGTCGACGTTCGAGCTAGACCCGAGCAAGGCCATCGGCGTCAGCGCCAAGACTGGCCTGAACGTCAAAACGCTGCTGCCCGCAATTGTAGATGCCATCCCCGCCCCCACTGGCGACGAAACCAGACCGTTGAGGATGCTACTGGTTGACTCTTGGTATGATAGCTTCCGCGGCGTCGTATGCCTTGTCAGACTCTTCGATGGGATAGTCAGGGCGGGCGACCAACTAGTAAGCTTTGCCACAGGTCAGAAATATACCGTAGGAGAAGTAGGTATCAGGTATCCGACGCAAGTACCCCAGACGGTCCTTCGAGCTGGTCAGGTCGGTTATATATTCTTCAACCCAGGCATGAAGAAAATCCAAGATGCCAAAATTGGGGATACTTTCACAACATTCGGATCGGAACACGTGGTGGAGCCATATCCGGGTTTTGAGGAACCGAAGCCCATGGTTTTCGTTGCCGCCTTTCCTACTGACCCAGCCGACTACAGCCGTCTCTCTGACAGCATCAACCAGCTAGTTCTCAATGATCGCAGCATCACCCTGTACAAAGACCATTCCGAAGCGCTTGGTGCAGGTTGGCGAGTGGGTTTTCTGGGTAGTCTTCACTGCTCCGTCTTCCAAGACCGCTTGCGCCAGGAATATGGCGCCAGTGTTATAATTACTGAACCTGCTGTCCAAACCAAGGTAATGTGGAGAGATGGGGAAGAGACAGTTCACCAAAGTCCCACCGAGTTTCCCGAGCTTGAGGATACCAAGGCTCGCGGCGCTACTTTCTATGAACCATTTGTGCTAGCCACCATCACCGTCCCAGAAGAATATCTCGGCCGTGCCATCGAGCTGTGCGAGGCCAACCGGGGCAAACAAGAAAGCCTTGAGCCCTTCACGGGTATGCAGGTTATTCTCAAATACCGGATCCCTACAGCACAGCTTGTGGATGACCTCTTCGGGAAGTTGAAGGGAGCCACAAAGGGTTATGCTACTCTTGATTACGAAGATGCGGGCTGGCAACAGAGCGACTTAGTCAAGTTACAACTACTTGTCAATAAACAACCGGTCGATGCGATAGCACGTGTCGTCCATCGGTCGCAGGTAGAACGTCTTGGCAGACAGTGGGTTACCAAGTTCAAGGAACATGTGCAACGGCAGATGTTCGAGATCATCATCCAGGCCGCCGTCGGGAAAAAGATCATTGCTAGAGAGACGATAAAGCCTTTTCGCAAGGACGTTCTAGCTAAACTGCATGCTAGCGACATCACCAGGCGGAAGAAATTGCTGGAGAAGCAGAAAGAAGGGAGGAAAAGACTCCGCTCTGTGGGCAATGTTGTGATTGAGCAGGAAGCTTTCCAGCGATTTTTAGCCAAGTAGTTGTATATATAGCTCTCCTTTTGTAGCAATATCCTTCAATATGCACAACACGGCGTGTGCGGATCATGATAAGGGTCATCTTATTACCCGGCCGAGTGATCTTCATATTATGAGGCCGCTTGCTTCCTCCGCCACTTACGTCTTGATAATGTAGCTTCTAGGTCTTTAGGGTCCTTACAGTGAGTATAACATATTTTGTTCAAATACGTTTACGTTTTACCAAAACACATCAGGACCGCGGTATTGGGCCTATACTAGAGCCTACCAAAGCTACGAGATGATTGATTCAGAATCGAAGCTCGTGATCTGAATCGGGAACAAGGCTTCGTTGATGTTCCAACCATTCGAAGGACTCAATCTTCATATTTATCGTGTGTGGTTTCAATTAGGTAGGCTCTTGCGGAGACGCACAGCCTTAATTCAAAGCACTATAGGCATACATGTGTTGTCTTATCCATACATACAAAAAAGGGGGGAAATATACAGTCCGTACTGTACAATCCATCCTCGGGAAATCTGCTCGCTTACAAAAACATTGAATGCGGTGCGCGTTATGCGCGGCAGATTGTCGCATGGGCTATAATACCAGAGGGCCCAAAGTTACCTTTGTTCATCACCTTCCAAGGCATTAGATACATTGTCGGTATTAAGTACAAGTACTGATCAAGTACCTATGGGTGTAGTGATTTCTGATCCTGGTACCCCGGATTTGGCTGACGCCGCCGTATCCTCACGCGACACGAGGAATTTGCAAAATCCCATTCCGTCTCGTGGCTTGAAGAACCCTGTCGGAATATGCAGATGTACAACCTGGGGTAAAAGTTGGGGGTCATGTCACATCACGTCACAGACAAACCCCACCTAGGCGAGCTAGGTAACCGAGTAGCTAACCCCACACAGACCCACAGCTCGTCGTATGGTTGGGGTTCAGTGAGGGGTGAGGGGACCGGCAGTGGGGGGTTGACGACCGGTGCCGCAGATTTCGAGAGCAATGGCTACGTCGTCCATGCACAGGGCCAACAACGATCCCTATGCGTTCCGAGGGTTGGAGCCAACCGGAGAGGGCCAGGCTCATGTCGAGTTTGGCTCCGTGTATGGTAAATCGAGACGCTGTTTAATTCTTTATTTAGTCGGCCCCTGGATCTAATAGCCTCCAGGTCCGAATAATACATGATACTTGTTTGGCGTTATATTATCGTACATAGTATCGTACCGTCACATCCAAGACTACATCATCTACGCCGGCCATAGCGAATCTTTTTCAGGTGCCATGTGCCAACACCATATTTCGCAGTGATTCAGCCGCCTGTGTCCTCTTTCTTTCGCCCACAATGCCCAATATCGCCAATGTTGTCTACTATCGGGTCAAGCCCCGGTGGTTGATGGTCAAGATTACCGATGAGAATGGCCAGTTCGGTTGGGGTGAGGCTACACTCGAGGGACACGATCTCGCCGTGGAAGGGTGCCTAGAGGAAATGATTCCTAGGATAATGGGAAAGGAAGCCAAGTTTGTGCTCTCTCGTCTGCACTTCCCATTGTTCGTTGAATTGATCAGGCGCTAGCGACATTGAAAACATCTGGCAGATGTTTTGGAGACACAATTTCTACCGTGGCGGCCCCGTCTTCATGAGCGCCCTCTCGGGTATTGATATCGCCCTATGGGATCTCAAAGGTAATGTTATCCACACTGCATACCTCTTTGCACGCCTCTGACGGCCCGTTGCTTGCAGGTAAGAACCTCAAAGTACCCGTATACGAGCTATTGGGAGGCAAGGTGCGCAACGAAGTTCAGGTATATTGTTGGATTGGTGGGGATAGGCCCTCGGACGTCGAGAACGCCGCGTACGTACTGTTGATACATCACTTCCGATGGGTCTAAGACTAACTTAGTTACAGCAAAGCACGTATAGCACAAGGTCTAAAATGCGTCAAGATGAATGCAACAGAAGATCTCAACTGGGTCGACTCTCCTGCCACCCTGGACGCATCCGTCGAGAGACTTAAGATGGTGAAATCACTGGGTCTCGATGCTGGCCTGGACTTCCATGGCCGCGTACACAAGGCTATGGCCAAACAGCTCGCCAAGGCCTTGGAGCCTCATCGCCCCCTCTTCATCGAGGAGCCTTTATTAAATGAGCATCCTGAGGCTATAAAGCAGCTGTCTGGCCTCACCACCATTCCTATTGCCTTCGGAGAGCGGTTATATACCCGCTGGGACGTAAAGCGCTTCCTCGAGGATGCCAGCATCGATATCCTGCAACCCGATATTGCGCACGCCGGTGGTATCAGCGAGACCAAGCGCATTGCTACTATGGCGGAAGCTTACGACGTCGCTATTGCACCTCACTGTCCCCTGGGCCCCGTGGCTTTCGCGGCCTCGATGCACGTTGCCATAAGTTCACCTAACTTCGCCATTCTCGAGATGAGTTTAGGAATGCACTACAACACAGAGGCCGGAGATGGTATTGACCTTCTGACATACCTGAAGGACCCGACTGTATTTGATATCGGCAACGGCGGCTACGTGAAGGCCCCGACGGGCTATGGACTGGGTATTGACATTGACGAGGAGATTGTGAAGAAGATTTCTAAGGAAACTCTGCCGTGGCAGTGTAAGGAGTTCCATGGTCCTGATGGAAGTATCCGGGAATGGTAGATAGAGTATGCTATTACAGGCTTGGACGGTGAGATAAATTGTACAATAATGAAGTCGCCTGTGTATCTCGATGACATATGACAAGATGTTAGTATCACTGAGGGAATAGAGTATCATAATTAGAAAGAGGCAACCAAATACTTGACGTGGTCAAATAGAAGTTACATCATCAGAAGGTGTGGTAATTCAAGTTATCTGACCATACGAGCTAAGGGCGGTTCACGAGTACCTGAATTCTTCCTCCCTCCCTTTCCCTCTTCGTGAGCCTTGTTGGGGGGCAAGTAGATTATCACTACATTTACTCTATGGCTCACTTTACATGGAGCGAGGATTGCTCGCTCCTCGACTCTGTCTACGAATAGGACCGTGCGTAGGTATTCCCGATACACATGTTGTCAATATGTATATTGGAGCTGCTTTACTACCTCCCCATCCAGCCACCGTCTACTGTCAATATCTCACCACTGACGTACCTACATCCCGCGCCGGCCAGAAATATAGTGGCCCCTTCGAAGTCCTGTGGGCTGCCCCATCGGCCCGTAGGAATGCGCTCAAGAATACTGGCACTTCGAGCCTTGTCTTGCAGCAGGGCCTCGTTCATGTCGGTAGCGATGTAGCCCGGCGCGATGGCGTTCACGTTGATCCCGTTGGACGCCCATTGGTTGGACAGCGCCTTGGTCAACTGAGCGATTCCACCTTTGGCAGCGGCGTATGCGGGGACGTTAAGACCACCCTATATTACACACACTGGAGTCAGTAATTGCCAGATAGGGAAGAAGTTCACCTCATGTCCCGGCAGTTTGCAGGAGCCATGAGGCCTGAAGTCTGCCGAAAGGGGGCATAAATAGCTTCAGAGAACTAACCTGGAAAGAGACGAGAGATGCGACGTTAATGATGGCGCCACGGCGGCCCGTTGCATCCGGCGTACGGGTCAAGAAGTAGGCGCCGAAATCTCGGTTGAGCGTCCACACAGCCTGCAGGTTGACTTGAAGAACCTACAATACAAGTCATGGGAGAATTAGTCTTTGAGTTCGAAACTTCACTTGAACTGTCACTGGATGGGCTTGTGCCACAGGAGAAGATGTGTCTTTTAGATCATACATCGTTCCAGTCATTCATGGGGAAAACGTGCGCCGGGTGCCGTCGTTGGATGCCGGCGCTAGTAACGAGGATGTCAACATCGTGGCCATCGTCCCGAATCCGCGCCACGAGCCCTTCGACTTGGTCCTGAGAGCCCATGTCGGCGGTATATACGAAGGCTTTGCATCCGAAGGCTTCGATCTTCTGTTTCGTCTCGAGATTCTTCTCGTCTCGCTGGATCAGGATGATGTCAGACCCGGCACCGGCGAGGGCAAGCGCCATGGATTGGCCGATACCCCTAGTACCGCCAGTGACGACGGCCAAGTGGCCCTCAAGCGAGAATAGCTGCTCGAGATACGAAGGCATCATGAAACGGTGCCGCGGGCGGCGGTCGTTACGACTAGGAATAGGTGCGGAGTAGCCAGACAGCAGTAGAATACCAAATGGGAAGGCACCTTCGCGATGACAATAGAGTCCTAGATGAAATTTGAGAGTCAATCGAGGAAAACTACGATGAGCCCTTGAGCTCCTTGACTACATCATATGCCATATGCTGCCTACCAACTCGTTGTGTCTACTATAGTGCTGTAGCACGCTCTACAGTACGCCCCCATACCTTCACGGAGTTCGGTAGGAAAACTAAGACCTAAATGTGCGAACGAGTTGGAGATAAACTGAGGGGAATCTGAGAAGAAAGTGGGGGGAAATGGGGGCAAGCACGGGTGGTGTCTTCTGAATGCATCGAGGATATATATATATCCTCTTCCAGTACATTGTGTAAATGTGTAGATATACCTACTCTCGATAACTAGGTACATATAGAGACCACCCTCCGTGACACGTGGTAGCCAAGTTAAATGCGGAAAATGAACAGAAAGAACCGGACAGTTACCTACATGGAACTGTTGCAGGCAGCGTGACATTAGACAGCATGTGACAGCATCTTGGCGGGTGACATACAGATGAGTTAACAGACGAGTTAATATTACTGTAACGTATCTGGTAGGTTCATTGGCCTGATGATCCTTGTTGTTGCCTGTTTAGGGTCATGACCCATTCAAACCCGCCCCCCCCCCCCCCCCCCCCCCCAGCGGCGGCCCCGGGGGCGACCAAAGGGGCCAAAAGACGAAAAACCCGCGGGGCGGGGGGGGGGGGGGGGGGGGGGGGGGGT